ATTTCGTTGACTATTCTATAAAATTATTAAGTTGGAAGAAGCCACGTAACACATTTTCTCTTATAGAACTTGACGTCGAGGCTTGGGTGGGTGGGTGTCAATGCTTCCGCCTGATAAAGCAGCGTCAGGAAGGATTTTGGAGCGATAGATACGCATCCGCCGCGGATAAATGATTTCCTCGACTTGAACGCGCTGAGACTAAAAAAATAACGAAATTGGGCAAAACTCCCTCGCTCGGCTAGGAAAAAATGCTGCCTGACGTCTCATTAGGCTCAACAGGCAGCACCTGCGACCAAAAATGGAATAAAAAAGCGAATCTGCTTGTTCGCGGATGATGCGCGCGCGGCGTTTCTTGTTCTTCTGTTTGTAGAAATTAAGTGGCCTTGGTCCAGCTTCTGCCCCGGAGGCTGCGCTCGTTTTTTGGCACCGGACGAATGAGCTGCGCGTGCATTACATTTTACACACATGGAGATTTATTTTCCCGTCTCTCTCTGATTTACACACGTGAGCTGTGCTTCTGTTTTCGGTGCTGCCAGAGCAATAAATAAAATTAAGGCCAATAAATTCATCAGCATGGAATTCACTGGAAAATCGCATCGGAGAATTTCATTTTGATCCATCAGTCAAAAATATTATATTTCTCCTCTGCTCCATCATTATAATTTATGCGCTAGAGGATTGCATGAAAATTCGTGCGTATATTTAGAAGATATTATACGAAAACCCTGGAGCGACTTTGTGCAGAGCTTTATTCGAGGCGTGTGTATCAATGGAGAGACGGAATGGACCACACAGCAGTGAGGTGTTAATGCCCTTGAGCGACAGTAATTACTGGTGCATGCTGGATTTTTGTGTGGATGGAGCCGCCAATATCTCAGAAATGAGTGTCTGCTCCAATCCATCAGCATGAATCACTTACGTAATAAAAATTTGATCAAATTTTTCAAAGATAATAAAATAAATGAAAAAAGTTGATTGAAACCTTAAATTAATTCATTTTTTTATGTTAAAAAAAGTTAATAAATGCAACTTTAACAACATCAATTTACTGTTAATTCATTAAAGTCAAAATAAATTATTATTTGAATCGCGTTTTTTTATGTATATTAAAAAATTCTGGGTTCTTTAGGTAGAAACAATTTTAATATATCATTAATGTTGTTGAAAAATATTGTTCCAATGCTGGAAACAATTGAATGATCAGACGCTGTGAAAGAGATTTGGTTTGAATGAAACGGAATGCAGGTGCTCGTCAAGTGTCAAGAAGAATTACGAGCAAGCAATTTCGGTCCAGGTCGATTGACGTGCGCCTTCTCCTCCGCACATGCGATCTGAATTTAAAAACGCACGCAGTCCGCAGCCACCGTCTGTTTTTAATCAGGCAATGAAATCGTGAGTAATGTATTTAGATAGCGCATTTAAAAGCTTGGCTGAGCCAAAAAGTAGTACACCGCAAGCAGCGAAAATAGAACTGAATCAACTGAATGCGATATATCCACTGCTTGCAGGAGTCGCGTCCCGAAATGGAAATCGAAAGTGATTTTACAACAGGCATTGTTCAAAATGTTAACGATATTTTTAGTACCGAAAGGAGTTAATTATGGCGTAGGATAAACAATGATTGATTTTTTAGAAATAATTATGTAATTCGTTAATGAATTGCAAGATGTGGCCAATTTCTGCGGTCAACGACCCCCTATAAAATCTGATTGAGGTTATTTTTGATGGTTTAAGCTTATTTACAACTATAACAAAAATGCCAATCCCCAAAAAGGTTCAAAATTAAAAGTTAACGGAAAAAATTAAAGTGGAAGTAAAAATAATGTTCACTTTGCCTAGTCTATAGAGCAATTTACTGAACCAGCTTGACCAAGAAAAATGGGTATAGCAAAAAGTCTGGCAAAAAACTCGATTTCCAAAATATTTATCGAATTCATTGGAGACCTGCTGTAGAATTGAAAAAATTGGCTGGATGTAGCAAAATGTTTTGCATTATCTTTGGCAGAAGATGAACAAGTACATTTTTTTTAGCACTGGCTGGGCGCAATTGAAAAATTTAAAAACGCATTCTGCGCAAACCGCACGTGTGCGGTTGGGGTCGAAATTTCAAGAGAGCGGTAATAACCCATCAGCAGCGCAAATATATCTCTTTACCCGCATCTCTCTCTCGCTTCGCCGACGAGACGAGCGAAATAAAAAAATGTATTATTACTCATAATAATATTGTGATGTGTGCCGCGCGATCCATCACCTGACTTGCATGTTTCATGCATGGAAGTGTCAATTAACCTGTAAAAACAGCTCATATTATAATCCGCCCGGCGTGATTTGCCTGAGCGTCTAAATTTATGGCAAAAATGCAGAGATCATCAACGGCGCGAGTCTAATTTTTTTCTCAACATTTTTCGGCGGAACAAAGGGCGCCAATTACTTTCACGCGATAGACTGACCGCAGGCGCGCGCGAATTGGCGCTATAATTACGCCCTGAAAGTCTCAGCACAAAGGCCAAGAATATTATTATTGTGGCGAAAAATTGCACGAATCAAATATAATTGGAAACAGCCGATCAAAAGTCTCTCGTTATTTCACTGCACAAACAAAAACACAAATTTGCATCAGCAAATAACGATCTCATCTTCGCACGTGTATGAATAATTTTCAATACGATTACTGACGTGCGAGCGAAACCTGAACTGCCAATTATTTTTCGCCACGCTCAATTTTTGACTATACACGTGGTGTGTAGATTTTGGGAAATTTTTATGGCCCCAATATAGGCTCGTAGTGGAAATTTATTTATTGCTAATTGTTTATTAGGTGTAACTGTTTGACTATGCATTTCATATTTGACGAAACGAAGCCAAAAATAAATTCGTGCGTGCAGTAAATTACACGCCTTTGTGTCTAATATTTGAAAATGAGAAAATTTGACTTCTTTGAGTGTTATATTTAATTATGTTTCTCTCCTACAGTTTTTAATGAGCTGTATAACCTTTTGCTCGTCACGTAATTTAAATTTGTAAAAATTTTAATTCTAATAATTTAATGAATAATTTAAACCATAAAACAATACTTAATATTTCCATTTCAAAGCTTACGGAACTTCTATTAATGAATTATTATAATTGCTCAATGTTATAACTTGTGTTTAATTTCTGATTGCATTAATTTTTGAAATAAAATTAGTTTTACATTATTTCAATTTAGTTAAATTAAAAAATCTTAAAAAATTCATTAAATTTTGGAAATAATAGTAAATAAGTGGAATTTTGAAGAATTTTTAAACATTATAGTCGCAAAATTGAGTGTCTACACATGCTCTGCTGGAGGAAGGAAATCCAGCTAGACACTCAACCTTGAAGAAAAAAGCTCAATACTATCACGGTCAATTTTCCGGCCATTCTCATCGTATTCTATTCTTGCTTTTTTTCACGTCTGGATACGGCGCGCTTTCCAAGAAATTCCTCCTTTTGTGAAATCTGTGCGGGGGATGGTCAGCGCCGGGGAGTGTGTTCGAGGGCTTGTTCTCGACGTGTATTATCAACACATTTCTCTGGCTGGACCAAGGAGATAATACATATATGCCTTGGACGACGATAATGGGATCGCGGGAGGTCTCTTTGTGACCGCGAGGCCGAAACCACCCCTCGAACACATGGTTAACAGGTTGAAAAATTACAGCCCGCGCTTTGAGAAGACAGATGCGCCGGCCGCGCTGTGATTATACAACTTTTCTCTCTTCGCTTCCCTCGAGATTTTTTCTCTCGCATAGGAGCGAAGAAGCTGCTGGCTGAAATTAACATTTGTTCTCGGAAGGTCTCGTGGCTGCAGGAAAATTTGCCTTCAATTACTAATGGGATCACTTTTTATTAACCCCAGGCCCCTTCTGTGAAAAAGTCTGCACTGGGTGGCTAATGAATTTCATGTTGATGTGTGTGGTTCATTATGATTTTTTTTTTTTACCGACAAATTGCCTATGTAATTACTAGTGGCCCACACAATTACAAACCATTCATCTAGCTGCTTGAATGTTGATTCAAAAAGTTGTAAATATTTTTTTTAAACTGCACAAAATATAGATTGAAATAAAAAAACTTTTGAAAATGTAAATTTTTTTTTCTATTTTTTTTTTTCAAATTTAGTTCACATGTAACTTTTTAGCAGATTAACGCGTATGAATTCTAAAAAGATAATTATAAATGCTGCAGATTTTTGTAAAATTAAGTTCAAAACACACCATATTGTCTCTTAATTGGAAAAAAAATAATTAATATTATAAAAAATTTAAAACCTCTAAAAATTTGCAACGAATTAAAATTAGATTAGATCAAACTGTAACAAATGAAAACGAATTGAGTATAAATTAGTTTCCCCACGAAATCCCGATTCTGCTGTGATGAATCATTTTCATATATTCGTCAAAAATGACCTGCCACCCGCTTTGAATGAAAATATCGTGGCACAGTTTGCATCACTGTGGCAAAATTTTAAACTTTTTTTTTGTGATGTGCCATTTAAACGGCTCAAGTGTTGCCACAAAAGCTTTTAAGACGAAGCAATTTGTTATTACGAATACTCTATCTGTCTAATTTTTTTATTGAGCGAAAATAAATTTCTCCATTAAAAACATAAAATTTATAAAATTTTCTGATGTCAAATTTATTTTTAAGAAGACCAGAGCATTTATAAAATATTTTTTTGTGTCCATTATCACAGCTTCTCTGGTCAAACTGACAAGCTGTGATGTTCTTTTATAGCTGTTTAGAGGTTGTTTCTACTTGGGGAGAATAGAAGATGCCATAGGAACTTCCAAACCAATAAAGCGTGTAATCCGATCAACTAACCATCTCCTATGAAAGGGATCCTAAATTGTTTACTTCTTCCCAACATTCTGCGCCGGGAAAAATTGGCGCCAAAAATTCATTGTCTGATCGTGGCAAAATAAAAAATCGAAAATCGCGAGAAATGCAACGCAGTGAGCAAAAATAATTGGTCGTACCTGAGGTGCCGGTGCAAGTCCATAGTGATGCAGTGGTGATGCGCGCGCGGTGATGCTGGCCACCTCCGGCACGACGTGCTCGACACTCACTGCTGGAGCACATCCTGAGAGGACGCTGCCTCCTCGGCTCCATCCCCTTCCCCCGCGATTCCCGCGAACAACTCCCTCTCCCGATCGGCTTGCAGCACCCTGAGCCACAAACCTGAAACTCTTTCAGGTTCTTCATCCCGCATGCTACTGCACCTCGCCTATCTTCCCTATAACCTTCGACTGCCTGAGTAGAAAACAAAAGCGTTACAAAAAATTTAATTTTTTTACTACGAATTTTTAAATTACTATAAAACTTATGATCTAAAAGAATTCTTCATTAAACCGATGTTAAATATACAAACCTGATTTCATTCCTCAAAATTTAAATTATATAAAAAGTAAAATATTAATTTTTTAAATTAAAACTATATTTCTTTTTTATGAATTTTTCTTTGGCAATATGTGAAATTAAATATTTATATATCTTCCAGTGTTTGTTATGATGTTTAAAATTCCTTTTTATATAGTTTATTTATATACTAAACTGAAGGAAAAACGCTTCAAGATAAAAACCAACTTGATATTATTCTGCTCCACCACTTTGAATCATCAAGACCCTTTTCTATCTTGCGCATACAGCCGGAAACCAGATACAAATACATTTTTCGTCGTAATCCAAATAAGCGGCCAAGAAGTCGCAGCCTTTCAACATTTCCTTCTATGTAAATCAACATTAAATTTATTGTATTTGGCGGAGAAGAATGCAGCCCTATATCAATTTTATCCCTGCGCTTAAAGAGAATTAGAATCAAAACACCGCGACCGCGGCTTTTCTATTCATTTGGAATTTTATCCCCGACCATACATTTTCTCTCACTTGTATGGAGTCATGCATCACTTTTACTTAGGAGTGGGTTTGATATGAAACACAAAGGCGACAAAGAATGAGCCGACGGCCAGCAGACCACCTGTTTACTCTTTCTGTCCGTTTTCCATGCATGATTCTGTGATTCAGCTATGCAGGGCATTCAGGCTCCCAGCAGAATGGATTATTTATCATTTTTGTTCAATATTCATTTAATAAATAAATTTAAGCTTTCTTTTCTAGTAGAAAAAAATGTGATATTTAAACTACATTCAATATTAAATAAATCGCAACCCTCACAGTATCAAGTATTATGTAATCATGTTTATTTCGTATTGTCGTTGTTTCGATACAATCGTTAACAAAATAATTTTGTCAGTTGGCATTGGCAATTTTTTTTAAATGGCCGATTCTTCAATAAAAAACAATTTATAAAGAACACATAAATAAAAATTAATTAAAATATAAAATTTGTATAAAAAAAATTATTTTTAGCAATACTTTGAATGGATGAGCTGTAGAGATGAGTTCGCGTTTGGTATAATTTCTTCTTCTGCCTGCTTCTGATGCTAAATACAATAATAAAGGTCACCGTAATTCAAGAAAATATCCCTAGAAGAATTTATTTGTATGTTTTGTTAATTTCATTTAATTTTTTTTTTTTTTAACGAAATATTCAATATTGATTCAATAATTTTTTTCAGAAATAAATAATATGGTATAATAAAAAGGTCAGCAGTTACCGCACACAGAGCGCATTAAATTTGCTGATCATGAGTGTATAGCGGAAAATGCGTGTAAAAAATCAATACTTTTTCACCCCCACTTCTTACGATCACTCAAAAATGGCATTCAACTAAAATTTAATTAACAAGACCACACAAATGGCAGAGCAAAAGTGATGTTCCCCTGCTGTTTTCATGGAATAATCGTGAAAAATTTTCGGGTTGGGTTGGGAAATCGGGTACATTTCCCGACGCAGGCAGACCTCCTAGAGCGCATCAGCGCCTGCTCGACTCATGCGCCCCATAATCCGCTGATGATGCTGGGATGAGCGCCGGTTAAGCGCCACCCGCAGCAGGCGCGTGCGCCACCGAGGGATAATCGGCGCCGTGTCAAACAAGTGCATGTCACAGGTCGCGTTCCACATATACGAGAAAATTTTAAAATTTATTAATTCATTCCAAAAAATTAAGATTAATGTTAAAATTTTGTCAGAATTCATGACTTTAAGGATTATAATTTCAGTTGCAGTTATAATTGAAAGTGAAGAAATAAGAAAAAATTTATCCGCAAATATTGATCCCAAATTTTGGAAAAGATAATTTGGAATACATAATGAATTGTAATTACTTCATTTTTTAAACTTTTTTTACATTAATCATTTGATCATTCCCGAAAATTGTTAAATATTTTATGGCACAATTCTTTTTATTTTTATCAATTGTAAGTTTTAGCAATAATAAGAGTTCCCATGAAAACACCAAACTGAAAACTGATTCCTACTTTCCAAGCCAATTTACTTATGAAAATTTTTTTAATAATTTTTCGTTCTTCATAGGGATTTTTTTTATTTTCATCTTTTTATGTTTATAACATTTTTTTTTTGGTATACATTAAAAATAATGTTAATGTATTTTGTGGAAAGCATTTTCACGCATCTTCATTGGTGCAAGGAGAGCGCGAAATTCAACATTAGCGAATGAGGAGTCGGTAAGATTGGCTAACCGGCAGGCTGTGAAAACGAAAGGAAAACAAAAACAAACATGGCAAGTGATGAGCCACGTGAGACGATGAACGAGCAAACAGACGACGAAAAACAAGTAAATGCCAGCGAAACGGATAAAGTGATCCACGAAGGACAAGCTCAAATCAATGTGAAGAGTCAGGACAAGGTATTCTACAACCCTGTCCAAGAATTCAATCGAGACGTGAGGTAAAAACTCAACAACTACAAAACCCACTTTTTACTCAGCATTTTGTTTTCATCATTTAGCGTGGCGATTCTGAATTTGATTGCTGAAGACATCATCAATGAAAGCAGAAAGAAAAATGAATCGGATACGGTAATAATTACTAATAACGTTTAAAGTTTAGAAAGAAAATTACAAATAAAATGGTGTTTTTATTCGCAGCCAACGTTTCGGATTCTCGAGGCCCTTTCTGCCACTGGGTTGAGGAGCATTCGTTATGCTAAGGAAATAATTGGGGTGACTGAAGTGGTTGCCAATGATCTGTCCAAGCGTGCAGTGGAAATGATCAAGCAAAATGTCCTGGACAATAATGTGCAGAGTATTGTCACCCCAAATCATGCAGATGCAACGTAAGTGTTATTTCTCAAAACGCATAAACCTGAGTTTTAAATATTAATTATTTTTATGGTCCTTTAAACTAAAAATATTTTATTTGAATTATTCAATTCATAATTTACAAATTTTTCTCCCAGACTTTACATGCATCAGCACCGAAACCAGTTTGACGTAATTGACTTGGATCCCTTCGGTTGCCCTTCGATCTTCCTTGACTCGGCAGTCCAGAGTGTGAAAAACGGAGGTGTCCTTCTCGTCACTGCTACCGACATGGCTGTTCTTGCTGGGAATTCAGCTGAAACTTGTTTTGTCAAATATGGCTCGGTTTCCATCAAATCAAAGTGTTGTCACGAAATGGTAAATTTTTTGTAAATTTTCGTGTAGCTCCAAATTTATTATACAATCCTTTTATAGGCCCTCAGGATACTCCTTCATTGCATCTCGTCTCATGCAAATCGTTATGGGAAGTACATCGAGCCTTTGTATTCAATGAGTGTCGATTTCTATGTCCGAGTGGCTGTTCGAGTGAGAAACGGTGCCAGCAAATGCAAATACACAACCAGGTTTGTTATCAATTGAAAGTGTGCAAATGTTTCCTCATAAATTCAATTCTTAGCAAACTTTCCATGGTTTACCATTGCGTTGGCTGCGGAACAATCACCCTTCAGCCTCTCGGAAACTGCCAGGAAAGAGACAATGGAGTTCCAAAATTCACAGTGGCTCACGGTCCGACAGTAAATTCCAGTTGTGAGCATTGCGGATTTCGGCACCATGTAAGCACACAAATGAACATTTTGATTTGTTTAAATAATCCGTTATTAGTTAGGGGGTCCAATTTGGACAGGCCCATTGTATTCAAAACCGTTACTGGCCCGACTCTCGAATTGGTGCGGACTCGAATCTCTCGGAACATTCAAGAGAATCCAAGGAATTGTTGCTGTGATGGAAGAAGAGCTAGAAACACCACTCTACTTCACCACTGACCACCTTTGTGGTGTTCTGAAATTAGAAGCTATGCCTAGCACAACAATTAGGTATTTTTTTGGAAGATTGTTTTTGTGTGAAAATTATAAAATTTCAATTAATTTTAGATCAGCCATCCTAAACGCAGGATACAAAGTTTCCTACTCGCACTGCAGCCGCTACTCCCTGAAGACGGACGCTCCGGCCTCTGTTGTTTGGGACGTGATGCGTGCCTGGGACAAAGAGAAACCAGCGCGACGGGATAAATTCTCTGCAAATAGCGCCCCTCTTGCAATTTTGAGCAAGGAGTCCAAAATCAAAGTTGACTTCACCCCTAATCCCAAAGCCAACCCTCCTTCTCGAGAGGCAGGACTGATTCGCTTTCAACACAACCCTTCAGCTTTCTGGGGACCTGGTGCCAGATCTCATGCCAGGTATTTAGAAAAAAATTAATCTGTCATTTGTTGGCTATTTTAATGCAGTTTTAATGAAAATTAATGAGTAATTATATTTAATTGCTGAATTTGTTGAGCCCTCATTTTAATTAATTTACTTCTCTTCGCAGAGTTTTGGGAGAGGACACGCAAGCCAAAAGCAGACAAAATCAAGGTAAGAGGAAAGCTAAGGACTCCGAAATTCCTTGTGTGACAAAGCAACAGAAATCTGACAATGTTTAATTATTTTTAAGAAATATATCAAATTCTATTCTATTAAATAATTCAAGTTTTCAATAATTTAAAATTAGCTCATTTGCAACCATTTTGGCTGATATGTTTTTTTAACCAATTTCATTTTATTCTTTTAATGGGCTCTAGGCCACATTTTTTCCCAATGATTTCTTGGGCCAACAACATTTTCCCTTCAAGTTGATCTCGATACAGCCACATGTACTTGTCAACTTCTGATTTGTAACTAACACAGCCATCCCCTTCGGCCTCGCACTTTCTATAATGGTGAAGAAGTGCAACTTCAGTCTTCAAAAAAGATTGTTTGAGAGTCTTGTGGGTCATTTCCCACAACCAGTGATTCCCAACTTCAACTGTCAATTCCGGCTTGCAAATGAACTTTGATCTTTCCATCCTTTCCTGAAAATGATTCCTACGCATGGTTTTTTTCTGCGTCACTAAATCAAGTCCGTGATAATTTCCGTCGTCGGGCCACTGCAAGTAGAAAAACGCGTTTCTGAAAATGAAAGAAACCGAGTCGGTGACGCGCTGCTCCAAACGGGACAGCAGCCCGGTCAAATTTTCTTTTTGCTTGGGAACAAGATACTCGTCCAAATCGAAAAATGCCAAGTACTTGTGCTTGTACATTGCCCTGTAGAGACAGTCGTTGAGAGCTGCAAACATATTTTCGGTGCGAACGTCCACTTGCGATTTTAGGGGAAGGTTATTCCAGTCGAGAAGTGTGGCGGTGCCTTGATTCGAATACTCGTTCAGAACGCAGCTTGTGTTTGGAGCAATATCATGAATGTAGAGGTAAAAATGCTCAATTCCCAATATTTTATTCATCTCGATCCACTCAATTAACTCCCACACCTGAAAAAATCACTATTAATTCAGTCATTCAAGTTGCAAGCAAACCAAGTATAAATTTTGCAAATTTTGAAGCCATTTAATAATATTTTTCTATTTTAATTATGAATTAATTTAAATCTTCGCAATTTTTGGAAAACCTTACTTTACTGTAGTTATAATGGAGGGGTTTCACGCAGGCTGCGATTTCTTGAGAGCCCATTTTCCTTTCTTCAATTCTATGAATCCGCATATGATTTCCTGCCTTGGGCAAGTTATTGAAACTCTTGCTTTTTAAAAACGGGCCGATCATATTATCAGAATAAACTGAAACGCCGGTGGGCATCCGAGAGCTGTTTTTGACCGGGCATAAAATGAAGCAAGCAGAATAGTTCATGTTCCAATTTTCCCTGATGGGCTTTACGGTTGCTTTAACGGCTTTAACAAAATTACTTGAAAAATGATTGTTAAGAAATTTAATTTCCAAATCAAAAATATTGATTTACTCTATTTCTTCATCGTCGTCATACCAAAATTGGCAATGTGCAGAAACATTCGCTATTGTATTAAATCGGGAGAAATTCCTCTTTCTCATTTTTGCAACTCCAATTATTCGCACAGTCGGTGGCACCAGTGTGCTACTATTATCCAAAAACCTTGTTTCAATAAAGGCCGAATAGACCAAAAAGTGCTGGTTCCTTAAATATTTAATTATTTAAAAGTATAGTTTATAAAAATTTAGTCAAAATAACTTACGTTGAATCATAAACCGGTTGCCATTGAGCATCCTTTGCATGAAAGACCACTTTTCTCTTGAGCGGTATCGATGTCATTGGCAACGAAAAGTTAACAATTTCGCTTTCATTGAATATCAAGAGCGCCAAAATTTGGAGAGCCGTGAGAAAAATGATCGCTTTCAAAAGCACACGCACGCTACATGCGATTCGAAGCATTGTCGAACGCGACTTTGTTTAAAAGGCAAGCGAGCAAGGCTTCAAAATTTTAATTGCCCTCCGAAGGAAGAGATATCATCAACCTCCTGTTATCAAACCAGAGGTTTCTGACTTCCAAAGTAAAGGCCGCGTCAGTACGTTTAAAATATTTAAAGTCCCTTCCACAATTTGAAAACCAGTGGTTGGAAATTTTTTGCAATTATTGAAGAAAATTTTCAAAGTGCAGGCAATTATAAGGAATACAAGCAGTGTACTATTTTACATATTTTATAGAGGTGAAAAATTTAAAATTCAAAATTACATCTCAAAATTAAATTTCAAATATTTCTTCTCGTATTTTATGATTCAAAAATATTTCTAGTGGTTATTTTGATCACATTTTCAATAGGTACTTGTAGATTAGTTGATTGGAACTGCAAATCAGTATCTCAATTGATTGATCTGCTGCTGCTGCACGGCCGAAATCGGCGTGTTCAAGATGACCATGCGATAGGGTGGGGGTTGTTCGTAGTTTGGCGGCTAATTAGAAAAAATTAATTAAATTTACTCTCTAAATTGTGCATGAAAAATTCTTACGTCATAAGCATAATGGATCTGGGCGAGTTGCATCTGAAGGGCGTGCTCGTGCTGGGGAATGGTGATGATGCCAGAAATCTTCTTGGGCAGTTTCTTCGGTTCCGTTTCCATCGTGGGGTTGCGCGCCTCCTCGAGGTTGCGCAGGTTTTCAACTTTGCGAAGAGCGCGCCTCTTCATAATCTGATATTTTTTAATTAATCAGCAGTGCCAGTGAGAATATTCCAGAAGTTTTTAATTAAACCAATTTAAATCTCAAACCTCCATAGAATTAATAATTTGCGTGAAAAAAATAACTCATTTTTCAATAAATCAATATCATAGTGTCAATTATATGTTGAAAGTTTGATAAGAGAGTGAGAATGGCTGCAATAACTTTCGTCACTGTGCGCAAAGCAATAAAATTTAGATTGAGAGCCATTTTTTTCTGCACGCACCCACATTACAAATTGTACAGACCATTAAGGCAAGTGTGGCCAAGCATTCGATGATCACCAGCAGGAAGACGGGAAGGAAGAGGATAAAGACGAGGTTGCCAAAGACGAAGTACAGCGTGGGGCAAATGATAATGGAAATAAGGAAGCACAGTCCGGCAATCAGATCCAGGTTCCTCTTGGCATTTTGATACCGCAGAATGACTATTGTTGGAATAATTTGTTTTTAATTTTTGAATGCATGAGACTATATATTCGACACTAATGACGGTTAACCAAAACAAAACTCACCTTGCTCTTCCTCCGTCAGCATTTTTGCGATGTTTAGCAAAATCGCTTTAGACGGACAATTTGAGAGGTGAAAAAGAACAAGAGCGATATGATAAGGTGTTAGTAATGACGAGAATGATGCACCTTGATCGATAAAAGTCACTGCCATTCATCAGTGCAAAAGATAAAGTGTGATAAGGTTTTTTTATCGTCTTATACATTCAATGAGGTTTTTCAGGTGTTTCAAATAAATAAAATGCGCACTATTCAGTTTTAATATGAGGGAAACAGCGTTTCTGAAATATTACTCATTGCCTTCATCGGTCATTAAATAAAGACTTGGATTTTAATTCTCACTTAAGTAAATTAAGAAACACAAAAGGAATACTAAAATAAAATTGGATTATACAAAAAATATAACAAACCTCACTTTTTTATAGCTTCTTACCACAAGCTAAAAGTGTCATTAATTGATAATTTGATAATGAGTATTTTTTTTTGGAATTTTTCTTCTTTGGCTTTCTCTAGAGAATAGTATATACATATTTGCAAACAGGTGCTTCTTGTTTAAAAAAAATGATAACATTTATCTATATTTCAAACAACTAAACTTGGCCTGCTTAAATATGCTGAAACTGAAAGTTTGGAAAATAATTAAATTTAAACGTAATAAATGGTTGTCACTTAATTTGTTAATAATAATAATTCTTCATCAATGTTAACACACTTCTGCGTTATTTCCTTCAACTTTTGTTTGTAGCGCCTAATTATAATGCAATTATATTTTGCCTTTTAAAGAGAAGAGTATAATAAGTAAAAGGCCGTGTCGAGATGAATGAAAGAGTATAAGTGGGAGATAATTCATGAGGAGAAAATGAAAGCGTAAATTATACATCATGAATTTTGCAGATGTGGTGATTTTTTCGTGACACAAAGAAAGTGCGGAGCCTTTGCATGCCATATATTTATACAGATAACACGCGGCAGCGGCGACGAGAGAGCGCCGCGTGGAAGAAAGAAAGAAAGGGGGGACCGAGTTTCCACGATGCCAGTCAGCCGAGTTGAGCACCGAGTGAGCACCAGGCTAGCAGCTGACTAGCTGGGGGAGTCGGCCGAGCCAGCTTTCGTCCGAGTCGTCGTCGGGTCGGGTCAGAAAAATCCGCCCCCGAGAGGACACCCATGGGTCAGTCAGCGTTTTTCTTTGATCAGCGTCGATAATCAGAAAATTTGCTATTTTTTCACAGCCGATTAGAAACGGGTGTTCTGGTGCCAGCAGCGCACACACACATATTGGGGCCACTCTAGCGAGCCGCTGTTAAAACATTTAATCGCCTCGCACATTCCTCGGCTGGAGCCAGGTCACTCAACCGTCTGCGTGCCACCCCGACCTTGTTTGCAAGGCCCTCTCTCAGGTACACTATTATTAATTGTCACTAATCCAATTAGTAGTGCGTCTGCATAGCAGTGCCATTTTCCCTTCTCATTGTGTTTGTTGTGATGAGTAAGGTATTTTGTTTCGCGAGTGACAGTTACAATGAATGTCTTCACGCAGATCGCATTTCTAGGTCATCATGTCAAAAGCCGAGCAAGACGACATTGTCAAAAACCTCAAGTCCTGCATCTCCTCCAGCAAGGGCGGCATCCCCATTTCAGCAATAAGCAGTAAGTTTAATTCAAATTGTTCACATTTAATTTTTTAAAGTATATTTTAAATGGAATAATTGTTTTGTGCTTTCAAACAAATTTATTAAAAATATAATATTTTTCAAATTTTTTACCTTATGAAGTTATTAAATTTCATGATAATAACTTATTTAGGTAATTATTAAAAAAAAAATATAAAATATTTAAATAATTCAGTTATTAGCTTCTGCTCAGAATAAAACGATATATATTAATATGCAAAAATTAAAAAAAAAAAAATTACCAACATTCTAAAAGATCAAACAACTATTCTCCCTGTGGTTTTTCTTGATTGCTTTTTTTTATCTTTTGTTTTATTTATATTTCTCATTCTCTCTTGGCATGGTGTATCTTGCTTGTGTTTCCCAACGCCTAGGTAGTTTTCCTTGTACTTTTTTCGTGTAATTTTGTGGTCGCCTTCCCGTTAATACGAAACTGCTGCATCTATGCTCCGCCGATGCACATACAAACGCGACTCCCACACACGCGCGCCTGCTGGTGTCGCGGTAGGTGCTCTGGTTAGTTTGCTCGCACCGCGTAGTGTACACACAAAAAAGCTGTAAGTTGATCGTCACCCTTCTATAGCTAGGTTGCGAATGTTTAAAAGTATTCAGAGCACCGTCGAGAGGGAAAAGATATGAAAGATGTATTATGTAAATTGATTAATATCGCTCAACACGCCTTTGAAAGGGTCACGCCTGATGATTTCATACATATGTATTGGATGCGCTTATTATTATATCATTTTGCTCGCAGGCGCAAATAAAGGTTTATTTTTATTGAAGCACATGCACAGTTGCCGTTAGAGTGTGGTAGGCAGAAGACCTTTGAGCTTTAAATAATTGTTGGAATACTTGATAAATTAGTTTTAAAAGCTAACGCAATATTAAACTTGAGAATACGGAATACATTAGAACTATTTCTATCTTTAATTTATTTATGTTTTATTACCTTTTACTTTTCTAATTCAAATTATTATTTATTATTAAACTTAACTTCACCTTTCCAAATGAATATATTATTTAAATAATTTAATTTTTTGCTCTGAAATTTCAGGAGATTATCATATGCTCATTGGAGATCCGCTACCGTACCGCGGACTTGGTTTTTCCAAAGTTGAGGACCTGATTCAGTCCATTCCTGACCTGAAAGTGGTGAAGGGGCCGAAAGGCGAGCAAGTGGTGCAGATCGTCCCTTCCAAGAGGCAACGCAACGACCAGCAGGCGCGTCTCATCGCGGTGCAGAAGTCGGCCAACGGCGGCCGCTTTGTGCCCCGCGCTGCTCGCAAGCCCAACGACCACACCACAGAGGAGCAGCAGCGGAAGCCCAACATCAAAGAGACCAACTGGCGCACCGGCGGATCCAACGTGCCGCAGAGGGAGGTTCGCAGCCCTGCTTTGTTAAGGCAACTCTCACAGCCCCAGCAGAACACCAACGGCCGCAGATCGAGCCAAGAAAATAACAGGGTACGGTTTTTTTTTTATCAAATTAAAATGTATTTTAATTTTTAAATTGCTCTTTTTTGACACCCTAACAAATTCACTTGTTTAGAAATTTTCAAAATTTTCTGCGCAGGAGGGAATTCCTCACAGTAGCAAAAACTTGACCTGGCGGCGACCTTCGCCCGACGACGACCAAAGCAGCCAAACTGCCACTAATCATGGCGGACTCCGAAAACCGAAACGAGTCGAAACCAACAACAACAACGAAGAACTTCTATACACGCCAGTCGTGTGTCCTGTGGCCAGTATTAGAAATCCGTACGAACCCCCAGCCGCAGAGATCGTAGCAACCCAGCACATTTCCACCCTCAGAAACTATGTGGCCAAGCAAAAGCTGGGTGAAATCGAGTTCAAGACTATCGAGATGGCCATTGAGTTCTCCAAGATGTACGTCTCATCAGTTACTGTGAGTTATTTTATAATTTTCTATTTTAATTTTAAATTCCGTCCTTTTTTCTTATTAATAATTCCAAAAGGCCCCAGCAATTAGCGAATGATAAAAAAATTCAATTATATTTAGCTAAAAAGTTATTGTATACTTCATTGTATAAATAAAGTATACATTTTTAAAATATATAAATTAGATTGGCCAAGACTTCAAACTGAGCACCTATCCCAACGGAGGATCCACTGCACAAGAGGCGCTGGATCTGGTTGCCAGAATGGCATACGAAGCTCTGGTTGAGAAAAACAGAAAGGCGGCTCCTCAGTTGCAAGCAACCACCGACAGCAGCGAAGCTTTGCAAAGAATACTCAAGGTTATTTAGAAATTTGATTCTCCATAAGCAGCTTTGTGCAATTGTTATTTTTATTTCCACGCAGCTTTTGCTGTCGCATCCCAATGGCATGTGGTCCAGCAAAGTGCCCGGAGAATACAGCGAACTGTACAGCGAGAAACTGCCAGACGACTGGCTCAAGCAGATAATGGCATTCCCACAAGTGGACGCTAATGTAATATCAGACAAGCAAATCATCCTCACTCTAATTGAAAATCCAACAGTGGAGGATGCGAATACTGCGCCTGCTAATGATTCCGTTGCGGTAAGTGTACTGAGAAGCTCTAAATTTTGAACTCGCTAATTATTGTGTTTTGGTAACTAAGCGTCAGGATGACAGTCCCAAGGGTGAGGAAACTCTTGCAAACCAAGTGAGTCAACCTCCTCCCATCACCCTGCCGAAAGAAGAGCATTGGGACGTTTACATCACAAATGCAAACTCAACCACCGAGCTTTGGCTCCGGCTCGTTGGCGATATCTACAGTGTAAAAATAATAAATTAAGAATTTTAAAATTTATTTTTAATTTTAAAAATGGTTCAGGTGCTCTACGAAAACTTGGCCACTGAAATGGAGCTGCACTACCTGGGCAGCAAGAAGGCTGTTGAAGGCTCGGTGAAGGAGGGCGACTTTTTTGCCCTGCAACTGGACGACTGCGTCCATAGAGTGCAGCTCCAGAGCATTGACAATGGCATGGCGCAGTGTCTGTTGCTCGACCACGGCCAAATCGAAACAATCGCCGCTTCAGAGTTGAAAGTTTTAGAAAAGCAATTCTTGCGGTTGCCCTTCCAGGTATAGTTTGAGTTGATCTATAGATATTTGAAAGCGGTCCTAAATTTCATTTTTCTTTTAGGCTGTTCAGTGTGAGCTGAAAGGTTTGGAGGACTTCAGCAATGCCGAAGGCGTCCAGGAATTGCTGCTTGATACCCTGATTGGCAAAACCTTTGTGGCGCAGCCGTCACCCGAATTTCTGGAACAACAGTATCAACTGGACTCGCAGCCTGTGCCATTGGTCCTTTTTGACACAAGTACATCGGAGGACATCAACGTCAATACCCAGCTCTGGGAGAAAATTGCTAGCACAATTCTCACGCCTAAACTTCCAAAGGTTTGCAACCTTCCTCAACCAATTTTTGTGTTAATTCATTTTTTTTTTTAATTTTTATTATTTGCTTATATTTTGATGTGATTTCTGTAAGTAATTATTTGTTTTTTTTTGCTCATTTTTTTTTTATAAAAAATAAAAATTCAAATCTTATTTTACAGGAGGGAAAAGTGATCGAAGTTTCTGTCTCTTACATTAATTCCGAGGCAAACATTTTTGTCCAGCTTTACAATTCTGTTATTCATGGAATCCAACAGAAAATCACTCTATTGGATACTGAAAAGCTGGCTGGCGCCAAGCCAGTCAAACTGGCCAAGGGGAAAATTTATCTTGCTCAGTACACCGACGGAATTTGGTACAGAGCCACAGTTACTAGTGCAAATGAGAAGAAGGTGAATATAGAAGCAGTAAATCTATAAATATGTTACAAGCTTATTCAACAGGCCATTGTCATGTTCATCGACTTTGGAAACACGGCCACAGTGGACGTGGCGAGGTTGATTGACTTGGAGAGTGCCATGCCAGACTTAGCGCAGATTCCACCACAAGCAATCATGTGCACCCTGCACCACCTGATTCCCAGCCCTGATGTCAAAGTTTGCAAGAAAACCGTTGAAAGGTTGACCACCCTCTTGCCTGAAGACAAACCTCACCTGCTGAAGGTGATTTGCCAAGCCAGCGGCTCCACTCCACCTGCAGTTGAGGTTTTCCGAAGGATCGAGCCAGACAACTTGCTGGTGTCTGTGAATAGCTCTATCAGTCTGGACAACGATCTGTTTGAGTACGAGCAAGAATTTAACAATGAACATTTTTAAAAGTGCAGTTTACAGGCTGAAATCAGAGAAGAAGAAAGAGGAGAAAATTATTGCGCCCGAAAAGTCGGCAGAAAAAGAAAAGCCAGTTTCTCCTGTGCGCAACCTCAGCCTGAAAACGCTTCCTCCGCCAAAGATTCCAGAGGTTGGAGGATATTTAGATGTGATTGTCGTCATGGCAGCTAGTCCGTGCAATTACATAGTAATAACGGTGATATTAATTCAAAGAGTACCATTTAAAGACTATTTTTCAAGGTTCAACCCTACGAGCATAGCAACGAGCTGCAAAACTTGATGGTAGAATTGCAGAACTTGCTGGGAGTTGACAAGGGGGTAAAATTGCAGCCAGGGGAAGTGAGGGAAGGAGGTGTCTACGCCGCAAAACACCACGATGGAAAGTGGTACAGGTAAGTTTTCATTAAAAATTAGAATTTTAGAAGTTGAATTTAGAATTTTAGAGTTGAAATTTCATATTAAATTCCAGAGCTCTAGTGAACAACCTCCTAAAAGGAGACCACTTTGCCTCATACTTGATGGACTTTGGAGACCATGTGGTGGTGTCCCTTGACAAACTGCGAGTGCTTCCCCAGAATTTCTGTGCTCTTCCCTACCAAGCTGTGAAAGCCAAGTTAGCAGGTGAGAATAAATAAATAAATATAATAGATTCTGATAAATTCTGCAACAGGAGTCAAAGCAATTAACAATGACTGGAGAGTGGAGGACTGTGTGCGCTTCCAAGAGCTTGTTTGCAACAGGCCTTTTGTGTCGGTTGTCGAAGCAACCGGGCCTGACCTGATCAACCCATCGGAAATGGTTTTGTGTCTGCGGTTGATTGACACGAGCTCTGACGAGGACATCGACATAGCACAGGTGCTAATCAATGAGAAAAGAGCCACAAAGGCAGGCTAAGCTCTAAAATGGGCGACCCGGTCGCTTGAGGAAAGTGGAAAACAAGGCAGCTTGGCTTGACCGCAAGAAGTATGTTTGCTTAATTCAGCTTCAGTACCCATAGCATGCTGGGCTCAATTTATTTACCAGCGAATTATTTGTGAACTACGAGGTTTATATGTGGAGGAGTGGAGTTATTAATACTTAATTTATTAATAATGGGATTAACGACGAGCAGAGTTCTATTACAATAATTATATTATTACTGCGTATTAAACGATTTAATATTTGTAGTCAATAATATTTAAATTACAGAAGACATCATGCAATCTTTTGACAATAATTATATTATTTTGTCTTTTAAAGATTGGTGCGTAATTATTTTTTATCTTCTTAAGACATTTGATCACAAGCCAAAATTTCCTTTTGGTTTTGGGCGCAAATTTGAATTTAAGAATCTCTGCAGGCATGTGTAGCTCTTTAGGAAGAGTAAGTTTCCTTTGCCAGAGCATAAACGACAACTAACTAAAGCGGAATTAATTAATTTATACGGCTAGTTCTTTGAACTTTCCTTTTTATTATTTTTTCCCATTGGAAATTTTAGGCAGTAGATGGAAATGATCGCAAAATGCGACTGACACTAATTGTGATAGGCACACTGAAAATAACAATTCATGCACCTTGACCAGTAAAACAAAATGTTGCCAAATTTTCTCAACTGCTAAAAAGCAATAATTCTGAAATATTTGGATGCCATGATAAAGACTTTGCACTCAATTGGGAGACTGGACGCATACACCTCCATCAAATGTTTACATACCAAACTCCTTTGTTTAGTTTTTAACACGAGGAAAATATTATATTCTGTGTTATTTGTTTTTTAATGGAAACTTTTTACTATTTAAGAGCAATAAAAATGGAATTTAAACTATCACAATGGTTTTATTTATCAATCCAGCGAATTGAAAAAAGACTTCACATCTTCCTCGCGTTTCCTTGCCATCAACTCTTCGACAAGTTCGCTCAAAATTTCGCCTCCCTCTAAAAACCCTCGGATGTTGTGCACAGTCTTACCTATTCTGTGGTCTGTGACTCGGTCTTGAGGGAAATTGTACGTACGAATCTTCTCCGATCGAAAACTTGAGCCAACCTTAAATGTTGAAATGATTTATAAATTATTTAATCAAAAATACGTAATTCAATTTTTTTTTTTACCTGTTGTTTTCTTGTTGATTTTGTGTCTGCCTCCTGTGTATCAAGTTGCATCTGGTAAAGTTTTGCCCGCAGTTTCTGCATTGCAAGAGAGCGATTTTGAATTTGTGAGCGCTCACTTTGACACTCAACTGCCACACCTGAGATGAAAATTTTTAAATAATAAAAGCATTTTACAGCAAAAGGAAAAATTACCAGACGGCAGGTGAACAATTCGAACGGCACTGTCTGTCGTGTTTACATGCTGGCCTCCAGCTCCCGTGGCTCGTTTAGTCTCAATTTTTAAGTCTTTTGGTGAAATTACGACTTCTATCTAAGAATCAAATTTTTTATCAGACGAATTTACTCAAATTGCAGGATATACACAAAACTTTTTGTGAAACCAAATATAATCTCATAGTTTATATACAAAAATTTAACCTCAGAAGGCTGTGCAAGAACTGCCACTGTAACAGTGCTTGTGTGCATTCGTCCGGACTTTTCAGTTTTTGGCACTCTTTGCACTCGATGAACACCGGCTTCTAAGCACAGGACTTCATATGCACCTCTGCCCGATACACTGATGCTTCCGTGTCGAATACCACCTGAGAATTGGATTACATATTTTTGCTGCCCCATAAAACAAGTGATTGAAAAAAGAAAATACCTATATCACTTTTGTCCAACTCGAGAATGTCAAATTCCCAACCACTGTGTTGCAGGAAACCCTGATACATTTGAACCATGTCGGCTGCAAAAAGCATCGCCTCCTGTCCTCCGACTCCAGCTGTCACTTCCAGGAACAAACTTTTAGAACTCAAAGTGGAAGAAGGCAGAAGTAAATCTACCATCTGTAAATAAGAAATTAAATATAGCCAAAATTGTTTTGAATTACATACATACACATATACATAGTTAAAAAATAATAATAATGATCACCTGTGAGTCAATGTCCTTAATTTCGTTATAAAAATTAGACTTTTCCTCGTCAGCTAACATCTTCATCTCTTCGTTGGTCTCTGTGAATAATTAATTTTTATTAATAAAAATGAAATAAACTTGAATTTAATGCAAATTTGCCTTTCGAAAGTTCTTTTTCAAGTTGTTCCAGATCTTCGACTAACTTGATTCTCGCCGCCCAAAGCTGAGCCAGATCATTTTTAATATTTTGTTTTACAGGAAAATTTGTTTCAACGCCGTCAACAATTTTCTTCACTAATTTATGAAGGGACGGGTGTGAATGTGAAACTTCCACGGATGGCGAATCTTGCGCACACAAACAAACCCGTAGATGAAAAGTTCTTTTAATGAAATTTGAATGATTTGTCACAACCACTGGTTGCTTCCTTAACAAAAGTAAAGGTCGCCTCAGAAGAAAAACTGTCCTCAACATATTTTTAACCCGACTTTTACTTTGAAATTGAAGATAAACATTTACACACTACTTTTCTTTGTTATTGTCCTGTATAAGGGGGTGTGTCTGCAAATTTTGATGTTCGCGGCTTTCGCGCCTCCTAAGGTCCAAAAAACGAAAAATTATTTCTCGATACGCCCACTTCTTTAATAGCTCTACACGCGTGATTCGTGTCGGCTTGCCGCTCGCCGAACTAAATCTAACTTAATCGCCCTAATCGGCACACTTTTTGCCAATTAATTGCACTAAATATAAAGTAAAATGCCTCCTAAGTTTGATCCGTCAGAAGTTAAGATCGGTAAGTGTTTAAATACATGTTTTTTCATCATAAAACTTAAGCCTCTAAATTTATCTATAATCACGTTGTATTTATCCACATTCCACATTGCCCTTTTCTAAGACGCTAAATTTTATATTTAAAAATAATTCGTTCGTTTTCCTATCGTTTTGCGTTTATATTTTAAATATTCGAATTAATATCTTTCCAGTCTACCTCAGATGCGTAGGAGGTGAAGTTGGTGCCACATCGTCGTTGGCCCCCAAGATCGGTCCCCTTGGTTTGGTAAGTTTAACAGACTCCCTGAGCTTTCAAAATTAATTATGATGTTTTGTGCAGTCGCCAAAGAAGGTCGGTGACGACATTGCCAAGGCCACCGCAGACTGGAAGGGCCTCAAGATCACAGTCCAGTTGACCATCCAGAACAGACAGGCTACAATTTCTGTCGTACCTTCTGCTGCTTCCCTTATCATCAAGGCCCTGAAGGAGCCCCCACGTGACAGAAAGAAGGTCAAGAACGGTAAACAAAAATTTAATTGAAAGTTAAGTTTTTTACTAATGAAAGAAATATTATAGTCAAGCACAGTGGCAACCTTGCTTTTGATGAGATCATTGCCATCGCCAAGCAAATGAGGCCAAGATCAATGGCCAGAAAGTTGGAAGGCACCGTAAAGGAAATTTTGGGCAGTGCCCAGTCCGTCGGTTGCACAGTCGAGGGTAGAAATCCCCACGACGTCATCGACGCCATCAATAATGGCGAAATTGAAGTTCCCGAGGACTAAGTGAGTATTTAGCCGAGAAGTTCACGGCCTGGCTTGGTTGAATGGAAATGTTAAAAAGAGATGAGTGAAATTGGATTGAAAGAATGAGAAATGGTTAAAAGGCCGTGAAGCTCGGTCATGGTCGGGGTTGGCATCCCATCCACTCCTGATGCCTTGAGCAAGACTTTCGAGTTGAGGCTGAGGGAGTTTGAAAGCCACTGGGGAGAAAACCCCAAGAACAATCCAGTCCTCGGACTGCCTAGTAATGGAAATCAAAATTCTCTCGGACGACTTTAAAATTATTTGTAGCTTCTCAAAGAGGCAAAAAAATTCATTGGTTTAGCACGATGCCTTGTTAAAAGCAGGAAAAAATAGAATTTTGATTTCTGTCAGGAATTAGCTGTCATTTGCAGATTCTTCAATGGTTGAAATTTTTGATTGCAGATTGTACCTCGAGGGCCAATAAATTTTCCATTAAATAAGACTTGTTTAATTTAAGTTACAAACACAGGATATTATTTCTGCCAATCTCCCTTGAATCATATAATATTTTCATTAAAAAAAAGATGCAATAATTTTCTGCTGAATTTATGAATTAGAATTCAAATAAAGACCAAAAATCTAAAGATTATTGTACGTGATTGAACTTCATTAGCGCCTGCCAAGTATGTTCGATATGCAACCCATAGTACATAGAAACCGAGCAGGTTGCATACTTGCAGAAACATGTGTATCAATCCACGTAAGATTCCCCTCCACATACTACAGAGGCGAAAGCATAAACATGAGCCTCTTCGTGACATCCTTCCTCCTCCACCACTGCACTTTGTTGTTATTCGCGATGTGTCAGTTGTTGGTCGGTTGACGTGTGTCAGCCCGTTGCGCGAGCTGTCACACACGCAGAATGAAAGCTTAATTAATCCCTCGTGCACCATTCTTTGCGGTTAGTCGAATTTTTTTCTCTACAATGCCTTTTGAAATTCGTTTTCCCAAAGTAGAAACCGATCGTCACGTAGGATGCTGCGAATTTGCTTTCCTTGGACGGAAGAACGGTCGGTCGCGCCCAGAAAGTGACAAACCATGGACAAGACCGCGGATTTGGTGGCGCCCTGGCGGAGGCAGGATGCCGTTCAAGAGCACGAAGGCCTTAGCTGTGGCAAGGACGACCTGACCAACATCTTCGGCTGGACAGTGCAAGCCCTGCTCGCCGCTCTCGCATTCACCTGTTTGATCTGTAAGTAAGTCACCAGCTTTTGCGCCGTGCGAGAGTTGAGAGATTATCTCGGCCGCAATATTAAGCGCTAAAAAATTAACATAAAGGATAGAAATAAATTAAAAAAAAAAAAAAAAATAAGTCAATTTGAAAGCGTACCTTCAGAATATTAATGAAACATTATGCAACTTTAAATATGTGTTTAATATTATAATATTATGAATTATATTGAAAGGAATTAAATGACAATTGGGAAACCTCAAATCAAATACAATTTTAGACATTTTATGCTAATTTTTGTGTGTATAAAATAAATTTAAGTTTAAAGCCAAAATTTAAATAAATTTTTATCAGTGGACTTTGATAAGATTCGATTATTGCTAATTTGTATTTCTTGGGTTAGTTTAAATTTGGAGATTTTGACCATGAAAACTTATTGCAAGGAATTAAAATTAACTTTAATGATATCTTGTTATTTGAGGGTCATAATAATGTATCACTTAAAAATGTTAATTTTTAGGTCAATATTAAATAACAGTAAATAATATAAAATTAAATCTATATGTCACCACAGAAATGAAATTACGTGAAAGTACATGTAATAACGGAATGTTTATCTTTATTCTCTAGGGACACAGTTTAAATTGGATGGAAAAGTAAAATTTAAATAAAAATTATTATATTATTACAAGTTCATATATATTTTGCGTTGATAGTAATCACAGTTGCCTTAGATTTGAGGATAAATTCAGATCTTTCATTCCTCTTTCCTTCAAAATTCACAAAATAAATGTAAAGATATCGTCAGAGGTTCAGTGCTGCAGATTTTTTAAGTTTTGGTAGATTCCAAAACTGGCAAGTCGTCTCATCTCTGCATCGCCCTGACTTGCTCCTTGACGTCTTCGAGCAAGAGGCAGTTTTTGCTGATGGCCTCGTACTGGTACCCCAGGTGGGCCACGGCCAGGTTCATCTTCTTCAGATTCTCCTCCGAGTTGGCGATGGTCTGCTCGTGCTGGCAGAAGGCTCGGGCGCTGTGGCTCAGAGCGTCGTTGGCCCTCGAGCCTCGGCTGATTTGGCGCGCCACCGAGGCCACGTTGTTCACGTTCACCTGCACCCTGTCCGCCAGCCGAGTCTTGGACTCGGAAAAGAGACTCCTCGCACTTGTGCTTGAGGCCGAAGCCATTGTGGAACTCTCTTTTTTAGTATTTCACACTGCAACATTAAATTTTTGCTTTCAAGTCATTTTCAAATTTTCTTTTAAATTAAAAAAATAATAATGATGAAATTGTATATTTTGTACTCAAATACAAACACTAATTTTTGGGCTCACCTTTCTTTGAACCAAACGTTGTTCACTCACAATCTGTGTGATTAAATGTTATTATTTTCTTTTTTTCTGAAAATATTTACCACAACCACACCCTTAAACAAGCTCATGCAGTATAGCCAACTTTTAGTCTCTCGGCAAGTTGCGCGGGAGCGCTAGGCCTCATAGCACGGCGCATTGATATTATTACCGATTATTACAATTATTCAAACAATTTTCACTGCATTTTATTATTTAAGTAATGTTGAATTCTTGCAATAACATTAAAAAATACGTGTTAATTTTTTTTCAGTGAAACGATTTTGTGAGCCTAGTCAAACGAGAAGACCGTGGCTCATTTGGTTCTATGACACTTCGAAGCAAGGCGCCGGAGCGCTGGTTGTTCACATGGCAAACGTTTACTTGGCCAGCCGATTCATTGGTGATGCTTGTACTTGGTAAAAGTTGAAGCCTATTATTGAATTAAGTTATATTAAATTTTAAATTTATCTCAGGTACATAATCAGTTTCCTGTTGGACTCGTCGCTCGGCCTCTGTCTCATTTACGTTGGCATCAAACTTTCACAATTCCTGGCAAGATTTAAGCAGTGGGAATTGATCAATTTTGGAGAATATGGTATATGCAAAACTTTGATTTAATAAAATGAGAATAAAATTTCTCATATATAAATTTTGTTCAATAGGCAAACCGCCGTCCTCAAAAGCTTGGCTTGCTCAGTGCGGAGTCTACATTCTCCTAATGATAGTTGAGAAGGTCTTCATAACACTTTTGGTCCAATTTGAGTTTTGGGAGGGTGTCAGCCACCTCATTCTTGCGCCTGTAGGCAACCCCAAGGTTGAGGTTACCCTGGTGATGTTAATTATTCCATTTTTCGTCAACGTAAGATTCAATTTTTAAATTTTATTTTTTATGATAAAATTATTTTCAAATATTACAGATTCTCATGTTTTGGGTGACTGACAACTTTTTAATGCATCACAGTGCTTCCAGTGATGCCCCCAAACAGAGAGCAAGTGATCCGAGGCGTCCGTTCCACCGCGCCAGATTTCGAGTGCAAAATGCAAACCTCACCACGAGACTGTCTGAAGAGTCTGAGTCAGAAATTCTACTTTCGGGAGATGATGACGTAATAAGCCCGAGCGATGCTGTCACATCAGGGGCAGTGGTCGTTTGAAATTATTTTTGTCAGGTAAATTTAAAATGCATTTCTGTCAATATTTGACTTTTTTATTTAGATATGTGATAGAAAAATCTTGATTCGTCTGCAATCCAAAGATTGGCATAATTATTGTATTTGTAATGATTTTTCACTGATGCGTTTTGCTTAAAGAATGCATTGTTAAATCTCTATGGAAGGGGATATATTTTTTAGTATTTTATAATATAATGAACTACACCATAAGTGCCAACATCGTCAATACATATTACTGGAAATAATGCATTGCAAGTTTCGAAAGAGTGATATATGAATCTGAATCCCTGATCTATTTTTGCTCTCTGAAAAAAACTTTGTTGTGAAATAAAATTATTCTTAACTAAGTTTGAAATTATATTTTTCTCTTGTCGTTTTGCAATTATCTGATTCAAAATGTCACCTGCTTCAGCTGTGTCAAATGAGCAGACACTTTTTCTCTTTTAGCTCCCTTTTTCTCTTTAGTCAAACCCCCATCACTCCGATTTCCGCTTTTCAGCTTTCAAAATTTCTGCTCCCAGCTCATTTTATAAAGATATTTTAAATATAATAAAGCATTTTATGAACTAATTTAACTATATGTACTTACAGCTGCAATTTAAATGTTCATTTATTTGATTTTTTCAGTTATTTAAAATAAAAATCATTTTAATATTTGGCCACTTTAGTGAGAGGAAACTATTTTCTTAATTTATTAGGCAATATAAATCAAATAACAAAGTTTGCAAAAGAATAGTTTATTTAGCACCTTTCCCATATTTAGTTTCTTTACTTGAAACTTATTTTTGAAGAAATCAATAAAAAAAGTCATCACTTTAGGAATGTGTATTGTCATTATTGAACATTATTAGCGCGTACTGAAATTCAAATAGATATACAATGGAGTTATTAAATATGTATGTTTCAGTACCGCTCGAAGGTAAAATTTGTCATTCAATGTTGAGGTTTTTATCGGATTCCCGCCTGAGCCAATGCAATGTGTCCAGAACTCTTGTCTAGGGTCCCAAATAACTGTACAGTTTCTCGACCACCTGCCAGAAAAATTTGATTTAATTTTAACTCTTACAAAATTTATGAAAATTTAATGAAATTTTTATATTTTTTTTTTCAATACAATTTAGTTCCAAGAAATACCATACATACGCTTAAAATATTATCCATAACCTTCCTATCAGCTTCATTCTGTTTCTCCAGCTTGTTTATTTTCAAATGCAGTTCGGTAACCTTTTCGAAAACTGCAGACTAAAATAATAAGATTTATTTGACAGAAAACTGTACAATAATTGATTAAATGACATCTCAATTTTCATATATGAAAAAGTGAAATTCAACTGTCAATAGTAAAATTACCAATAATCTCTCAGCATTCACTGATGAACACTCTTCCACATTCTTGTCCTATGGAATAATATTTTTGTTTTAATTACCAAAAAAGTATCTTCTGTTTAATTAATTTATGTAAAAAATACCTTTATTTTTTCTTCATTGGCAGATGAATTTGAGCTTGCTGAAAAGTTGTTTTTGACTCCTTCGTTGCTAAGGCACGCGCTACCGTCGTCGTCAGCAGGGAATTTGTCGCAGTCCAGTATGTCGGGCCAATCGAAATTCGTTTGGTTCATGAAACTGTGGCAGTCGTTTAGGGCCGACAGACACAGCGAACGGCACGGAGGAATCCGACTCTCGAGGGCCGAGCAGACCGGCGCGTAGACGCTGCACACGAAGAGCCGCAGGCCGGCACTGCAGTTGGCGTTGACCAGGGAGCTATAGTAGTTGAGTTCATAGTCCACGTCCTCCTGCGTCATCTGCAGATTTTGGATGGTGGGCACGAAGGTCTGGTTGTAGGGCAAGTCCTGGCAGAAAGGCACCTTGAGGGGCTCGCAGATTTTAACCTGATGGATCGACGAGGCGCCGCTTGATCGACCGACCACGGCCATCAACAGCAGCAAAATCGAAACCCGTCCGACCATTGCTAATAGCATTTAGACAGTGCAAAAAGCCTGTGAAAAACTAAAAGATGCGACCTTCAATCTTCGCAATTTACTCCCCGCTCCACCAGTTGACCTTCGAAATTTGCGGGCATTGAGCTCATGTATATTGGCAAACGCGCCACACGCATAATTAACGTGATTTATTTCCACGATCATCTTTACTGATCTTTGCACCAGACGCCGCTTTAACTTGACCGCTAAATTTTAGATAGAGCTCCGATTTTTCCCCTCTATTTCATAATGTATTTTTATTACCACAAAAAAAATTGATAATTTTTTATTCAAATTTCAAGTATAATTTTCTGTTATTTAAAATATTCTGATAAATCTGCAGAGCTTACCAAAGCAAGCAAATAAATGTTCATTATTTTGGGAGTGTGCGCCAATTGCACAGTAACACAATGTGCCAAAATGATATAATTTAGAAAGAAAAATTTTCATATCTTTATATCAAGCACTATAATTTTATTGACCAGCAATTTTGTATTTTTTTCGCACTATATCCTTAACACGTTGAAGGCAGGTAAAACTTTAGATATACCGCAGGAATAATTTAGATTTTTCCGAGGCTAAATCTTATTTGTCATATTAATTGCATTAATTGACTATAAATTTGATAATTGAAATAAATTGTTGATAATTTTTTTTTTTACAAATAAGAAGAGAAATTGAAATCAAATAGATACTTTGGATCACTTTGGATTTAAATAAATTGTTCTTTTATTTGTGTATTATAAATTTAAATATCATAAATATGGCGTATTATGCGACTTATTAATTTATTTTAAGGTGCTTTTTTAATTTTATATTATTTTAGGATCATATCGGATTGGTCCCTGTTGAGAGGGGTAATGGCAATAGTGTCTTTTTTATTATCTCTAATGAAATAATAATTGTATCTAAAACATATAAATTTTTACATATCAATGCAATCGTAAATACAATTATAATTTCCATATAATGGGTTTTATAACTGAATACTATATATTTTTTCTCTGGTAAAAAAAATAATTCTCATTCAGGTTAATTCAAATCTTCATTTCTTTTTATTTTCCATCTTCTCAGCAATTCTTGATCTGTTCATAACTCTTGTTTAGAGTTCCCAATAACTATACAGCCTGTTAACGACCTGCCAGACAATTTAGACATTAATAAAAACACAATAAAAATTTTGTTTTATAAATTTAAAAGAGCATAAATATAAATATAACTATAAACGAATTTTCTGAAAAAAGTGGTAAAATACCGATTATCCTATATACATACATTTAAGATGTTGTCCAGAACCTTCCTGTCTTCTTTATTCTGTTCCTCCAGCTTGTTGATTTTTAACTGAAGCTCTTCAACCTTGTCAGTAACAGTTGACTAAAAAAAGAAAATGCGCATATATTTGAGGAACGACTGCAGTCGAGGAGCCGGGTAACAAATCAATTTACTTGATAGTTTTTTTACATGAAATTTAAAGCAGGGAGCAAAAAATAATTTTTTTGCCCAGCGCCGCATAATCAAGGTTTAATGAAATTAAAATGCTTGATCAGATCAAAAAAATAAAAATACAGGATTGCATTGCACAATGCATCAATTAAGTTTGAATTTTTGAATGATCAAAAATTACCAATAGTCCCTCAGCATTTGTTGATGGACACCCCTTGTTGATGTCAGAAGAAGTGTCAGAACCATTGACTCTCTAAATAAAAATAATTATAAATGAATTTTTTTATTAATTATAAATTTTGCCCACTGTCTCTTCGAGGGTAGAGGAATTTGAGCTATGGATGCTCTGCGAAGAGTTGAATTGGTCATCTTCTTTGTCAATGCAAGCGCCGTGATTGGGCAATCTTTCGCAGTTCAGAACATCAGGCCACTGGAAGCCGAAGCGGTTCATCAAACCCTCGCAGCCGTTCTTGGCCGACAGACACAGCGAGCGGCACGGGGGCATCGAACTGCCAAGGGACGTGCAGATTGGCGCGTAAAGGCTGCACAGGAACAACCGCAAGTCGGGACTGCAATTGACCTTCACCAAAGGGTGGTAGAAGTGGAGTTCAAGGCCCACGTCCTCCTGGCTCTGGTTACGGAAGTTGGGCATGACGGTCATGTTGTAGGAGATGTCCTGACAGAAAGGGATCGTGATGGGCTCACAGCGCGAAGTACTGTCCTGGCTTGACCATCCGACCACCGCCAACAGCAGCAACAAAAACGAAACGCGCCCGACCATTCCGACAAACATTCAAAATCTGCTGCAATGATTTTTCAATATTTTGCACGGAAAAATTATCAACGTTAAATTCAGGCACTCGAAAAGTATACACTGAACTTTGATTTTTCTCAAGCAACTCGACCTCTAGGACCTGCCTTGGCGGGCGAGCGAGCGAGAGTCAGTTTAGCTCGCCTCCGCCGCTTCACCAAAAATTATGGACAAAATAAAATAATTGATCATGTCACAAGTATTCGAGAGATAAGGGGATGCTCTTTGGAAGGTCAAGGCGATTGCTTTCTTAACACATTTTGACAATTATTGAATTATTAATTATTATTATAATTGGCAATTGAAAAGTCTGCGTTTTGTTTGTATAGACCTTTTTGGGACTCCCGAATTTTACTGGCTAGGCCCCGGTACTGTTTTATTTTGTACAAACATAAATTAAGCATTAACTACTTACAATTCACAGATTTTTTTTTTAAATCTCATTTTACATTCCCTTGTATCACATTATAAATTTATTTACTTTTATTGCTTAAATCAAATCTTACTGTGTAATTTACACTTTTTTTCACATTATAATTATTTCCATTTCTCATGAAAATCCGAGTGAATATTATTATTTTTTTGGGGTAGGCCAACTAGGCCAAGACAAAAAGTGTCTTGTCGGCCTGTGCCCTTTTTTGAGCTTGCGGAAGGCAAGCTCCAAACTTATAACTATCGGGGTATATTTTATTTTGATATCCTATAATAATTATAGCAAATTGTTTAAATGAGGAGCTTCCCAAATGTCTGGATCAATATCCAGTATCAAGCAATAAAAAATATTCATAATCTCTTTATGAGGCTTAAAATAATGAAAATTCAAGTATCTGTAAATGTGACTTTTTTTACTTTTTTCGTCAGAATTTAGTTTTGGTTGATCTCTCGTTTAAATTACTTGCATTTACTATTTTTTACGATAGTGCAAAAAATATTAGCTGAACTGAAAAAATCACCCAGATAATTTTAATTATTTCTTGGTCTTCTTTAGCTCGTTTGAACAATTGTAATCTCCTACAGTTTTTATTATCTCAATTAGTCTGTGTAGTTTCACTGTCTATGCCAATAACTTTAAACTTTATAATTCTCATTGACATGGAAGACTGCAAAATAGAAAATAAATCATGTGATCTCTGCTCCCCTTCAAACTTTGAACTTTAAAAATTGCGCATTGATATGAATAATGATGACGTCTATCAGTTTATTTGTCCAAATTAATGACCATGACAGAAATACAGAATCGTCGTGAAATTTTGTGTTATATATGTGATTGCATATTGTTGGTTATTTTTGGCTAGAAAAAAATATTTTTAGTAAAAAATGAATAAAATCAAAATCAGAGATTTTATTTCTTTCAATAGCAATTTCAAAATCAATCAAATCAAATAAACAGCAATAAAATCCCGTTTATTGCCTAAAGCACGATTTTCAAATTCTTTTATTTGAATCTCAACAATTGAATCAATTTGTGACTGTTGCATTCAACGGAATTTTCATTCAAATTGCACATTGTTGCAGTTCGAGAATTTGAACAAATTCTTTGAAATGCCGATCCGCGCTGGTCGAACCTTTCAAGCGTCCCCCTTATTGGACTCCCTCTGCAAAATTCCTGATGGAGAGAATGTAATTTTGCGTATGACAAGCACCGCCTCCGGAAAGACCACACATGCCGGCGTCCTGAAGTTGCACTCCACGCGATCTGTGAAGACCGTCCTCTGCCCGCCGGCCGTAATGTTCAACCTTGGATTAGACGGCAATCAGGAGTATCAGGACAGCACCACCGTCCGAATGACGGTTGTCGTACTTCCTCTAGGCGACTCCGTCACTATTGGCTGCTCGTCCTGGATGAATGTCCAGCAGCAAGAGGCACTGAGGTGCTACGTGCAGACTCTTGCTGCTGTGACTGAAGGAGACCATCTACACGGCGGAAAAGATGATGCCGCCGGCGGACCATACAAGGTATTGCAGACGCGACCGTCCAGTGCCATCAGGATCGGGCCCGAGACCAAGATCGAGTCCATCAAAGTCACCACCCAAAATCAAGAGGAACAATTTCTCGTGGCCATTCGGACGATGATGATGAAGTCCGTCGCGGACGTAAGCGTGCAATAAGTGTTGAAAGGTCCGAGGACAACAAGAACGCGATCAGGAGGTGATGGATGGAGATGAAGAACAAGAACCAAAAGCAGGGAGGAGTCGATCAGCCTGAGGGAGAATAGGTCCATGGGGAAGTCAGACACGTGAGGTTGAGTCGTTTTTACAAGAACAACTCTTTGACCTCATTTTTTTAATTTCAAGTCTTGTGTGAAATCTATAATAATATATAAATAAATCTAAATATGTATTAGGCATATTATAATATAAGAAATACATTGTTCAATATCATTCCTAACTAATAAAACTCTTTTTAAATGGATTTATTATATTGTTTTATAAAAAATATTAAAAAAAAAATTTGAAATTACTTGAAAAAAAAATTAAAAAAAATCTTTTTTCCATGAATTTTTAATTTGGAATGCTGCTTTTATGGTCCGTTCTTTTTGCCATTGCTCGTGGCTGGCGCGCCCAGGCGCGCGCTTCCTCTCCCTCCGCTAGTGCACCCCTCTCATCTCAATGCGGTTTGTTTACTTTTGCTGCGACTGCTGCGTCAAACAACCAGACCTGAACCATACCCCACGTCTGTAGAAAATGTCAAAAAGAAATTGAAAAAGACGGCCGAAAGTGGCCTCCGCAGAGTCGAAGGCCGTCGAGGAGGCCACCGCGGAGGCCAGGGACTCAGAGGGGGCCGCGAAATGCCGCCTCTGTGGCAGAAAGAAGCCGTCAGCTGAGGACATTTTCGCCACCAAAGGGCTCGCAACCCTAATCGAAGACTGCCTGAGGATTAAGGTTACTTTTGATTAAATTATGTTAATTTTGAAATGATTTATAAATTCGCATTTTTTTTAAATTATTTACTTTACTTGAAACAATATAATTATTTCATTCCAAACTTTTTCTGAAAAAATTGCACTTTTCAGGTTGAAGAGGAGGACGGACTGCCACACCTGATCTGTCCGGAGTGCGTGAAGAAGCTGCGGTCGTGGCGCGTCTTCCACGACCGGGCCCACGAGACGCAGCAGTCGCTGTCCTTCGGGGTCAAGAACCGCGTCGCCCTCGAGAGACACAAGTGCGGCATCTGCGGGGAGCAGTTCGGCCGTAGCAAAGCGTTTGCCGAGCACTTGGCCTCGCACGCCGGCCAGAAGTTTGTGTGTCCGGTGTGCGGCCGGCAGCTGGCCAGCGAGGAGGGTCTGGTGCGCCATCAGGAGGTGCACGCCGCCCAGCGCAACCACTGCTGCCACTTGTGCGGACGCCTCTTCCAGACGCTCACCTGTCTGCTGCAGCACGTCCGGCTGCAGCACCGACCGCAAGGCACGCCCACCTACCTTTGTCCAGTGTGCCAGAAGAGCTTCACCCAGCGCGCCCATCTCGACTTGCACGTCCGGACTCACACAGGTCCGCCCCGGAGGAGGATTACGAATTTATTCCAAAGTTGAATTTGACTCTCAAAAGTCAGACTGAACTTATTTGTCAATTTCAGTGGAAAGTTTCAGAGAAACGGTTTAAATCCTACAATTTATGATTTTTAATAACAAAAATCTAATTTTTTAATCAAGAAATGATTAAAAAAAATTTACTTGCAAAAGAAAATGAATTTTTGTCTCAAATGTTTTAAAGGCAAATTTTAAAAATGTTGATTTTTCAAACATTTCAAATATTCAATTTTAAAGTCCTCACCAGGAAATATAGCACGCTTTTTAATTGCACCTTTTATAATATTAATAATGTTAAATAATTTTTTTTACAATTTCAAATCTAAAATGAAACGTTTAAAAAGTTTCCTTTCTACTGTTTCAAAATTCCCAGAGTTTTTCATCTATTCTTGAATTAAGTCAATAACTAAAAGAGATTTAATAAAAATTTTCAGGAGAACGGCCTTTCGGTTGTGAGCAGTGCAGTGCTCGATTTGTGAGCAGCGGCCAGTTGCAGCGGCACGTGGCAGGAGTGCACGAGCGCAAGAAGCGATTCAAGTGCACTCATTGTGAAAAGGAGTTTTTGTATGCCCACAATTTCAAAGGTGAAACTTTGGATGCTTAATTATCGAGACGAAAATTTGATTACGTGGATCATTGCAGCCCATCTAGCTCGGCACGAAGGGAACAAGGAGGTCAGTTGTGAGCAGTGTGACAAAACTTTCTTCACTAAAAATGCTCTGTTCAGACATCAGAGGGTTCACTCCAAGGAGAAACCATTTCCTGTAAGTTTAAATTAATTCTTGGGAAAATTGACTAAAGTTTTCATTTCAAATTTTAAAATTCAGCTATCAAAAAAAAAAAAATAAAATAAATAAAGGAATAGAATTTAGAATATTGTATTTGACTTTTTTTTCAATTTAGAAATTACTATTCAATTGCAATTATGTTTAACCTTTTTTCAACATATATTTGCTACAAAATTAATAATTAATTAACCCTTTATATGTTCATATGAATCAACTCGAATTATTTTCTAGTGTGATATTTGCGGTAAAACCTTTGCGGACTGCAGCAACCGAAAGCGACACATGCAAAACCACACCACATCCTCAGCTGCTCCGACTTTCCAAACCCGTCCGAAAGATCCCGAACTGCTCCTAGTTGCCCTGAACACGACGGACGGTGACCTTAGCCTGAACACCCTGTCCGGGGCGCCCCTGTCACCACCGCTGCCCTTGCCACTGGCACTCTCACCGACGCTGCCCTCGAGCCCAATCCAGCTTCCTCCATCGGACTTTTTGCTGCCCCTCAACAACTACTGACTCGACACGATCTCATTTGGTATTTTTGTTCTTCGTAGATCTCTCTTTGTTTGAAGTGATATTTTTGTAAAAGTTTTTATGATTTTTGTGTGATATTAAGCAGCCTTTAGAAAGAATTTCAACATTCCAGAGTAATTGTGAGCTTCAAATATTTATAAATTTGAACATTTCCATCTACTATTTCATATTTGTAGCAGAAAAATGTACATTATGTAATAAAATGTGACAAAATATTTAAATTGATTTTTTTTGCATAAATAAATTTCAAACAAAATTCCTAAGATTCAACGTGACGTTTGAGTTTATTTAAATTACAATTAATTCTTGAACCGTCCAAACACACACTGCTTGTGAAATTTAAATCAGTTTTGGTTTTGGCCCTCGCGCACTTAATTAAAAAAAAGCAAAAAGTTGCTTAGATGGGCTTGATCTTGAAGTGGAGGCCGATGAGGGAGAAAACGAGACACTTGAGGTCCTGCACCAGGTAGTAGAAACAGCGCAGACCTTCAGGGTCCTTGCTCTGGTTGACGTCGACCAAGCTGCCGGTCTTGGAGGTTGTGAAGGAGATGTGCTCGTCGCCGACCACGATTTCCAGCTCCTGACGACCAACCCTGTCCGGCTGTGGCCACAGAGAATCATCTTCCTGCAAAATCAATATGCTTGGTAAATTTCCTGTGAATTTGAGTAGTGGTTAATTTATTGACCTGCATGATTTCCGAGTCGACGATGATGCGTTTGAGCTCGTCCATGACCGTCTGATGGACGTACGCTTCCTTGCGGATCATCGTGTCGTTCTTGTAGTTGGAGTTGTTGGCGTATCGCAGTTTTCCGTCGGGCCGGAATTCGAACTCGAGGAACTCGTGGCCGAATTTGCCCTTGTGGCCCACGTAGTACCGCAAATAAAACTCCTGGGACATTTTTTCGGCGCAAAAACAGCGAATTCCAAGACAGACACCGGCGTTTGCTTCCTTTCGGCCTCAAACGCAAACAAACATGGCGGCGAATAAAATGAATGAATTTGAACCCCAGAGCCACCTATTGTGTGTTACAGCAAACAGAATAGTTTTAGAACAAAAAAGAAAATTCCAATTTTCTAGAAAGGTATAGTGAATAGTGTAATATAAAAAAATATTTCTCATAAACCTGAATTTTGAAATTAAAAAATTAGAAACATCGAAAAAAATTTGCCAAAAAAAATTGACATTCCGTGATTTAATTGTTAAATTTTTACTTGTAGGAAAATGTATAATGTTTTAATATTCAATTTTTCATTGAATGAAAAGTATTAAAAAATCAATGCAAGAAAAAAATATGTATTAATAGAGTAATGTTTATGAAACATGAATTAAAATTATTCAAAAATATGCTTACTAAGACCTAAAATGCTGCAGTTATAGAATCATAAGTAATTATTGATGCCACTTTTGCATTGTCAAATTTATCACTTTTATTTTCTTCACTAATTTCTTTATACATAGAAATTTTGATAAATTCTGATTCAAAATTTCATTTTGCAAGAATAATTTCCTAGGTAATGGGCAATAATATTGTTTATATATTTTAATATATTATAAAAAAGTTGCATTTTATATTGTTCGCATACAAGTTTTGATGTGTTTGTAACCGGTTTGAGCGGCGGGCGGGTGGAAACAAAACTGATAAATTCCACCATGTACATACATACATAATATTCTGGGGTGCTAATTGAGAGTGAGCTGCCGGGGTTGTTCTGGAGGGTGGCTGCGGCGGCAGGGGTGCCAACGCTACTAATGAGCCGGAAAGAGGCAGATATGGAAAAGTGCAGCGACGCTTTTATCGACTTTATTATTTTTCCACACGCGAGTTTGGTCTGCGAGCGAGTTTCGCAGACACTTTGAATGCAAAGGAAAATTCCAAATTCATTCAAGCCGCATTATTTGTGTGCAGATTTGTTCTTTGATAACTTCTCTGCTGTTGCACAATTACTTTGTTTTACGTGATATGGACGTGTCTGCGTTTATTTGCAACAAATATATAATTGCATTAATTCGGTTGGTGCGCGAATAAATACTCATGTTCGCTCGGAGGTAATCTGGTTAGAAAAAGCGTTGGATATAATGCAATTTGCGAGTGCAGCGGAAAAGCTGCTCTTCTATTTTCACGGCTTCACGCCTCTTATCGTCGGACACAAAAACAAACACCGCAAAAGTGAAAATGCACAGCGGAACAATATCAATTGATTAGTTCGCCTCTTTAATGAAAAAGGTAAAAATATGGAGAGCAGCGAAAACTGTCTAATAGAAATGAGTCAAAATTTCTCCATTATGTAATCAGTAAATTTTTCCAATTTTTAAAGCATATGCTGACTTATTTATAATAATTATTTTTGATTTCATTGAGTTGGTAGGCAAAAGATTAAAATATATTAATTAATGTTTTTTATCTTAATCTAAAATTTTCATGAAAAATTCCCATCCAAAGGCATGCAGTGGTGAAATAAATTTAAAAATAATTCATCACAATTGAAGCCATTTTTCTTACTTTTAAGGATCAATGCTCTCTATGAATTCTGAATATTTTTATTGATGATTATCTATTTTTCCATATTTCACAGGTTTCATGCAATGTGGAAATAAATCCGATTGTTTTATATAGTGTAAAATATTGTTTAACCCTGGTTTAACCACCATTTTCACTTATATCGATTATATAAAAATATGTTAAAAAAACAAGCATTAAAACAACAGAGTGCCTTTCTTAAAATAAAAGAAAAACATTAAAAAGGGTTTATTTTATATAGAAAACATGCATCGTGCAATAAAGCTCAATGGGGTATAACGGATTTGAGCTCAATTTTGATAATTATATTATTAAGTATATATTAAATTACTTTGTAGAGCATATATTTTTTTCTTTTTAATTTTTAAAAACATATTTTATTTTTTCTTATAAACTTGTTTCAAAGGCGCTTTCTCTATGAAAAAGACTGTTGCTTTTAGCAGTTGATTCTGTTCGAACGTGAAGGAAGCTGGTACCTGCGGCCAGTTTCTATAACAAGCAAATAAGGCAAAATTAAATCGCGCGTAAAATAATTATGCAAAAAAGCAGGCAAGTCAACAACTGGTCGCCTTTTAAGGCTTCACTTTTTCGCGCGAGAGAGGAAACTCTAGTCACTCGACTTCCTTTCCACTCGCACACGTACACACACCGTTCCTCAGGTTGCTCCTCAGGGTGTAGGACCATTCCTCGGGGGTGGCGCCGCCTCCCGACTCACACACTCCCCTCCCCCGCGGCCGCGAGACAAGAAGAAGGTGCAGATCTCTCTCAGTCAGTCGGCGGCGTGCTCGAGAGAGACCAACAGACGCTCGCTCTCTCACTTTGAAAAGGCCTCGCTCGCACACACAAAATCCAACTTGATGGTGATCCTGCAGGCCTTCCTCCTCCTGGCGCTGGCCGCCCCTCGCGCCGCCCCCGCAGCCGCCCCCGACTTTGTGGCCGTCGACCGCCTGGCCGATGGAGAACTGGAGCGCCGAATCAAGTTCGGCCGCCTCTACGCCAGGGAGACCTCCCTCGCCGACCCCCAAAACAGGTTGGACTAATTTTTTTTTTTTTATTTTGAAAAATCGGCAAGAGCAGTCAATGAGCGACAGAGACAAAGGCCACCGAGAATAAACCTTTGGCGCCGAGCAAGTGTGGCAAAAAATTGTCTGCGGTGGGATTGATTTCAATTATTTTGGTCTTTTTGCTTCCGAGTCACGTGAAGGATCAAATTGATTTGTTGTCTGCGCCAATTTGTTTTGACGAGGTGGTGCTGCTCTTCAATTGATGCGAATTGGCTGGAATTTGCTGGAGTTGAAATTTCCAGATTTGTATCTCCGGCGAATGGAAAACTGCAGATTTTAATCTAGCCTGCAAAATGTAGTTTCCTCCGCTCAAATACAATTTTTTTAAGCTCTGCAACGCCTTTTCCAATTGATTTTCACTTGTCGAGCTATATTGCATACGCTGTCTATAACCCTCATGAGGAGCACGTGGTTCCCATGGCTATAAATAAACAATAAATTTAAAGATCAGCAATTCGGAGTTGAAGTTCTCGCGGTCATCGCTTTAGATAATAATATCTCAGCAGTTTCTTCCATTTCGCAAATCCCACTCGTGTCATTTTGCAAATTTGTGAAATTTGCCACTGTTTGTGTTAACCAGTGTAGCTGATTTAGGTACAAAATTAAAGAAAAAAATATTACATCATTCATTTTAAAATAAGTAAATACTTACTACCAGGATTCCTCTATTTGTGTATTTAATTAACTTCTGCCCTTCACTCAAATAAAGAGGTGGCTCAATTTATTTGCCTGTTTTTGCTCCTTTTAAATTCCATTATATAAAATATAGGGGAAAAATTTCAGAGACGCAAAATTTTATTTAATTTATAAATTCGAAATTTCGCAAAAGTCACAGGGAATGAAAATAGTATATTATTAATAATCTCATATTGTTCCTTCATAATTTATCCACTCAATATATCGTCTCTTGTTATTTCAAAATCTTGCAGCTGCAGAGAAAGAAAAAGTTTATAAATTATTTAAGTGGCAATCGGTAAGAGTAATAAATATAAATTTTATGTATCATTAAAATATTTTTTCAGTAACAGAAGCACGTTAAAATAATAATAATTAATTAATTAATTAAATAAAACAAAATATCAACTAAAATTTTTATTTCCGCAAATTTAAAATCACTATAATATTTCTTATCTCGATTCCTATTGACGATTTACTAATAGCTCAGATTTGATTGGACTTTCTTATCACAGATTTTTTATCTCCCAATGTTAAGTTTTTTTTACAGTCGGATGTTCCGCCACCTGTCAACGCAGAATATTTATTTATTGCCAAGGTGCGAAAAAGCGTCGCGTGATTTTAGGGCCGCGCAGGAACTTTTGGTCTTTTTGCTGTCTACAAAGCCACACCTCTTAGTAAAAATAGAGAGAGCGTGGTGTGTGTAAAACAAAAGCAACCGTCTCGCAAACGAAAGAGGAGCAGGACAAGTGCACATGCTAATTGAGCACACACGTCTCTCTCTCGCTCACCGCGGTACCGAAATTCATAGAGAGCAGCTGTGCGCGGGCATCGTGCAGTGTCGTTTTTCCACTTTTTCAGCGGTTCGCCCGAAAAGGAAATTTCTCTCGCTCAAAAAGTTTGTTTTCGCTCCGATAATTAAAAACAGGAGACAAATAAGCAGAAAAACGAACGCGAGCTGCACACGTGTGTTTTGCGAAAAGATTGGGCCGCAGATGAATACTGATTTGCGCCGAGAGAGAGAAAAAAGAAGCAGTTGTTGTTGCTCGCAGGATTTTAATTCGATTATGCTCCAATAAATCACGGACGGATAAATTATTTATTTTCGGAGCTAAAGCAGTCAGGCTCAATTTTTTTCCTTTTCTCTCCACATTTGGCTTTTTGAATTAGTTAAGTCTCTCGTCGTGACCGGCTGAAATTTGTCTGCCACCTGAATTGGCAATCCGTTTGATTGATCGCCCGTCTCGATCTTTTTGCTCACTATTCAGCAGCGGACCTTCAATTATTTTTGGCACCTTTTCTTCGCAGAGGCGAAATTAGACTCGCGAGAGACCGTTTCCCTCTGATTCAACAGACAAAGCTCCTCTTCAAAGCATACCAATTAAATCTGAAGCTAGTTTATCTATTATATGATGCAATATTGGCTTCTCTTTCCTAATAAAGTAATAATAAAAGAACCATAGAAACGGTTAAATAGGGCGAGATTTGCCAGCCACAATGCGACAACCACAAATATAGTATCAAATAAACCTGATTCAGGGCCAGTGCGACCCTTATTCAGGACGACGCAACATGCCGATGCAAAAAAGTAACTGTGTCTTTGACCTCATAGAAAGACATTAATTAACGGAGATCAAAACTCCGTCTTGTTTTTAATTCAAATAATAAATAATTTATAATTAAAATGCAAAAATGGAAGCAAAATTTAAGTTGATTGTTTTAATAATTTATAATTTAATTTGCATTACCAAAGTGTTTGTCTGCGATGGCATTGAAGACCAAAACTTTTATCGTAAGTCGATGCGGTTAGCCTGGTTTGTTGGACTTGAAGATCAGCGGCGGCCAATGCTTTTTACGCGCATTCTCGATTATTTCGGCCGGGCGGGGCGCGAATTTGCGGTTCGATTTTGGCGCCGGTCCAAATTGAACTGGCGTGCGGCTCGAATCAAAGTGGCCATTGTTGAGCTGGTCCAGGTGAAAATGAGAAATGGGCCGTGCCTCTCTTTCTAATTAGTTGTTTCACGTTTCGGTGCGCCGAAATGATTTTCTCAGAGCGGCCGAAGGGAGGTAAAAAAATAATAAATCAAACGAATTGCGCGAGAAGAATATCAACAAAGCAAGTGTAAAAAGTGGTCGCAGCGGCATTTCAGGCGCCGTGGGAGAGAACTTCCAACGTGTACTTGAGTTCGATCTGAATAAAATTCGCAAATGGGAATGCAGAAAATGCGCAAGCAATTATTTTGTTTGCGAATCGGAGAATAATGAGAGAGGAGGTGGGCAAAAAGCGGAGTCGGTTCGGTGCGTGACTAAAATGGACAAAACGGAGCAAAAATATATATTTGGAGGCGGTTGCTTAAAATTGGGAGTAAACATGTGTAGAGACAAAAAGGAGCACCTTTCTTTGGCGCCCCGCACATCTGAATTTCAAATCGGAAGATCTTAATCTGCTAAATCTGCGACTTTTTGCAAATGTTTTTTCGTAACAATTGCTGGCTAAACGGCAAATTGAACTGGTCTATCCGTGAATCACAAAAGCTATGAAATCAGCACTTGTGAGTCAACGGGGAAAAAGTTTGGTGTTAGTCACTGTGCTGCGCACATTATTTAAATGATGAGATTTTATGATTGCTTGAGCATACATCTATTCTCAGAAGTTCCGAATCAGAATATTATACATATTGTGGTGAACGAAACTAGAAAATAAATATTTTTGAAATTACTCCGTGTATAAGTCTCTGAAAGTGAAAGTGCTCGAGTGAGCATTTTGATAGTGAAAGGGGTGTGCATTAAAATAATTTGCTTTTATTGTTGATGCTCTGATTAATTAATTATGCATTTCACTTTTGAGCGCCTCTATAGCTCTTTCCGACGGGCGCGAGATCAAATTTCAGCGCGCGAAATTATCATAATAAACGCGCCAAACGTGACGCTCACACACATCTCTCTCGCTTTTCCGCCCCTGCGCGACTAACAACCCCCGAGACGCGTCGTCGCCAATTAACAAAGCAGCGAATCAGACGCTCACTCGCACTCAATTCACTAAGAATATAGTAATTTTGTGAAAATAAAGGCAGTCTCGCCTTTGAAGAACAGAATTTTCTTATGACAAGTCTTGACTTTTCAAAACCGCAATATTTCTTGGTTTGTGCGAAATTTGACGCTCGTCTGGTCTTATTTCAATGACGAATCCTTGATGGCGCAGCGAGAATTGAATTTGCACCAGTTGATAATTTCATATTTTTTTTTTGGAAGTGATTTATTTCTGGCGCGCCTCTACACGCAACTTCACACGGAATTGCAAAGTGGCTTTACGGGTATCGCGTTTCATTCCGCAACATCGCTCCCTCTAAAAACTCCAAAGCATGCAGTACATCCCCTTTGCGTACTCAAACCAACCTTCCGGGATGTGTCTCACTTTTTTATTTTTAAATTTTGAAAATTAAGGAAATATTCTAAATTTCAAGTAATAATATAAAATTTTCCTAAATTGAATGGTAACACTCGAGGTGGATTTCATGAAAAATTGAAACCGGGCGAACCTCGTTGCAAAGAAAAATGAAAAAATATAAAGGACAACTGACCCCAAAGGCGACCTGCGGTCTGCTGGTACTTTAAAACCTAGGATTTCTTGTGTCCGACTAAAACTAAGTGGGAGGAATTAATAAAAAAGTAAAAATAAAATGGGAGAATTTTAATTTTAATAAACAATTAATTTCTGCAATTTTTGTTTATTAAAATTAAAATTCTCCCTTACTTTTTTATTAATTCCTCCCACTTAGTTTTAGTCGGACACAAGAAATCCTAGGTTTTAAAGTACCAGCAGACCGCAGGTCGCCTTTGGGGTCAGTTGTCCTTTATATTTTTTCATTTTTCTTTGCAACGAGGTTCGCCCGGTTTCAAAATTTTCCTACCTTTTTTAACTGATGAAGTTTTTTGTTGCTATAACTTTAAAACTTTGCCAATCCTTGCGTGTCAAATCTCCGCATGTCTTTGAGGTATCTGAAAAAAGGCATTTTTTATGTATTATAAAAAAATAATTGTTTAAAATTATATGTAAAAATGATAAATTTCAGAGCGAAAAAAATGCAATAATTCCTAAAAAAAATTCCATTCCAACAAAATTAATTAAATACATCTTACAGAATTGTTATATAAGAAAATTTGCTTTCTGTATTGAGAAATGGCAAATGATCTACGGGCGAGAAACAAATTGAGCCGTTGAGGCTCTAATTAAAAAAAGCTTTGCGTGCGGCCGAGAAGCGAATTTAATTTAATAATTGCAGGTGGCGCGTCGATTAAGGTTTAATCCTCTTAAGACTTCTTTCGCAGGATAAAAAAGAAACAGAAGAACTCCCTCTCTATTTGTGGGCACATCAAGAAGTATAATAATCTGAAAAATAATTGCTGATGCAGACACGTGATGACCTATTCTCCCCATAATTTACGGCGGATAATTAATAACGGCTCAATTCAATTTCCAATTGGAGAGTTTCCTTGCAATAATTAAGTGGAAAGAAACAAACCGCACACGTGAGTCGATCGACTTTGTGTCGTCGCCCCTTTGAGAGGAGGAAAAAGCTTTTGAGGGCTTTTGTAGTGGGCAATAAAGTAAACGAGCAGGAATTTCAGCCTCCGGCCGCTTCGTTTTCCTAGCTTCTCGACATTTTTACAATTGGTCGTCTCGTGTGTGCAGCTCGCTTATTATTTTCCCGCCAATAATCGTGCTACTGCTGCAAGGGGAAATCATTAAAGCGATTTTGCATTTCCTCGCCTTTGAGCGGCGGAAATGACGGAAAAGTCCAAAGGGACGGCAAATTGGCGCACCCGCCGGCTCCGAGACTTTTTTACTCCTGGTTGGCAGAAATTTGTATTTTTATTGTGCACCGAGAGAGTTTTCTTTCCTTAGGAACGCCAATTATCTTGCCGTTTTAATCAGCTCATGAAAGTAAATGAAGCTTATTTTTTTTACAGCACCCGTAATTTCAAATGCGCCGGGCCACACAAGGCGTTCGCATTTATTTCTCCTCTAATCCCGAAACGGCTCTGAACAAAGGATGGAAATCTTCTTTTTCGTGTGCAAAAAAAATTGAGAATTTATTTTTAGCATTTCCAAATAGAGCGATAATTGGCCGCATAGTTTGGTGGTCACAAAACCCACTTTAACCACAGAAAATCGCGTGTTTATACACCCTGTTTTTTATTCATTCTTCTTGACCACGACACCACATAACAAACAACGTTTTTCAGCGTGTTGGCCTTGTTGCTAATAAATGGTTGAAAAATTCGGCAAAATATAATATATATGTATGCGTTTGAAAATCTCCCTTATTTTACTTCTGTAAAGGCAAATCAAGAAAATAGAATTCATTCAGAATTTTCTCACCAAACAATTTATTAATTTCTCATTTTATATTAATTAAAATACAGTTAAATCCTTTTTAGTAAATACGCATTCATATAATTTTAACAATAAATAAAACAATAATAAAACAAAGCCCTTTTATAAAATTTTCAGAATTGATATAGACAAATATTTTTATTTTTATTAACACACCTTTTCATATTTAAATATTAATTTATAATGACAAATATTATATCAACAAAGCTTTGTAATTAACGCTAGATCTATGAAAGGACAAAAGTTTGAATAACAGATGTAGTTACAAATCTTTCTTTTTCTTATTCACATTGCAAGTCAGATTTTTCAATGCGTCATCAATTTTCTTCCCAAATCGCTCCATACTCTCCAGATAACTGAGCTCAAAATGGTTAACCTTAAATATTTTAAATTCTGAATTATTTTTGCTCATTACATACAAATTAATACTTTTTCTCCAAATAAGATTGTCTCTCCTTTAACCGAGTCCAAGGAAATTGCCAAATCGTCAAATTTCTTATATAATTTTTTTTGCAAATCTTCAGCAATCTTCAGGTAATTTGATTCCATTCCTATTAGCTATATTTACATTTTATTAAACTATAAAGACACAATATTATTTGTTACATACCTTGGAGAAAATTTCAGTTTCAGATGATTTTGCATTTTCACCGTTTGCGTTAACAAAATTTTGCAGCGTTTGGATTTCTGGAAGGACTCGGCCCAGTTCCGCGGACAGGTTTGACTCAAAGTCATCCATTCGCTTCAGTAAAGTCTGCGAAAGAGCTTGAATAAAGTAACGAACCAGGCATAATTGCAGTAATTGATCGAATTTACTCAACTGCACTCAATTCCTCAATTGATTCGCCATTGGAAGGGCAAATGAAGCGCATCTGGTCTTGATCTGCAACTGCAGAAAAGATGATGCTTAAAAGCAGCAAACAAAGTACGGAGTGCATTTTGCAATTGAAACAAACCTGTACTGACCCCACGAAATTTATACTTAACCTTATCACTTTTAAAGTTAATAGGCGGCCTAAATGCAACGGGGTGTTGAAATTATTTGTAATCAGACGGAAGTCATTTGCGAATTCTAATGAGCAGAAATGATTATTTTCGCTTGTTGTTTGACCTTTTCATTAAAACTAATTGGGAAGATTTATTTTCTTCGCATAACGCAGGGCTCAACTAATTTCAAGAAGAGGTAATTTTTCATTGAAATCAGATTTCCATTAAGGCACCGTGCAATTAAGCCGACGGATGAATCAAATAATTTGTTTGACTTGGCTATTAATGAAGACCCAAATCGGAGTTAATAACGTGTGTGCCCTTTGTTTCAACAACGCCCGCCTCCTCGACAACCTTTTCAGTTCTTCCTTTTCTCTCATCCCGTCGGCCAGGAAAAAATTTATAGACCTCTCGTGGCCGGTCGCGTCTCGGTTTCTCGCCAGCGCCTGGGGCCGATTTGTGGGAGACTGCTCTGGTGCTTTGTTCCAATTAGGACTTAATTAATCGAGCCGGAATGTAAATAAACGAATAAATTTATAACGAATTACGGCCGACCGCGTGACTCTGTGCACCGCTTTGAATTTCAAATCGGCACCGCTCGTTTACATCTTATCAGATGCATTTCAATACTTTTCATGTCCGCAGGGTGCACTCTTTGCCGCTCGAGGTCATGGATAATTTTTTCAAATACTTTCCCAGATGAATTAAAATTCTAAATCTAGAGCAGTAACAAAAAATAGGCCACAAATGTATTTCTATAAAAAAATCATAATTTAGTCAAAAGTAATTTTTCTGCTCTGGCTAAGACAAAGGGAAAAATTAGAAATGAGAAAAAGAGAAAATTATGGAAGGAAAAAAATATATTATTCCCTTCAGGTTTTTATTAAAATTTAAAAATAAATACATTAAGCAGGAACAGATAAAAACTAATATTGTCTTTAATAAAAATATCAGTCCAACTAAGCAAACTAAAGGGGATGGAATTAAAACTCAAATTTAAAATTTCCAATCGAGACGAGTTGAGAGAGAAAGGCTGCGGCTGGAAAGTGATATGGGGCGCGAAGGAAGGGTTGTTTTCGAGCACCCGCTCTCGACTCATCTGCAACAAGGGCGCGCCTCCTTCATGCTGTCTTTTTCTTTTCACTCGACAAAAAATGCACCAGGGCTGACTTTTGACGCACCCCCGCACTTGAACATACTTTTTCAGTTCATCCCTTCCGCGACAACAAAACACACTGCGCGCCTCTGTTATTTCTACATAAATGTTTTGCATGTACTCGAATTCAGGGAAACCTCTCTGGTGAGAGATCCCTCGTGCCAAAAAATTCCGTTGCGTGCGAAATTGAGTTGTTAAATTATTATATTTCGTTTGCAGAAGATTCGGATCGTCCGACGCCGACCTTTCGCAAATCGATTCTGTACGGAGTTGAAAATAAGTTCTCCATGAAAGATCCGCCCTAAACACTCTCTCGAGAGATAATTTTCTCGCGCCGTATAATTTGTGCAATTAGCGATAAAAACCAATGCCGAGCATTCTGCCTTCGGGCGCGACGACTTCGCTGATGCTTTATCTCCAGGCTGACGCGGATATGAATTTGAATATTATATAACCCAACTAACCTTTCTAGAACAGTCTAAATCGTAATATTTCTTATACTGAATTTCTGCACTAATTTTATTAAGAAGAAATTACTGGATTATAATATTATTAAAAGTTTTAATTACTTTATTATAAAGTAATTTATGTAATTTTTATGCACAATAATCCAATTTTAATTGGTTAATTAGAAAGATATTTAATAATTATTAAATAATGAAGCAACTTTTATTTATATTCTTTAATTTATGTTATTACTGATCATATTTTTACGTTGTTATTTTCATTGCAGACTAATGTATAAATATTTGTATTGGAAAAATAAGCAATTATAATATAAAAATATTCAAACTGGATACTTTCATAAAATCATATAATAGTTTTTTAACTAATAGTCGCTAATAGAGATGTTCTCAATGAATTCAGTGAAAATGAACTAAAATATAATGAAGATATATTATAAGCTTGGTTCAACTGGGTGCACCAAAACATTTTTTTATTAAAAAAAAATCCCATGTTGAATCCAAGAAAAGGACCTTGGGGACTAGAAATTCAATCTGCAGATTAGAAATTAGATATAAAAGAAAATTTATAATGAAAGTAGTATTTTGGTGTTAAGATTTTCATTATAGTTTCTTTTTACAATTTTAATTTTACACTGCCGAACCAGAATTTTTTTTTCCAATTAAATAGATTTTCTGGATTTCAGAAGAAAAAAATATGAAATTTTCAATTTACGAAATTTTTGTCCGCAGGGAAGGTCTTGTGCTGCGCGAGGTGAGCGACGGCCGGCAATTGGTGCAGCTCATCTACAACGACGGAGGAGCGACGCTGGTCGACTGCGATCTCATGCGTAAACGCAACGCAACGCGACACTTCCTGCGTCGTTTCCACGCCGACGAGCAACGCGCCCGCGACGCAGACGACCGCGCACTCAAGGCGCCGCCGAACGCAACCTTCACGGCGCTGTCCCCGGTGGCCCCGCGGCCCGAACCCTGGCTTGACTTCGACGCCCTGGCCACGTCCTGCAAAAGCAACCACCGCAGGGTCAGGGCGTTGCTCCATAGCAAGGAACACGGCGCCGAAGATCAGCGCCACCATGCACATCAGCAACTTTCCAGGTGATTTTCTTTTTAATTCAATTGCTTTTTTTATAGTAAAAGTGGATATGGACAGAATAAAAAATTAGTTGATTTTTTTCAAGTAAATAATTTAATCATTTTTGTTTTCAACGCTTTTCCTGCATTTCATATAATCTCAGTGACTAAATGCAATAAAATAAATTCAAATATTTAACTAGTATAACTTTTACAAATATTTTTATTATAAAACTATGATTTTATCAACAAATTTTTTTGATTAATCCAAGTTTTGCAAATAACTTGAAAATTTTGAATTATTCTTTTGTTACTAGAGATGTAAATTTTGGGATTTGAGATTTAAGACTGTTCAAATCCACTTCAAAATTGGATTTTTTTTTCAAAACACGTTTCTTGCAGAAACATGTGCAGCACAATTTATGTTGTTTTGTCTCTTTATGTTCACCAATAATTTCCCTCTCCCCTGAAAAATTGGGCATGCACATGCACTAAATTCAAAATTTTATGAATTTCTCGGCCAATGTGATTTTGGATTGCATGTCCAGTTTCTCCAGCTATTTTCTTCTCTATTTATGCAAATTAGTTGTGTTGCAATTGTGTTTGTTTTTTGCAATGTCCGCCGGTATATGCACTTTGATCTCTCATAGATTCAAGCCATTCAGCTCATTTCGCAGTAGCAGTCGCCGGCGATCAGGAAACGAACAGGGTCTTTGGCCCCCCAAGGCTGCCTCAAAGGCCCTTCTTGATTGTTTCCTCCACGCCGGCGACCGCTCTTCCGACAAATAATAGCTTCTTTTCATTGACAGATACAAATATCGGAGGCTGATTACATTCTTCCTCCGTTTCAATCCCGTATAATTAAATAAAAAAACTTTTTTACAGATTTTGGCTTTCAAGAATTTCATCACAATTTAAAAATCACTGTCTTAAAAGCCAGAATTTTTTGTTTATCATTTCCGATCATTTCATATAACAATTCAAAGCGACATCCCTCTCGACCGACAAAAGCGAAAACTCTCTGAACATCCATAGCACTCTCTCAGTTCAAACCCCTGCATCTCTCTCGCTCAACTTCGATCCCCCGCTCTCTCTCATCTCGCACCGGTGGATGAACAGATCGAAACCAGCTTCTCGTTCTGTGCAGGCCATAAACGCAAACAGGTGGCGGCGAGTGAAAAAATACACAAGAGGAGGCACAAACCGCTTTTCTTTCGACAACAAAGTGTCTCACTTTTCAGCAGACACACGTCCGACCAGTTTTCCTTGTTCAAAAGCGCACTCAAATCGGTCACATGCAATCTTTTTCGATTCATTAACTCGTATCCATGTCTGCGCTTGACTTCACAAAGCAAGCTTTGATTTTGCCGATTATTATAATTTGCTACAATATTTATGAACCCTAAATAATTTAAAACCACAAAAAACATCACAGTTCAAAGGGGGTGTAAATCCTAGTGTGCAACTTCTGCGCACACCTAAACCTTTTTGGGCACAAGTTTTTAAAATTACCACTCTTATTACAAAATTCAGTCCGATAATTCAATTTCTTTCAGCAGCTTTTGAATTGGGAAATGTTTGGTCTGCACGCTTTTCCATTTTTTGTTGCCAATATTTGGGCTTTTTCTACTTTTTTTCATTCCCTTTATCCCTTTGGTTTCCTGGTGTTGGTGATGATACTGGTGCTCTGTTTTTTCCCGCTGTTTTTCGTTACCTCCTCTCTTCTTTTTTTGTTATTTTTTTTTACCAACCTGGTGACCTGCCCTGCATCGATATAGAGTGAAGCGCGGCTGGGGAATCGCGCCGGGCACCGCGTGGTGCGGCCACGGCGACAGCGCCCGCGGACTGCGGCACCTGGGGGTGTTGGCGACCACCGACAAGTGCTGTCGGCGCCACGACCACTGCCCCCTGCTCATCGGCGGCTTTGAGAGTCGCTTCGGCTTTTACAACATTCACCCCTTTACCCTCAGCCACTGCGCCTGCGACGAGAGGTACAAATCCAATCAAAGTCCTTCCTTGAAGGGTCAGACAACCTTAAAAAATTTAAGTACAATGAGATATATTAAATAACTATCATATATTTAAACCTTTTCGCAACGATTGGAGCCTTTATTAAGAAATTTTGTCTTAAAATTGGTGGAGTTTTTTGTTTTTTAGGTTTAAAGTTGTTTCAGTTATCTAAAAAAAGTCGCTGTTAAACAAAAACTTTTCAATCGTTGCTCAAATATGGATCTCAATTTGTGAATATTTAAATTTTTGGAGGCTGTCAGACCCTTTAATTTAGAAAATTTAAATTTAAGACAAAAATCAAATAAATTGAAGATGATCTTTCAATAAAATAAATTTAAAAAACGTTTGTAAAGAAAATTCTTCAAAAATTTTAAAATGGTAAAAACTGAAATTTTATTTTTAAATTTTCTACGCCCTTACAATACCAATCCATATACCTCAGGGTGCATTATAGAAATTTGAACTAACTCCGTGGTGGCAGATATTAAGATATAACAACCAGCTTCTCCTATAATCCTACAATCCACACAAGTATGTATAAAAAAACGAGAGCAAAAATCTTAAAACAATTGAGTTGCTAAAGGAAGGTTCTAGAGAGAGTTTTTTATTTTGAAATTCGTTCTCGAGAGGGTCGTTTTGGGTCTCGATCGTTTTTTACTGACGGAGGGGGTTGGTTCAGGAGGAAGCGCGAGCTGCTGGACCTAATGAGGGTGCCCGGAACCAAGTGGTGCGGAAAGGGCAACTCGGCGCGGCGCTTCAACCACCTGGGCGGCTTCAGCGGCGCCGACAAATGCTGCCGCGTGCACGACTCGGCGTGTCCCTTCTACATCGGCGCCTTCGAGGAGAAGTACGGACTCCTCAACTGGCGCGTCTCCACCATCATGCACTGCGCGTGCGACGAGAGGTAGAGTAATTATCAAAAAATTTACCGTCGAAATCAGTACAAAACAAACGGAAAAACTCAAAAGCATTTTTATCGGATAATTGGTGAGAAATTAATTTTTAAAAATAATTATTTTCAATTTATTAAACTCGTCGGGACAAAAATTCAGGTGCATTTCTAGAATTTTTAATAAGAGATTTGAGTTTAAAGTCAGCTTTTCCTTGATGAGATTTTTGAGCCGCTCATTGTTTTGTAAAAAGAAAAAAAATGGGAAAAAAATTTCAGATATCACCAGGAATCAACCCTCAATTGCGAATTTCTTCTTAAAAACTTATAAATAATTTGATTAATTAAATGTTTCATTTTAATTTATCTTCTGAAAATGAGTTGAATAGAAAAAAAGGCCAGGCGTAACTTTTATTAAATCTCCCTTGTAATTAAAATTATGCCTGATATTACTTGTATAGTTGTATAGTTTTTAATCATTTTCAAATATTTGGGATTTTCAATGCAATAATGGAAATTTAACAATTAAAACCGTGAGATACGCTTGATGAAAAGGACTCAACAACTTTGATGCAGTTTAATCAAAACATTATCGACTTATCAGTCACAACATTGTCAACGCTCGCGTGCGTAAAGTATTCAAACATCCCGTATCTTTTTCACAAGAGAGAAGTGTGAAGCCTGGAATTGCCCACTCTAATCTCGATTTATAAATTAGTCATAGAAATCTGCGGCCTTCTGGGAATCCCCGAGACGGGTGCAGCCTCCGTCACTCTGGGGGTGGTTTTGAAACGTGATAGGGTTGTTTTGCCGTCGTCGGACGGGGGTTGTTTTTTCAGATGCATATATAGTACTTTGCTCCGGACTTTGATCTCTCTCGCGGCGCGTCTACTTCCTGCCAGGCTCCGTTTTCTGACATGGAATTGACAGAAAAGGAGAACGGAAAACGTCCTGGCGGTGCGAGATGGCCGGAATTAATCTCCGTCCATTTATATCTAAATTGCCTTTTTTTCGAAGGAGCTCCGTGTAATAAAATAATTGGTCCAGCTAGAGAGTCTCGACCAAATTAAAAGCGCGTTTATATTTTTTGTCGCTCAACAGAAGTGACGCCGGGGAATTTGATAAAAGCTTCTCCACGCGGTCGCTCCGAAAGGTGCGACACAGGCCCTTATCGCGCCGCTGGAATCGCTCTTTTCCAAGGAAAGGCCTCAATTTGTCGCCTACCTGACGTTAATTGACCGCTGCGGATGGGAGAATTTAATCGGGCTTTCCATGAATCGCCTGTCCAAACGCAAGGACATGTCGAAAAACGGGGCTTTTTATCATCTAGAAAGCGTTCACCGCAGTGAAATATGTCAAGACCGCGCGCACATAACCCCCTAATCTCTGCTTTTTATCATCTGTGTACGTAAAAATTTGATAATAGACTCGCAAAAAAAAATATTTTTGCTAATTTTGTCTCTAAAGACCTTAAAGTTATTATACATAATAGACCATTTGATTGAATTTATTTAATATTTTCCATCTTGAAGAGTGGATTTTTCAAAGTCCCCTTCATTTTGCCCCACTTTTGAATTTTCGGTAAGTAACAATCATAATTTTTTCATTATGTACTATGATTACAAGCGATTACATAACCAAGCAAATATTCCTACAAAATGAATGCAGAAAAGATTTAAAAAAAAATCCATTAAAAATTTATATAAGAAAACCATGATTTTCAATTTTTTCCCCTCTATAATTACATTTCTGATCGATACATTCCATCGTCTAGGGGTTGTTTGTAACATTTGAGCTGTGTGAGGGAGGATGGGGGTGCGGTCAGACAAAAATGCATGTTTTCGAGGCGCCAGGTATTTCCAATCTCCAGGGGAAGTTATGTTGCGTTTTCCCATTTAAAAAGAGCGACCCTTTTTCTCTCTCGCTCCTCCTGTCAAATGAAGATTCAGATCTCTTTTGTTTTATTTTTTTCTTTCTTTCTATTCCACGTGTGTGCAATTACGCGGCCGGGAGATGACGGATTGGATGCTGCGGCTGTGCAGCTCTAGAGTGTCAATTAAAATTCCAGTCGCACCGGCAGCTCGCGAGTTTACTGTTCCTGACGCGCGGGTTTTGCTTTCTCTGTGCTATGGTGCGACTTTGCAAGCGGCCAATCAGCTCACCGCGCAATTGTCACGCCACTGCTTTTCGCCCTGCTGGCTCATTTTTCCCGACCGCTTTTTATGTAATAAAATAATGTAAACGACCTGCCGCTTCGGGGCGCGAAACAAATAAAACCAACCGGACGCTCTTTAGTTTTATTATATTGAGATAAACTCTTTTGGTTTTTGTCTTCTCCGATTTCCTCTTCTCTGCCGTGACTTTTATTTCGGGCGTGTTCACAAAAGACTTGTGTTTCCAACCAATAAAATTTCTCTTATCTGTGCTTTATTTCCACGATAATCCAAAATCCAACCTCGAGTGACAATGATTTATATATTTTAAACAATTTAAAATTATTTTTTGAAAAGAAACTTTGAAATCACCCCAAAGACATATAATTAATTTTTTTAATAATTTTTGCCGTTTTTTAGACGAATAAAGAACGCAGTAGTCAGTATTTCTAAATATAAATATAATTAATAAAAAGTATTACTGATAAACATTATTTACGTAACAATTAAAAAATGATAGTTTAATATTAATATATAAGAAAATTTAAATTGGCGGTTATTAAAAAGCATTTTCCTATTTATTATTATTTTTTAATAAATTTTACTATTATTGATAAATATGCATATTTTTGTTTACAATGTTTTAATTTAATCTCCTTGAGAATGTTTAATGAGATTGTGGGTCCCAACCATAAAAATCAATCTTATATCAAAATATTATATATAAAACAAATTTCAAGTGGTTACTTGATAAAAATTCTAAACAAGAATTCATCTGGTAACTCGTGTCCCTAACATTGATGATGGCAAAAATGATATAGACTCGAAATAAAATCTTAATGAATGAGCCCCCGGCGAAATTAAATAACAAATTCGATTGGCAGAAGCAAGAGGCAAAAAACCGCGACATTTTCACAGCAATCTTGACCGCCGGCGAACTTTTTGCACCGCCCATCAAATTATTTTGACCGTCGCCCTGAAACGCGCAGCCGTTTATTATTTCGCTCTGCAATAAAAAAAACTTATACCCTTCGCGTGCTCAAATCTCGGAGGTTTCCCGCGAATCCTCGACCACTGATTTTCCCTTGACTTACTTTTTGGTTCATGAACGAGAATTAAAAAGTACAAATCAATTGCATGGGTAAGTACATTTTCAAATACAAATAAAGAAACTAGAATAAGTGGTGGACGCAAAAATAGAAAGATATTTCAAATGAGGGCAATTGGACGGCTTGGGTTTCGTGGCTGCTGCAATTTCAGCCAGACGTCGCGCCACCCAGCGTTTCTCCGTCCTGCGTAATCTCGTCTCCGCGTGGTTTAGAATTGCACTCTATGGAAATAATGCGATTATTGCGTTCCGAGTTACTTGAAAAGTGCAATAGAAAATGCTAAAACTCACAAAGCTCTGAGAAAATCAGCCGAGAGAATCTAGCGATGCAAGTATATAAATAATTGTATTATTTAAACAGTATTTTCTCAATTGAAAAAAGCTCTTAAAAATTGCAGATCGACAATAATTTACAATTTCTTGACATATTTATTATTAAATTTCATTTAACAGCTAAAAATTATTTTTAGCTCATCATTATTGGTTTATTGTTTCATGAATTATTTATTAGCTTCATTAAAAAGATCATCAAAATAAAAAATAAATGTAATTCATTAGTTTTTGCATTCATTAGGCCTAAAAAGGAATAAATATTATTTTTATTTTTCAGAAGACTGAAAATCTTGTTACAGATTTAGTTCAGATTAAATTTGAAAACGGTGAGAGGGAAATTTTAGAGAACAAAGGGCGATTATTCTCAGTTTGTAATTTTCCTAGCTCAGCACATTTATATGAACAGGCGCAATGAAAGTTGTTGCGACGCGACCCCCGTCGAGAGTCAGGTTGGGGGACGGTTTTGATGGGCCATTCGGACCGCTCGCTGGTCTGCATGGTGTCTCGGGGGCGACACACGGCACGAAAATAAACCCGGCAAATGATATAATTCATTAAAGCGATCAAATTGCGCGCCGTTTCATGTTCAATCTCCTTTATTGCTGAGCCGCGTAAAATAAAACGAATCTCACTCCTGCTGCTGCACTTATTAAAAATAATTGAATTACATTTTGAGAGCCAAAAGGCCTTGGAAAAAGTTGTAGAAATTATTCATTAACACTCTGATTTTAATTAAAAAATTATTTGAAAGATTCTTTGCAAAAATATTTATTTCTTGCTGAGGAAATTGGTAACCGATTTTTGACATTTTTTTATAATGAAATAATTGGCCGGGTGCGAATTGAAGCCGGATATGAAAGAAGAAAAGGCGAAAGGCAATTTCCTTTGTCGCACTTGCGCCGCGATCGGCGCTTTTTCACGCTCGCTTTTGGCAAGGGGCTGCAATTAGACATGCACCGAGGGGTGGTTCTCTCTCGCGAGGGGGTGGCTTTTTCATATCAGCGCTCACGCTCGACCGACCACAAAATCACTTCTTCTTCTTCTTTTTCTCTCGTCTCGTCTCGCTTTTTCTTCCTTTTCTCTCGCAGCTTTCCTGCAGCCTTTAAGATATTCAAAACTTTCTCAATTCAACATAGATCGAAACAATAATTTATCAGCGAGGTTTGGAAAGAAAGAACAGCTTGTTTTAATTAAGCGGTGAATGTCCAGTGTAATCTTATATTTCAGCGGCAAAAACCGCACAGGGATTTTAATATTTTTATTATGTCCCTAACGGAGCGCAGGGAATAAAAAAAGTGGCAATAAAACACGGACCCGATGGAGCGGAAGCGAAAAATAAATCGCTGAGCGCGCACGTTATTATTGGAATGTATAATGTGCAATAATTTGCGCGCGCAAAAACCGGCGATGAAAAACGACCGATCAAAAATGGTGCCAATAAAATAAAGTGAAATCTGCGTTTTATTTCATCTCTCTCATACTTTAATGCGATCCCGCTGTGCCAAGAATGAAAGGAGAGCAGAAAAGACGCCCTTATTTCTTTGATTCTGGGGTGCCAGGGCGGCGAGGGAGCGCCGGTAATGCTCTGGAATACGCCACAGAATAATCGAATACCAATTCGTTTAGGGGTTTTAAAATCTAGATCTCTAGGCCGTGTAATAATAATTCAATCTAGTTTTGCTGAATATCGTCCGTCTAGGCTGGAATGTAGGTGACATGCATAACCTGTTTGGTTCTGGGAGTTGTTTAAAAAAATAATAATAATTATCTTTAAGAGAACATTTTAGCAAATTCTACAAGAGGTATAAAATTATTTTAAATAATTAAATATAAATTCGAGCGTATCTTATAATCTTATCTTATTTGCAATAATGAAAATTAATGGATTAAATTGTATAATGTTGTCTTTATTTGTTCAAACAAATTTGCTCGCCTTTGATCCTTTCTAAAAGCTTCATCATTTTAAGGGAAATAAGAAAAATCAAAAACCTTTAATGACTTCAAGTTTTAAAAAAAAATCTCAAAAACTCTCTCTCTCTCTCTCCCTTTTAAACAATAAAAAATATTTAATCTCTTTTGCGAGCTTTGCGATAAGAATTTTGAGTTTTGAGAGAAACATTGAAGTTGGGATCAATATTGCACATTTCGTCAAAATGCCGAGTGCATATTTCTAAATCGTACTCCATTTCTTTGCAGGTTTCGGACGTGTCTTAAGATGTCGGGCACGGGTGCCGCAAACATGGTCGGCAAGCTGTTTTTCAACGTGGTGCAGACAAAGTGCTTTGTGCTCAAGAATGAAAAGGTGTGCAAAAAGTACTCGTGGTGGGGCAAGTGTCTCAGGTACAAGCGCCAGAAGCAAGCCTACCTCAGGGACAACCTTTCGTTTTGAGCAAGTGCTGCCACCTGCACGAGAGTTTAATTTATTTTCAATTCCAGCTGTGATCATTTTTCTCCTGCTGCTGCCGATTTTCTCTTAATTTAAAAAAAAAACTACTACTGTAGGTTTAAAAATATTGAGACCCTTCTGTGTAAGACGGTGTAGAATATTCAGGGCTCGCAAACGTGGAAAATAATGCCCCCTGAATAGGAGGAGACAAAACGAAATTGTATACCAATCTCTCTTTGTGTTAGATGATGAGATTTTCGCTTAAATTTTGGACGTGTAGTTGAACGTTACATATAGAAAAAGAAAATGAAAAATACTCCATCTGAAATTCCACAATGGACAAAGAAAGAGCCGAGATGAACTTTAACTCTTGATTCCGAAACAGTCCCCTGCTTAATTTTAACAATCCCCGATAATATGACACTTCTTAGTTGACATTCCATCACTAAAGAGTCAAAGTTGGTCAAATATGCCACGGAAGTTATGCTGCATTAATTCTAGACTTTGGCAGGAGAGTGTTTTTTGTCTCGGCTGTTCTTCCAAAGAAAACCAGTTAACGAAAACTAAAGACGCCGGCAATCAACTAATTAAGAGTAATTTATTAATAATAAATCAATTTCAAATATATGTTAATGTATAATGTAAGAGTACATAATATTGAAATATATTGAATGTTGAGATGTTGAGCAGAAGTTGCCGTTGAGATGATGAGAACGATATTATATATATGAGAATGTCTGTCTGTATGAGATAAATTTTGCGAAAAGCTGCTGAGAAATCTAAAAATGATCTGTTCCAAGTCACGAAAGAAAAACAAAATGTAAAACAAGAAAAGACTTAGAAAATAATAAAAATATGAAACACGTTTAACCAAACCTTCTTTCAGTCAAAAACAATTTCTCTTCCCTGCTGGTGATATAATTTATTGGCTCCCTTTCTTCGAACAGATTGAAAAGTTGACTGCGAAGGATTAGGCTGAGTGGCGAAGATGATTTTTCGCGTTCAGCCAAGTGGTTTCCTTTCCGGCACCCTCTGTCAGGCAGAAAGGGAGAAGTGGAAAGAAGTCTCGTGACGATTTTGATCCCCCGGCGCGAGATTGATGGAATTAATCCCGCGAGCGGAGAATTTTATTATCATTTGCACTCTGGATGAATTTTCGTTTGCACGCACACGCCTTCCAATTAATCGCTAGACCATTCGCAATCAATCCGCTTAGTAAAAACTTTTAAAAGGGAAAAAAACTATATGAATGCTTCCCAACTAAAATTTAGCTTTTATGATTTAACTTATGGTACATTACGTTCTTCTTAATGGGTTAAAAACTCCTGCGGCGCGACTTAAAAATATTTGCTGGAATGTCTACATTAAAAATATTTTATTAAATAAATTTAAGTTACCAAAAAAAGTAGGAACATTATAATCAATTGATAAAAAAGAATTGATATTTAACTTGAAAATGCTGATAAAACAAGAAGATCCTTCTCTGCTGAGAACAGAATTTATAGAATATTGTTCCAACCAATCCTTTTCACGCCATCTTCCGTGCTTTGTTCAAAGTGGTAACTTGATCTGCCAGCGCAATATTATATGGGTATAATTAAATTTTTAATTAAATTTGGTGAAAATTCACATCAATTTCTTTTAAAATTATTTTATTTTAATAGAATTAGCTAAACATAATTAAATTCCATTAAAATTACACAAAAACAATTCTTTTTAAAATAAAGCTCTAATGATTTTTTTTTCAAGCGTATACATATAGCCCAGTTCCAACTCTTTACTTTTAAATTTTAGAACAAGAAAAAATTAAATTTTAGTGCTTGTGACTAATCAACCTGACGTGGAATTACGTTCTGAGATGCGAGGTATTTGAGACAAAGCCCGTGTAAGAGAGTTAGAAAATTCCTTTTTGTGATAGTATAAAATATTAATTGAGGGCAAAAATTTCCCTAAATTAACATTCTATCTCGCGTCTCGGAACGTATTTCTACGTCAGGGCGATTAATCACAAGTACTAATTTAATTATTCATGGTTTCAAGTAGTGGTTCTTTGGGTTTCAAATTCTCTACAAGGAAAAATTCGGTGGGCTTGTTTGTGGTCAATTAGTTTATTTTATATCTGTTTGTGGTGTATCACAAGGGGGAAAATTAAATTTTATCATTCATTAAATGCAAAGGAGGTTTCATCATTATTAAAAATACATTTTATTATTTCTAACTTGCTGCTGTTAGAAGCAGAGGTATTTAGAAAAAGTTCTTCGGACAGTTCAACATGTACTCCAAGAGCTTAACATTGATAATTGTGAATTTAGCACTTGTTATTTTCACAATGGCCACCTTCATTATGTTTCTAGTATTTATCTACAAACAGGTTCGTTAGTTTTAATTAAATACTTTTATATTCGGATGAATAATTTATTTTTCGCCCACCTTTCTATGTATAGGATGTGAGTGCGCAAACACTTCACAGCCTTCAGGGCGAAATGAAGGAATTGCGAACGTTTGTGGATTTGGCAAAAGCATCCACGAGTTTTAAAAATCTCAAAGAAGTATTGCTATTCAGTTTTAATCAATTTTATCTTATTTTTAACTCTTTGAAACATTTAGAAATCGCTGCAAACTCTGTGCCCAAAAGCATGTAAGTTTATTCTAACTTCTAACATATCAAATACCTCAATAAAATAATAATCTACACTATAGATTCGAGAAATTTGACGCTTCTGCCAAACGGTGATTATTATTTCATAAGCAAGGATGATGAAGTGAGTAATTTTTAAGTTCTAAATTTAATAATAATAAATAATGATTGTTTTTAGCTCAACTGGATGGATTCCAAAGCATTCTGCTATGAAAATGAAATGGAACTTGTGAATATCAAGTCGGAAAATGAAATGACTATGCTTTGGGTGGTGGCAAAGGAAATCAACACAAGTAAGAAAGAGAAAAAATAGCAAGAAAGTCTTATTCTCTAACTTTCAAATCTGCAGACTGGTGGTGGGTTTCCGCCTCCAACGTAGGCAGACCCGGCGAACAATACACTTGGTCTGATGGTCGCGAATTGCCAGAAAACAGCAGTTGGTGGGATAAGATTAGTACAACGACTGCTGAGCCAGACAGCATTAAGCCAAACTTGGAGACTTGCGTTGATCTTCGTTTCGGAAAATTGTTAGATTTCAGATGTACTCCAGAGCAGCATTTCATATGCAAGGTGCAGTCAAAATGCATCTAACTGGAGTTAAATTGAATTAAGTTGTTGGAAACAAATTATGCTATTTTCCTTTTTAAGCAAACATTTTATCGAGTATAGAAGTTTTATAATATTATGCATAGTAAATTGATTTTTTTTTTTTTTTTTAAATTCAACTCATTTATCTTCAAAATTTTTTATGTAATGTTATCCTACATACTTTTTCCTCAACAAAAATAAGTAATTTTCTGTTTTACAGAGGTATTTGTAGTAACAAAATACTTTTTTGATACGCAATTTAATTAAATTTCTTATAAATATTTGTAGGTAAATAATTAATTAATATTTAATAACCTCCGAAAATGAAATTTTACTAACAATTATAAAGGAGATTTACAAAGAATTCTTCAAATTCTCTAAAAATAATTGCTTATCAGTAAATATTGTAGTGCAATCACATTAATAAATTTGTAAAACCGTACATAGTGTGAATTATAATTAAGTGCTGGGAATAATTTGTAACAGTAGAATTTACGTTTCAAAATTTCCAATATCCATTTTTTAATGAGTCATTCTGTACAACCCTTTAATAAAATTAGCTCTCATAGGCCTCACAAGTATTTAAAGCTTGATGTTTCAACTTTCAACACATTTTATATGAAGCAATAATTTATAATATAATACATGGAAATGTACGAAAGCAGCCAAAATTTTTATAAACTTGAGCGAATCTAGGGAGAATTCATTTTTCTGAATAGTAAGCAACCCGCAGCTTCTTGCAGACACGCAGGTTGCATATATTGCTGCATTAGCTTATTGTAAGAAATATTAAAGATTTCTTTTTTAATTCTAATGCTTGACTTTAATTTTGAATGAGAATTGAGAATTCTTTTCAATAACATTATTATTTGTTCATAGAAAGTTGCATAAAAAATTTTCTGATAATATAATTTAAAATACTCTTGGTAAAGGCGTGGCTGATTTTGAGAACTTTCACCAAGCCATTGACCCAGATTTTTCTGATCAAAATTGAAGTCAACTTCTCATGGCAAATAAGTACCTATGGTGTAGCGGTTATCACATCTGCCTAACACGCAGATGGTCCCAGGTTCGATCCCTGGTAGGTACAACTTTTTTCTAAAATTTTATAAAACACAAAAGAAGGAAAGAGTAATTTAGAAAATATCAGCATCATTTTAAAATACTGTGAAAAGGAAATTTAGCCTTGCTGTGGCTAGTGTGGTTATATGAATATTTAATAACTTGATAAATCATATCTCGTACATATAAATAAAATAAATGCATATATGACTGTGTTATTATTTTATCAAATATCCTTTGGTTGAAGCAAGCGGTTAATATTTCAAGTTTTCGCAGTCACTTCAAAATGTTCAAGTGGTACAGATTAGCAATTTCGTTGCACATTATTTTCACAGTTACCACGCTCATTACGTTTTTATTCTTCGTCTACAAACAGGTTAATTAATAGCTATACATTTTGGCTCAAAATTTTTTAATTCGCCAATATTTTGAAGGATTTGAGGTCTCAAGCAGTGGACGGACTTTTTTTAAAAGTGGAGGAACTGGAAGTGCTTTTGCATGCAACAAATACTGAGCTGGAAAAAGCGACCAAGAGTTTCAACAATCTCAAAATAGTATAATCTCTTAATTGAAAATTAAATACACTATTAATTATTAATTTTACTTGAAAACCCAATTTTCTTAACAAAATTTAGAAATCCCTTCAAATCCTGTGCCCAAAAGCGTGTAAGTTTATTAATAATACTAAAATAACAATTTTTTAATAAAATAATATTTGATGCAACTTTAGATTCAAAAAATTTGACGCTTTTGCCTGATGGGGAATTTTATTACTTAGGCGATGAGGAAGTGAGACAATTATTACAGAACTATTTAAAATTTTATGAAATGAACATAAAATTGTTTTTAGTTTAATTGGACGAGATCCAAAGCATTCTGCGATGAAAATGATATGGAACTTGTGAATATCAAGTCGGAAAATGAAATTACTATGCTTTGGGCGGTGGCAAAGGAAATCAGCTTGGGTAAGGAAGAATAATGATTTGCTTATAAGAATTTTTTAATCGGAATATACAATCCGCAGACTGGTGGTGGGTTTCCGCCTCCAACGTAGGCAGACCCGGCGGACAATATGCTTGGTCTGATGGTCGCGAATTGCCAAACAACAGCAGTTGGTGGGACAAGGAGAACAACCAGCCAGATTCTGTTCAATCCAAAAAGGAGTTCTGTGTTGACTTTCGTGACGGAAAATTGTATGATTACAAGTGCGATAAAGATCTGCACTTCATTTGCAAGGTGAAGTCGAAATGCATGTAATTAAATTCAAAACCGGGTGGAAAATCATATAATATGCACCAAATTCTTCAGTAAAAGTAATTTTATTCAATTTTAGATCATTTTAAACTGTGTAATTTTATATTAAAAATAATATAAAGTGTGTTCTTCTACTAAAAAATTCAATTTTTATGTTTCTAGTATTATTCTCTCCTTTTATAAATTATGTAAAAGATATATTAAAACTGTAATTTATTCAATTTATGAAACTATGTAATTGAAATTTTTTGTTTCCATTGTGGATTTTTCGTTACTTTTATCGTGTACAGTTAGTTATTCAGTATTTGGGCTACTGAATGCCAAAATGATTTATCAATAAATAATAAATATGGTGTTGCACATAAATTAACCTACTGCGGAAAGAAAAAATATATGACGAAAAAAATACATTTGTTAACAATTCACAAATTTAATGAGAGCACACCAGAGAGCACATATAGTTTATTAATATTATTGTGAATAAAAAATTGAAAAGTTAATTATTAAGCCATCATTTTACTAAAACGAAAATTTTATCAAAAGAAGATTTAGTACAATTTTGGTAATTTACAGGTTATTTAATTAAATAAATACAGAAAATTTGAGCATTTTACAAGTTAATTTTGCGGTGTTAAAATTTAATATTGTTATTGGCGGTTATTACTTGTTCTTCACAAATCCTTCAAGTTTTATATAGTTTCACAAAAATATGACGGTATAGTCTATGAAAAATTAAGGTTCTATTTCTGCCTGGTTAGTCAGCAACCCGCAGCTTTCTAAGGACGCGCATGTTGCATACCATAACATTTACAGACATCATACATTATGTAAAAGATTAATAATATTTTTAATTTTACACTTTTATTTGAAATTCTTGATTTTCATTTTGAATGATAATTCGGATAATTCCATTCAATATCTTATCATAAGTGCATAAAAATTTTAATAAAATTTCCCTGGAATATATTATATAAAAAAAATTTATAAAGGCGTGGCTGATAATGAGCTTTCACCGTGGTTGACCCACATTGGCATGATTTTCTCGATCAAAAGCCGAGATCACTTGAGCAGTCAAATAAGTACCTATGGTGTAGCGGTTATCACATCTGCCTAACACGCAGATGGTCCCAGGTTCGATCCCTGGTAGGTACATCTTTTTCAAAAACTGAAAACAAAATTACAAAAAATAATAGTGCCGAACGATTATTTTTTTTAAATTTATCGCTTTCTTTAATTATATTCAAGTTTCACTTTGTTGCCGACTCGAGCTGGTGATAAATAATAAGGAAGAATAATATTCGAGCAAACAACACTGCTTTCTGATTAGATAAAAATTAACCATCAAAGACTAAAATAACAAAACAGTCTCGGCAAGTGCAAGGCCACTTTCTGCGAACTTGACTTTGAATAGTCCTATCACGATTGCTCCTTATCTAACGTTTCTTCGTGTGTAATTAGGCTCATTATTTGATAAATGTTAAAAATCTTTTTACCAAACAAAATAAAAATTATTCTAGAGCACATCATTAAATCATGTGCGTATTACGCTAACTAATGATGTGTTTGAAAAATATCCAATAACGAGAAGCAGATAATTATAACGTCAACGGAACCAATTATATTATTATTTCATCCGCAGCGAGTGCATCACTCGAGAAAGTGCACTCTGCGATATTCTGTTCCTTCAATCATCCGATTCTAATATTAGAAATAAAAATGGAATTTTGCTTCCGTTTTTGGTTTTTACTAAGCGTTGCTGCAACAGCTTCTTTTGGAAAAGTAAAAAATCCATTTTTTTTTTTTATAATTGAAATTTTATATTTTTAACAATTTTAAAAGGAATCGCGAACGCATGATAATGACGCGGTCACAGAATTTGCGACGTCCAACCCACATTTACTCGGCGCCATTCAAAACGTGAGTTGAAAACTTTATTCTTGTATTTTTATTGATATCCATGTAAATTCCTACACGTCCAGATTGTGCAGTCTGGGAATGACATAATCTCCGACTTCCTCACCACCTTAGTTTCAGAAAGTAGAGACAACTTCAGGTAATTTCATTAAATTCGATCCCTTTTTTTTAGTTTTTATTTTTTTTTCAGGACAACTCATACGCTGATCAACGCGTTAGACAGAAAAATTTCCAAGGTGAGCGTTTTAATTTTGCAGAGCAAAGATTTATTAAAGAGAAAATTATTCAGCACCAAACGACCACGATGGAGGTTCTGCAAAACATTTTGAATCGAATGAGGCAGAGTGAAAGCGAAATCACGTTTGGAGGGAAATTGGTCAAACCAGAAAATTCAAATAATTTCAATACTTCTTCGACGACAGAGGTTTAATTTAACAGATCATTCTTAAAATAAAGTGATACTTTTATTTTAGGCCACCAATGCAGAGGAGGAGGAAAAGGTTTTGGAGGAAGAGAAGATAATTAATTGTAAATTTATATTAATTAATTCGATGTACACATTATTTATATTTTTTTTTTAATCCGAATTTATAGTTTCGACCCCACAAGTTCTAACTGATGAGGAAAAGTACTACATCAGCAATACAGAAGTAAGTTTACGTTTAAATAATTTAGATTCCGGATTTTTAACTGAAGTTAATATCAAATTAATGCTCCATCACAAATATTTGTCCAAATATTTACCATTTTACTCTCTGACAAAAAAATATATTCACTACATAATTTTTTGTTTAAAAATGAAATTCACTAAATCTTTAAGAAATTAATAAAAAAATATTAATCAACTTAGAATTACGATATGACAGGCTTTTTAATAACGTTGAAGATTCGCTTATGAACACATATGATCTTCCATCAGAAGTAAAGGACATCATCTGTGTTATAATTCGCACAACGAAACTGATTCATAAGCAGCGAGAGCAGCTCACATTTTTCCAGCGTACGTTCTCTCCTGACAGATTCGGGTTTTCTCGCCAAATATGAAACTGTCTGGCCAAGAAGTGTTGACTTGCAAAAATATCAGTTGCAAATTTGCAGAGAGTTCTGACCTTAAAATTGATGGTCAATGTTAGCTCTAATTTGAATATTACTGTGAGCGGCGCGTGAATTAATTTGCAGGGATTCAAATGGGCCGCGGCTCAGGAGTTCTGCGCCTCGCACAACTGGACTCTGGCCAGCCCCAAGACGGTCGATGAGCTCGCTCTCATTTGGCGCCTCGCTCCTCATAAAGGTCACAAATTTTGTTGTTTTCTATTTTCAATTTTTTATTCAATTAAATTTTTTGTTCGAGGTCAAATTTAAATTTCCGGATAACAACCAAATGTGAACTTTTTTTTCATTATTATAAATAAATTGCAACAAAATATAATAACAACATGTTTAGATGGGTGGTACTGGACGTCTGCATCGGACGATGGACATTTACCAGGACGTTTCTATTGGATGGACAGCACGGCCGAGGTGGAGCTGGAATTGTGGGCCACTGGTCAACCTGACGGATTCGCAAATGAATATTCTTCGTGCGCCGCTCTCAACGACGAGAAACTTTTTGACCTTGACTGCTCTTACTCCAATTACTTTATTTGTCAAAAGTTTTGAAGGATTTTTTTATTTTATTTCCATTAGAAAAAATTGATAATTTTATTCTTGAGAGCTGATGAAATAAAATAAGCGTTTTATCGCTCGTAATTAATTGGAACGCTGCTGTGTTTTATTGAGGGTCGCGAGTTCAAAGATTGGAATGTGGAAATTATTATTGAGAATCACTGTGGGATTTGTTTTTTGTATATACGTAGGAAGTGCGACAAAACAATAGTCGAGGCGATATAAGGATGAGTTTGCCATTGAGAAAGGCAATTGCATTATTTTCTTTTCTGGCGCAGTTTCTTAGCGATTTTCGAAATGTACAGTTTATTTCTTGCGGTCACTCTCCTTGGCAGTATTATCAGCACACACGCCTCTCCCACAGTGAGTTGAATTTATTTATATCACATAATTTTATTCTTGCATTAAAAATTGCAGCCTATTGCGGAGAATGAAAATGTGGCGGCTCAAAAGTATTTAGCGAAAATTCACGCCCAGCTGGCGGATTATTTCAGGTTTTGAAATTTATTCTTGACAGTCAGGAAGTAGTAAAGCTTTAAATTTTTGCAGGACGATTGAAAACTACTTTATATCCGTTCTGACAGTTGGAAATCAGGTGGGACGCACTAATTTATTGCTTTAAGAATTGAAAATTATATCAATAAAAATTGCAGAGACTGAATAAAGTGGACGAGAAACTTGACAAAATTTTAAATATCTTGAACCAATTAGAGCTAAATAATGGTGCACCGTCAAAAATGCAGAGAGTTTCGCAAGAAAGCAGTCTTATGATTCCAGAAGATATACAGGTTTGTCACTTTAATGATTTTTTATTATTATAATTATGCAGAGCATTTAAATTTTTATCCAAGCCTGCTGCTTTGGTACCCGTTCAAGAAAATTCACAACCGGCCAGCACTTCCACAACTGCAAAAGGTTTGCTGTTTTTTCAACCTTTTTATAAATACAATTTTTAAACACCTCATTTAAAACCTCATAAATCGTTAAATAAATATTCAAATATAAATTAAATCATCTCAAAATTATTTCCAAAACGTTTTTTAGCCTAAAATTAAATGATGTGTCTAAATTATTCTTTCGTTTCCTTTTTAGCCATCGACTTAAAAAAGCAGCCAGAAGAACCAGAGTATTTTTTACCAGAAGCCAAGGAGGTCAATCTTAATTATTTTTTCAGCCAAGATATGGTAACGATGATGATTACGGTTGAAATCACGTTTTACAAACTAATTTTTAAATCAATGTAAATTGTGCAGAAAAATTGGTTTGCGGCAGAGGAATTTTGCGACTCCCTAAATTGGACATTAGCGTCTATCAACTCGGACGCTGAAGTTCAGCTTCTCTGGAAACTGATGCCTCATAATGGTTTGAGATACTTAAAATTTTAATAGGCTAAAGTAAAAATATAGTTGCAAGTTACCCCCTCAATACTTCATTTTCCGTGGTTGAATTTTTCTGGTTTTTATATTGTTGATCTGGATCTATTTATGCGGAAAGTAGATAAGTTAATTTTTATTTAATAGATTATTTAATTTGAGACACTTAACAACAAAAATTTAAATTCTCTTTGCATTTCAGAAACGATGCAAAATGAAATTGTTTATTTAACACTGTGACGATTGTGTTCAATTTCAATTTTAATCTAACAATAAGCATATTATTATTGCGCACTGCTTCTCTATCACATGAATTCATGAGTTTTTTGCTACTTGGATCTATAATGTTATGGGACTGGAAGGGGTATTGAAGCAAAAATAACTGACCTTCGAAGCTAATCAATTCCTCTTAGTTGGAATTTCCAAATTCCATATTTTTAATGACGTCAATTTGGCCGACCAAAAGTAATCCTGCAATTTTTTTTTAGATGAGTGTTACTGGACTGGGGCAAGTGACATCGGGTACGAGCCTGGCGACTACCACTGGTCGGCAAGTTTCGCGGGCGAACCCGGCGGACGAGTGTCCAAAGGCCTGTGGGGCGTCGGACAGCCCAACGACTTCGGCAAGGACAAGTCGACGTGCGTGGTGATTTGCGGTAAGAGGCTGTTCGACTTCTCCTGCCTCGACTCGGACAACTATTTCATCTGCAAAAATGCCGACTGATTGCGGTCTGTTTGGTCAAATTGCTTTGAGAGAAACAATAAATATATAATTTTCGTTGCAACACTCTGATGTATTTTTTCTCGCTCAAGAAGGTCATCCAAGACGCACGTATAAATTATTTACATATTCTGCGTTCAGCAATTAAAATAGATATATTGATCATCTTCAATTCAAATTCAGGCGCTTCTCGCTTACAGCATTGACTTAATTCGTCTCTCTAGACATGATTTATTTATATATATTTCTTCGGATTTCTCTTCTAGAAATTCAATTTATTCCCCTACTCTTAAAAAAAATTTTAGATGAGCCTCCGTGGAGGATTCCAGAATCAGACAAACAATACCAGATTGCCTCTTTTTTTAAATGGGAAAAAAATTGAATGGAAATGTTTTCGTTTATTTGGCCCACAGGAATCCAGTCGCGGGAGGAGAGGTCAATGTTTCTTCTTCCTCCTGCGCATCACCTCAGGGTAGGACCTTCCCCGAATCGGCCAACAAAGAGCAAAGGTGCTTTTCATGCGCAAATCAGCTGGAAAATTAAGGAAGAGTCGTTTCTTTTTTTAAGTTACATAAACAGGAAAAAAGGTGCAAGACGCACGTCATTCATAGGGGGTGGATGGATAGAAAAAAAACGGTATATATTTTCAAGAGCGCACGCATGAAAAAAAAGTAAATCGCATTACTTGCGCTTGCTATTATTTTTTTGTCAACTTTTACACCTCAGCGCGGACACGTGTCGCGCGCGCGTGTGCTGGAATTTTTTTATTCACACGGTTGCTTGCGCGATTCGGGGAAATTTTCCACTTGGGTGGTGCTGTGAGGGATTAGTTCTGCTGCGGTCATCTTTCTTTGCCGAAACGATCTCGCACCCCCAACTTGTTTGCACCGAAATTCTCAACGCATTAAGTTTCACATCCGCCTTAAGCTCATTTCAATTGTTGTCCGTGAGGAATGTTGAGGAGCATTATTAGATTTCTGTTACTGTGCAATTTTAAATGTAACGTTAATTTAAAAAAAAAATATTAAAATTTTTGTCCAACATTTATAACAAATTACCTCGAATAATTCAGTTTTATTTCAGAACATTTTTAAAAATCATACAGATGAGATGCCGGTCTTTACTTTTTTTCATTATTTTCGTCTACGATCCACATTAAGGCGGCTTCAGGGGTCCGACGAAGACCTTTAAAGGAGGCGCCGCCCCCGCACTGGAGGGGCTCTCGGGAGAGAAAAGCCGGCGACGTGCTTTTCGATCATCAGTCGCGCGCTCACTCTTCGCACCGCAGCACACCGGAACGCGCGCACACCCAAAAACACGCAACATGCTCAGCAAGGTGCTGGCCATGTCGTGCCCCCGCGGGGGCTGCACGGCCCCTGGCCAACGCATCCTACCCAGACGGATGCAGGCGACCGTCTCTCACACGGCAGCGATCAGGTGAGCTACATTTGTAATTCAATATTATTTAAAAATTTTGGTAAAAATTTAATTTAATTTTGATCATTGATTGACTGATCATTCTAGAAGTGATCAAAATTACCATAATTGTTTTAATTGAGTCGAAAATTAATAACAAAATATTTACCTTAGTTATAAAGTTAATTCACAAATTATATTATTTTTTTATTTATTTAAATTCATTACGTAATTTCCATCATATTTAAGAAAAGGGTTGATGCTTCTAGAATACCAGTCCAAATTTTTAATAAAAAAAATAAATTTTTATTAATTTATTTTTCAATTTTGTCTTGTCATTTATTATTATTTTTTTTTTAAATTTCCCATCTCCAACGCATTCCAAAATAAAAATGAAGAATTTGAAAAAAAAATCTTTAAGCCTTGGTAGGTAACTTTATACACCTCTAAACCAGAATCAGGGCCGTCAACTTCCGATACCTGCATAAAAATAAAATAAATACGAGTCGCGGTCTTACGAAGTGCATTTCATTTCAATTTTTTTTCTGCACCTCTCCTTGCTGCACCTGAAATTATTGCGTCTCAAAATCGCGATGTTGAAAATTGCAGGGAGGCGAGCGAGCGCGAGGAGGTGGTGCGTGAGGCGCCGTCGCCACGCGGCCTGCCCTTGGTGGGCACCACCCTTTCGCTGTGGCTGCGAGGGTCGGCCGCCCAGCTGCACAGGTACGTCGACCTGCGGCACGCGCAACTCGGTCCTGTGTACCGCGAGGCCATCGGACCTGTGGACGCCTACTTCGTGGCCGACCCATTGGAGATGCGCCGCGTCTTCCAGCTCGAGGGCAAACACCCCCGCAACCTGTTGCCGGACGCTTGGATCCTCTACAACCAGCTGTACGGATGCAAACGAGGACTGCTCTTTATGTGAGTAAAAATTTCTCCATTTTTTGCTTTTTAGTGTTAGATTTTGAGATAGCATAAGGAAGTGTGCGAGTATTTTAGAAAAATTCAATGAAAGTTTAAACAATAAAGGAGAATAATCAAATTAGTTTTACTAATTAAAAGTAACCGAGATCATAAAAAAAGCTTTAAATAAATTAATGCGATGAAAAGAAGTAAATTTTTTATCAAACAGAGATAAAAATATTATCTCATTTTAATAAATTTCAAAACAATTTAGAAGTAAATATTAAATTTTTTTAAATATTAAGAATTTTACTAACAAATAAACGAGTTTTTCTGCTCATAAAAATCTTCTTTAATTTGCACATTTTATATGCGCAAGTTATAAAAATGCATATCTTATACTTTATTCTTTTTCTTCGAACCGCAGATGATTATAACATTTTAACGCCTCTCCCTACGCTGCGGTCTTTGTTCAGTCCGCGGAATTCGCTGACACGGGTCTATAATAAGAAAAATTGACCTTTAGAACAACATTTGCTTGTGAATCATCAATTTTGCACCACGCAAGTCGAAGGAAAAATAAAGGTCTTCCTAACGCGCAGCGATAAATTTCGCCTCTCTGATAAGACATAAAAATATTTTATCTCCCGAACACAAAACAACCGAACCATAAAATGGAAATTTGGCCGGCGGCTCTCTTTTCAAGTCCAAGGGCAGCTCTTCCTTTTCATTCATTCTCCCGAAATATTTCGCTCCAGTTTTTTTTCTACCTGGCCGTGGCAAATCGCCTTTTTACCTTTTCATTATATACCTCTGCCGAGTTTTTTTTTTCACGTAATATTTACCTCCCCGTAGCAGAAAGGTAGAGAATTCTGCCGGTTTTGTTACATTTATTTCATTCACATTCGGACTTATTATTATATTGTGCTGGAAAAAGACGAGAGAGCGCATCTTTGGAATAACTAGAGGAGCCTGATTGCTTTTAAGCAGCGCATAAGTTACCCGCGGCAGCAGAGGTCGGTGCAAGGACTTTTCCAATCAACCATATATACTCCTCATTGTAATCAGCAGCTCCAAACACTCGTTTTTTCCGCGCTTGCAGCCAGGCAATGCAGCGACAGCGTTAAATTTTCATGACTCATCGACTGATGCGTACCCGAGACGGGTTTGTTTGCACGTAATTAAAAGAAAAACTAAGGAGTTGGACAATGTGCAATGTGACGAGAAGAGTGCAACTTAAATAGCTTAACTTGCACTTGATTACAAGAGATATACACTTTGTCATTTGACTTTCAGCAAGGGCCATGACTTGCAAAACTTACAAGGCGGTAAAAATGCTATTTAAAAAGTTTTTGATATTCTAAATTTGACCTTAGCAATTTAAGGGTATTTCTCTCAATTTGCATGAATTGATATTAAATATATTTTTTTTCTATCATAGTTTGCTAAATTTTTCTAATTATTTTCTTTTAATAAACAATTTTTACAATATTTTCTTCTAAATTTTATTTTAATTTGATTACATTATATTTTGAAAATAAATTTTTTTTTTCCTATAATTTTCCTATATTTTTAACGCAGCAAATGTTGATTGAAATTTCCAGCCCATGAAACCTGCCCTTACTAAACAAAAGCCTCTTGAACTCTTTCTCTGTCTCACACGGAAATTGTTCCCGTGCCCAATGAAAGTGACCTTGACCTGTGACCGAGACCGTCGTCTCCGTTGTCAAGGGCGCATATATCGTCGGCGCGGCTCTTCGTTAAAAATGATGTCACCCTTTCCGCCGAGATATGCTGCGGCTAAAGGGACAAACTTGTTTTTCGCCATCAGAACAGCAAATGCGGATTTTGATTTTTTCTTTTTCTTTTTGCCTATCTTTCGGTTATGATACTTAAAAATGCAGAGAGCCGATTTCCAAACAAGAATTTAGCGAGAGAGAGATGAAGCAGAGAATTTCTGGCTCGGGAATGAAAGCGGATCCACAGCGCAGAGAGCGGTTGCTTGCGAACGTTCACCTTTCTTTTTATGTATTCTTTCGCGCGCGGCCAACCAAGTTCATTCATCGTTGATATCAACAGACACCTTTTTCGCATGCTTAAAATGTGTTGGATTCGCAAGTCTCCTCATCTATTTGCTGTTGGTACAAGTAAGGTCAAGGACCTGATTTAAAAAAAAAAAATGGATTTATTTTTCTTAATAAAAAATGATAAGAGAGAGGAGGATCAAACTGTGAAAGGTTTTGTCAATATTTATTTGATTGGATTGGAAATGAATTTCTAAATTTGCTTTTATAGTTAAATTTGAATTAATTTAGTTCCAAGAAATTTATATCCGCTATACGGACAATATTGAATATTTTTCTTAAATCTTAAATACACCAAGGGGTTCAAATGAAATAATTAACCAAATAACTTACGACTATACCAAATACTTTTTAGATGCTTTAGCTGCTTCACACAAGCTAATTTTTTTTTAATAAAAGTCAGAATTGCGAGCATTTCTTTACAAAATTTAAATCAAAAGCTGATCCTAAAACATTGAAGAAATTTTTATTTATTTTTTCTGAAAACTTTTTATTTATTTTTATTTTTTTTTTCTTTCCATTTGTTGAGTCCCGTTAAGTCTGTGTCCTTTTCACCTCTCTTGCGAAGCCGCGGTGACTGCTTTTCGTCGCAACAGAAGTTTGCTTGATGCGCTCACAAATAACCCGGTCGTTCTGCAGCTTTCCAAGCGAAATCGGGACCATTATAAAATAAAAGAAGACAAACATTTATTTCCAGCTGCAGTTCGTTACAGCTGCATCCCGCAACTTCTTTGTTTTCTGGGAAACTCACACGAATTTACTTGAAAGGCTGAACCAATTTTTTTTTTTAATTTTTTATTTATTTGAATTCATTTTACGTTACCTTAATTGTTGTGTTTTTTTTTTAAAGTTTTTTTTGTCCACTTTAAAAACCCATAAACATGTTTGTGTGATTCTATTGCACGCGTGTCTCTCTGGGCCGCGGTCGAGGGGAGGAAAACTCTCCCTTTTGTTCGTACCTGAGATTGTTTACCTGAATCAAGGGTTGCGCCAGATGGGGTTTTTCTCGCTTTTATTCATTTCTTTTCATTTTTCGCCGCGCTCGCACGTGCTCTGCGCTTTTTGCTTGTTAGTCCCCGTGGCAGCTGCCGGCGAATAAATCGAATTGTGTAACCTTGGAAAATCTCACTTTTCAAAGGCGCGCGCGCGTGTGGATTTTCAAACCGACTGAGTGACCTCTCGGTCGAGATAGATACCAGATTATCACGAGAGAGCGAGAAAAAAGAATCGAAGAAAAAGGAAACGCGACTCGTGCTGCGGATACGAAAAAAGTTACGATCTTGAAAACGGAGAATCCCCGCGCAGACCTTGACCAAACGATCACACCATACAAAATTTACTCAAATTGCTCCTTTTGTTTGCAGCAGATATTATATCGAAAGTGTAAATAATGTAGGAGCTAATAGCTCAATTATTTTATCTGATTCTTCTGCCAAGAATTTTATGACTAATCATTTGCTTTATGCATTTAACAAATAAATACTTCCACTGTAAATAAGTTTTGCTGTTCACTTTTATTTCGTATTGTTAATTTAAAAATCAGCCGGAGCGAATTTGATGAACATTTATTTCCGTAATAACTATCATTTTTTTTTTTTTTTTGGTTAATTCCAACGAGATGTGACAAGATAGCTTTTGAATTATCGCAAATATTGATTATTATTTTTTAATAAACCATAAAAAAAATATTCAAAAATTTATTAATTAATTGTTTAATAGTTTGCAAAATATGATATTAGGTTTTGAAAATAAAATTAATAGCTAGAGATATTTGTTTGAACAAAAAATATGACAAAAAAATTAGGATTATAGCTTATTGACATGACCTGATCATTATGAAATTGACATTGTTATTGTGTCTGTTTTGGTAAATTTCAAACAAAGTGAAGGAAGTAAAAACTCAAGTTATATTTAATACAGAAGTTAAATGAGCAGATCTTACAATTAGTATGGCTTATTTTAGTTTTTAATATAATTTTGTTGTTTTTTATATAATTTTAGGGACGGCGAAGAATGGCTGCACTTTCGTCGCATCATGAACTCCATAATGCTGAAGGACGCCGACACTGGGATGGAGCAGCCGTGTCGCCAAGTGGCTGCCGACTTGGTTGCCGAGTGGAGCCAACACGCGCACCAACAAGTGCCGCGCCTCGAACAGGCGCTCTACCAGTGGTCAACAGAAGGTACGAAATTCATAGCGAAATTAGAATTTTTTCCCCAGTATATTAAAATAAAACCTTAATTTTTCAGTGCTAGTGGCCAATTTGGTCGGGGGAGATAAATTCGCGGAGCATTCCAGCGCCATCAGGAGGTTGCCGGGATTGCGGGGACTCAGCGAGCAAGTGCGGCAAGTGTTCTGCGAATCGTCAAAACTGTCCCTCCTACCTGCCAGGGTCGCCAGGGCAATCAGGTTGCCCGCATGGGCGAGGTTTGAGAGGGCTGTTGACCACGCTGTTCATGGAGGTTTGTATATTTTATGATCAAAATTTATTTTGATATATGAAGATTTAAAAAAGAAAAGAATAACATGGGAATTGGTTTTCCAATTAGATAGCTTTGATTTGAATCAGAAATTATTTCTAACAAGCAGATTTGCTACTGGTGGATTATTAAACTTAATTTTTTATTCCATAGATTCTAATCAAAAAGACTTGATATAATTTTATTTCTAAAAAAAGACAAATTCTCACGTGACTCTAATTTTTAATTAAAATTGAATTTTTGTTTTAGCTTCATCTTTGGTGCTCGATTTGCTGCCGTTTTCGCGCGGCGGCGACGGCATGTTGGAGCGCATGTTGGCGGCCGGAGTGGAATTGAGCGACACCGTCCGCATCGTCGCCGACCTGATCCTGGCCGCAGGGGACACAGTCAGTCTTCACAAACAACCTTAATCGAATTTGATTGTTAATGTGTCATTTGAATATGCAGAGTGCTGTGACGATGCAGTGGGTGCTGTATTTGCTGGCCAAGAACCCTGACGCGCAGGAACGGGCCGCGCAAGACCCGCAAATTTTGCGCGGCGTGGTCAAGGAGGCGATGCGACTCTACCCTGTGGCGCCTTTCCTCACCCGCATCCTCCCTGATGAGAGCAGACTCGCCGGCTACACCATCCCTGGTGGCGTAAGTAAATCTTGCTGTTAAAATTGTTACTGTGCACTACAAAAAAACTAATTTCTTATAATATAGAAAAATATTAATTTGATGAATTTTTTAATCTTATTTTTAGCCTGAAATAAAAATTTAGTCTAAAAAAAATTAAAATTTGAGTTAAAATTTTGTTATAATTAAACATCTAATATTTTTTATCGCTTGAAAATTAAATTTTACTGAAAGAGTTATTCTTATTTTGCAGAGTTTGGTTCTTTTATCATTGTACACAAGTGGACGCAGCGCCGCAAACTTCCCCGACCCTTCGCGCTTTTGGCCTGAGCGGTGGTCTCGCGAAAATTCATCGGGAGGTCTCCTCGGGGTCAATCACGCCTCCGCATCCATCCCCTTTGGTCTCGGCGCCCGCTCCTGCATTGGACGCAAACTTGCAGACATTCAACTCACCCAACTTATTTCACAAGTAATTTTTTTCATAAAATTCGCTATTGGTATATTTTAAATAAAAAATTGCCTTTTGCAGTTATTGGCCGGATTTAGGATTGAATTGGTGGAACCAGAAAAAGAGGTGGACATGGTTTTGAGGCTGGTCAGTGTGCCCAATCACCCACTCAAATTGAAGTTGGTGCCCAGAAAGTGAACTGAGCAATTTTTTATGGTCACACAACCCGGTGCAAAAATACGCAAAAATGTTCTTTAGAGTACAAAAACGAGTCACTTTTCCAAATCTCGTCGTCAACTTAATTTTTGTTATGTGTACATGTTGTATTATTTTTAGAAAGGAAACCTATTATATATACGTATTATGTATGGAATTATTAAAATTTAAAATATAAATTTTAAAACAAGAATGGTTTATTTTCAATTCGTCCAAGCTCTAAAAAACAATAGAGCCTTTCAACCTTAGGTTTCTTTAACAGTTTATTTGCAACAGATGAAAAAAGCGTGAGAATTAATGATACAATTGAAATTTGAAATTATAAGTTATAAAAGCTGGAAATCCGAAATTTGTGAAAGCAGAACGCCCCCCTAGTGAAACAAACTGGTACTATAAATTATAAAAGTTTTCTATTTCCGTCTGAAGATGGCGCCTCCCGCCTCACGCTAGACTTTTCTGCTTTTGCAAGTTTTGCACTCTTTGCACGCAGGTTGGTGTTTTCTTTCAACTCTGCACTGAACTGACAACACTCCTTCAACCATGTGCGTTATTTGTTATCATTACTTTTAGCTTCGAATTGAAGAGAAACAAACTTTGGTACTTCACATACTTTTACTGCACTGCTTTGGTTCAATTAAGCCTCCAATTACTTTGAACACCTGTTTTTGTTGTGGTCCGGACCGTAACGTCTTTTAAAAGTTTTAATTTTGAATAGCGTTTGTTTGGTTTTTTCCCCAGAAGTGTAATTATCTGATTTTGACTGTCTTTTTCAGTGGCGATCGCCATGGGCAGTACCAATTCCCTTTCGAAAGCCACGGACTGGCGAGACGAGTGCCACAGTCTTCCAGAGCACCTTTGGTACATGTACGAAAAGAAAATTGGCACTGATCTACAAGTTGCAGTCATGAGTGATCACAAGCAACAGGTGAAAATCTTTGTGTGACTCTTGATTTTAATTAATTTTTAATTGTAATCAATTTTCACATTCCTAAAAGTAAAAGGTTTTTGAAATGTCTAGCAAATTTATTGGATTATTATTTTTATTCTATTTTTTAACATAATGCTATGCACTAATAAAAAAATCTTAAAAAAATTATTATGATTACATAGGTTTTTGAATGCCACAGAATGATCATGAGGAGGTTGTCTTTTGTCTTCGAGCCTCAGACAGATGGGGTGATGTTAATGTCTCTTGATGTGGGTGACATGGACCCTGAAATTTTCCTCACCATAATTAAGTAAAATATAATTAAATAGCAATAAATTTACACAGTTTCTAACAAATGTTTTTAATTCCTTCCAGATTTGCATACACAGACAAGATTGTCTTTAAATCCTTCAACGAAACCATCCCAATTCACAAAGTGGCTTCGAATTACCAAATGAATCAGTTGCGAAGAGAGTGTGAAAATTTCATGAAAAACAATGTGGACAAGCATAGTGTGTGGAGTCTCCTTAACTACTCCAATAAAGGACTGGACCTGACCATGTCGACAGATTCGGTAAATAGATTTGAATAAATTTGTGTACCATTCTCACAAAATACTTTTTAATCAAACATTGCAAATCATTCAAACAAAATTTTTTAACAATTCTTCTAATTGAAAATTGCTTTTTGACAGTTCCTGATCAAACAAACAAGTTCCTGCTTGCAATCACCAGAGTTTTTGTCCTGCAGCAGAGCAACTTTGGAATTATTGCTCAGCCAGCAAAAGATCAACGCCACTGAACTGCAGCTCATCCAAGCGGCTATAAAATGGACCCGGCACAAAAATGGCAACAAACCCTTCGAGCCTGAAACAGCTCAGCAGCTTCTTGGGCCTTGCTTTGGCCTTTTGCGATTTCTTTGTCTCACCCCTGCCAATTTTTCTATGTTCGTTGCTCAAAGTGGACTGATGTCAAAAGAGGATGCTCTTCTGGTGCTCATCAATTTGTCCGTCAAAGGCCAAGCCAAATTGCCAAGTTACGTCTGCAAGATTGACAAGCCAAGAAAAGCGCCCAATAAGAAAAACATTCAAGAAACAGATTCAAAAGAAGAGGAGGAACCGAGAGACAAATCATTGGTACCGCAAAACTCTTATTGCAATAATGATGCACTGAATGATGGGAAAAACGAAACTATCGCCTCAGAAGCAGAGTCATCGCCAACTGTACAGCAAGTTGAGTGCAACTCTAACCAAATTCCAGCAGTTGGGGCTGAACTGGCTGAAGCGGAACAAGAAGCTCCGAGCGCAAATAAAATATTGGCAAGTGAATGCGAGGTTTTCTTTGTCCGTCAAATAGAGCTCGAGTTTTCTCATTTGGCTCAAATCTACGAGTCCCCTACCTCAGTTGACGTGGACTTGCAGGTGTCCAAGACAGCCACATTGGTAGGATTCAGATTGGACACACAGGTCAAGAGGTCCGACACAATCAAGACTAACACCTATGAAGAAGCCATCAACATATCGGTGCATTGCTCAAAAAAACTGATCTGCAATCAGGTGTATGCAGGAATGGCCAATTATGGACCAAATAAGTACTTTGAAATTCGTTTTAAAAATAAGGGAACACTGGAAGCAGGCGTCTGGTATTTAGTCAAAGTGAGGTACAGCAAAGCTGGCTTTTATAGGAATAATTTGAGGCAAAATTTTGTCCAACAAGATGACGTCAAAGTCAGGTTTAGCAAGGATGACTACAGTGAGAGAGATGCTTACCCTATTGTAGCTGCTATTTTAAGCTTCTGATACAAATGCTATGGACAAATTTAACATTGACAATTGCAGCTTATTGGCATTACAAGTAATGTTTTTAAGATTTGTGACAGAAAATTTGAGGAATAAAAGAATAATAATATTTGTGAGTCTTTTTAATGCTTTCAATTTTTCACATTTCGCAAATAATAGAATTCATATTTATTCAATGACTGTATTAAAAAATCTTGTAAAGTAGATAAAAAAAAATTTTAAAAACTAATCTTGTTCATTATGCATAAAACATACACACAGTACACAATTATAACTATATACCTATTATTTTTACTTCCTCGTTCTTCATAAAGAGGGCGCTCTGGAACGTTTAGTCTAGATCTAGACTAGAAAATGTAAACAAAGCAACAAGGATACGACGTTTCACGTTTTATGTAATTTCATAATTTTGAAGGTACCTGGGCTTATTTTGACATAATTATAAGCAATTGTTGATGTTGGACGGCTGCCGCGGCGTCAAGGTTAGACTGATTTCTGTCTTTTCCTCTAGAATAGATGTTAGAGAGTTTTTATAATTTTTCTTTTGCAACAGGACAATCGCAATAAGAATGGCTAACAACACTCATTCGAAGACAAAAGATAGTAGGCTCCAAGGTGGAATTGTAGATCATTTGTGGCTCATGTTTGAGAAAAGCATGAACACAGACCTCACAATTGTAGTAAGGGGCAATCATCAGAATCAACAGGTTTGCTCTTTCACATTTTTTATTAATTGAAGTAACCAAAATATATAATATGATACAAAAATTGAAATAAAATAAATTTAAATATTTGATTTAAAAAATTCTAAGACCGAAAAATAATTAATTTTAATAATTGAGTTCATTCAATTGTTGTTGCAGGCGTTGAAAGTCTTCCGGTGCCATAAATTGGTTATGGGGAGGCTGTCTAAATTGTTTGACGGAGAACACATGTCACAAGTGAATTTGACAGTGTCGGATGACACAGACCCTAAAGCTTTTCTCGTTGTAATTAGGTAAGCTTAAAATATTTCCATGTGATTAATTTTGGGCAAAATCACATAATATTGAATATTTCAGGTATGCTTACACAGATATGCTGGTGTTGACAACTGTCGAGGAGGCCATTCCAATCCACAAAGTAGCGTGTAGCTGCGAAATGCACCAGTTGAAAAAAGATTTAGAAGCTTTCATGCTGAAGACAGCAAACAAGGAAAGTGTGTGGAATCTCCTTAGCTACTCAAACAGAGGAGTCAACCTAACTGAATGGGCACAATCGGTAATTTGAAGTTTTCTTTGAATTTTTTATAAAAATATTTTATTTATTGATTTATTACAAAAATCATCCTTAAAAAAATTATTAAATTAATTATTGTTATAGAATTTAGATTGATTTAATCTTTTTAGTGTCTTGCTCAAGAAACAAAGGCCTGTTTGCAAATACCCAAGTTTCTATCCTGCAGCCAGTCAACTCTTCAAATTTTGCTCAGCCTGCAGCAACTTGATGTCACCGAACTGGAGCTGATTCAGGCGGTCATTCGTTGGACCCAGCACAACAACAAGGGGCGCCCTCTTGAACCAAAATCCTCCAAGGAGCTCCTTGGTCTCTGCCTCAACCACTTGCGATTCCTCTGCCTCACCCCAGCTGAGTTTTCAAGGCATGTGGCCCAAAGTGGTCTCATTTCAAAGGAGGACGCCCTGATGGTGCTCATCAACTTGAACACCGGCGATGAAGCTGTTTTGCCACCTTACGTCTGCAAGATTCGCACTCCAAGGCAAGAGTCGGGTCATTCTGATCCTGTGTCACGCCTGTTGAAGGAGAAAAATAAGGACACAGAAAGTCCCATTGCAGCGAAAAAGATAAAAATAGAGCAAGAGGAGCCAACAGTTCCTCTGGCTTGGGAGGATGAAGCAAGTGACACCAACAAGGAAAAGCTCAACGAGTCCGAGGTTTTTTGCTACAGGCGCATTGATCAAAAATTTGTCCACCTTCCTCAAATTTTCAGAACTCCTAAAAATGTTCGCATGGATTTGAAGATCTCCAAGAGAGCTGCTTTAGTAGGCTTTAAATTAGAAACACAGTTCAAGTTGTTGCGTAATGCCAATGCCACTGAATCCAGCACATACAAAGAGAGCATATGCATTGATGTGAAAGGGAATGCGACACTCACACAAGCTGCGTGTTACAGTGGCCCAGCAAACTATGACGGACACTTAGATATTCGTTTTAAAAGACCTTTGAAGCTAGAAGCAGATGTGTGGTACTCAATTTATTTTGATATGCGCTGTCCTGGATTTTACAAAAATTACGTGAGGCAAAATTTGGTGTACACAAAAGGTGTAGAAGTGAAGTTTAACAGGGACAAAAACTGTACACATAGTGCAAATCCAATTATGGCGGCTATTTTGAGCTTTAATTGAGTCTGATAAGACAAACAATCAAAATGACAACTTTGTCAAAAACAATGCATTTATCTAAGATTTTTTTTGAGCAAAAAAATGAATCAATAAATTTGAAGGTTGCAAAATAAAATTTAAAAATTACGATGATTTTTTTCCTTAAACATCAGATTACCTAAAATATTTTCAAAGAAATCATGATTTCATTTGCAGCAATTGGTATTTCAAAAGAATATTGGCTTTACTCTGAAGAGGACGACTGCCTCCTCTTATCGCTATAGCAGGACTTTTTGCAGAAAAAATAATCGAATCCACTCCACTTTACCTCAATAACTCAAACATAATGCCAAAATTCACTTATATATTAATAAAACGCTGACTCTAAATACTCAATGATTTTTTTTAACGGTTGGGGCTTTAATTTATAATTGGGTGGCATTAAACAGATCGTTATATTATAATTTTTAATGTATTAAATGACAAAATTTTAATACAACTAATTATAGATTTATCAATAATCATGTTGATGTGATTTTTATAATTTTCTATTTTCATTACGCATGAAACGATCTCAAACTATCTCTAAATATTTAAAATAACTATCCTAATAAATGGAACTTCCAATGCGGTTTGCTCAATTTCAATTCTACAATATCAGAAAAGGCCAGAACGTATAACTTAAAAAATTAAACTTTCAAGGCAAAAAGGTTAAAAGTTACGGAGATAAGGGTTTTTCTCCTAGAGCTAAAAGTAAACCACTGAAACAAATAAAACAAATAGATTTTTCTCATAACACCTTAAAGGAATTTTGTTAAAAATATGATTGAGACATGAAAAAATAAAAATAATGAAGAATTCAATGCGCGCAACAATCAAAATCAGCAATTGCTGCTGCGCAGTAGGAACTCACTAAAATTCTTTTGAGCTTGTTTATTTTAATTGTTGGTCAGTTTCAAAAGTAACACAGTTCAAGAATTTTGAATTATAGATATTCGTTCACTTTTTACTGCCTGATTGAGTCAGAATTTCTCTCAAATTATGGCACATAATCAGCTCTTGGTTGGTGCCTACTTTCCATTTCTTGACAGCGCTGGCTTATCATTTTAAATTGAACTTTGAAAAATTCTCAAATTTGCGCAAATTTTCTCTTATTGCGTTTCCACCATCTTCGCATTGCATTTTATATCTTCTGATTTATTTGTTCTTTAATTTATTCGCATTCGTTTTGTCCTCCTTAGCCCCTTGAGCGCCTTGTGGTGACCGGACTTCAAGATGAAACAATTGCAGCTCTTACGACCTGGCCTGACCATCCACTTCAACAAAACCTCAAGAAACTTCCAAAAATGGAATTGATCCTGGCCCTCAAGATCAACGACGAAGACGCTACCATAGCCATGAGTAAGAAAGATGTTAATTAATTAATATGGGCTCATCTACAAGAGTGTATTGTTTTCTTCAAAGATTTTTTAGCTACACTGCATCAATTTTTTGAAATTAATTAAGATTTTGGTTAAAACATTTCTAATTTTAACTCCAATCAATTACATACATACGTTATTTGGCGTTAAAATTTGAATACATTTTATTAAACAGTCTTTTCCGCGTGGATTTATGCAAAATTTCTTGCATCGATCGCTATTTTTTATCTTGAATAATAAATAAAAAATTTTCAAACTCCATTTTTGAATCAACAGGAAAGGCGGAGTTGGCCTACAACCTGAGCGAGGTCCTGCCCATCATCAACCACCGCCCTTTCCCTGCCGTTAACCCTGACGGACCCTGCGAGAACCTATGCATGCGCTGCAGGAAGAGAAAATTTGAGTACTACTTCAAATGGTGCATGCACGTCGGTGTTTGTGCTCCTTGCAAGGAAACCTTGCTGGCTGCGGACATCGCCCGCCAGGGCCAGGGTGACAATCGAAGAGCCGCCTGCCCCATGTGCCAACGAGAGCACCTTGGCAGAGATATAAGCAGGGTGTACCTTGTCTAAAAACATCAGCCGAAAACTCAAGATTCAAATTTCATCTCTCAATATTCAAAATTTGTGCCTAATCCAGTGAAATAATGGCATTTCTTTTTTAATAATAAATCCGCAATATATTGATAATAAAAATCAAGAACATTTTTAATGAAAAAATTAATACATAAATTTCAATATTTAAGAATAAAACAGTTGTTTAAACACTCAGCTGATGTGGTGAAATTTCTAAACACTCGGCTGATGTGGTGAAAAACGATTATTTTTTCCTCGTAATGTCCGTTTTTATAATAAGCTAAACTTGAAGTTCCAGAAGAGAAAAAATCTGCCAAGTAGAATATTTTGCCACAATATACCGACCACAAAAGCAGTTAAATATGGTTAATTTTTGAAGCACAGTTACTTAATGTGGTTTTACGAAATTTTGTGTTTGGCGGTCATAGCAATTTAAAAGAATAATTAAATAATTTAATTTTATATACTAAATAACTTTTCCTCTGATCGCTTTTTCTTATCATTTTACAACAAACAATTAATAAAATAGTGTGGGATTTATTAATAGCATTATATTATTGTTTTGTTTGATTAGTGAATTAATAGTATATTATTTAATTTAAAAAGTAGTATTATTTAATTAACTTGCAATAAAAATTTTTACATGCAATCATATTATTATTGAAAAAACACAGAACAAAAAAAATTTTAAATGCAATTATTTTCAATCTTCGTATAATATTTTTATCTAGATGCAGAGCATGTTGTCATATTGCAGCAAATGGAGCTCATCAGTGCTAACTTTTTTGTAGCTTTGTGTTAATACAGTATAAAGCCGTTATGAAAGAAAGGACTTTTCTTTAGTTGCAAATTAAGTGAAAATTATTATGGAATCAGACAACATTGCGTGTGGGTTGAAAAGATAATAATACAGGGAAGAAATTTCAACAATCAAAAAAGAAATTAATCAAAATTTTTATTGTTGCAGTACGAAGTCACTATACTTATCAGCTTTTGTTTGTTTCAATTGTTGGTGAATTTCAAACGAAGCCAGCAATTCAAAAACGAGAATTTTGATCAGATAGAAATTCGTTCTTCCCCCTGCTTGTAAGGATAAAGTGAGAATATCTCAAAGATCATGGCGGGAATTCAGCCGGTTAGTGAATATTTTAGTTTCTTAATTACTTTAGTAGCTCGAATCAAATTAAAATAAAAGAATTTTAAAAATTCTTGATTACGCTAATTTCCTTAACTTAAATTTGAAAAAAATTTCCTCTGCGACTTTTGCGTTGCTTGTCTTCCAATTCTTTTCATTCACGTTCGTTTTGTCCTCTTTAGCGCCTCGTGGTGATCGGACTTCAAGGTCAAACAATCCAAGTTCTTACCGCCTCATGGCCTGACCATCCAAGCCAAGCAGAGCTCATGGAACTACCAAACCTGGAGTTGATCCTGGCCCTCAAGATCAACGGCCAGCAAGCTACTTTAACCATGAGTAAGAGAAATTTTAGTTACACTGCATCAATTTTTTTTTTAATTTACAAAGAGATTTTGGATAAAAAATTTGCTCATTAACTTTTGCCCTTCAATTCAATTATTTGTGTAATTTAGCGTCAAAAAGAATTTTTTTAAACTGCAATCTTTGCCAAGTGTATTCTGCATGCAAAACTTTGACACACCAGATCTGATATTATCTTAAATTGAAAATAACAATTTTTTGTTTAAATTTAATTTTTCAATCCACAGACAAGACAGATTTGGCCCATGAACTGAGCGAGTTCCTGGCCACTGTCGACCACAGCCCTTTCCCTGGCGGTCCTCCTGTCAGACAGCAGCAGCTCTGCCAGAACCCGTGCATGGTCTGCCAGACCGCAAATTTTGAGTTTATCTTCGTGCTGTGCTCGCACCTTGGTATTTGTGCTGGTTGCAGGGAAACTTTGCTTGCCCAGGACCCCGACCCCCGCCACCGGGGCAACAATCGAATGGCCGAATGTCCCATATGCAAACAGCAGCAGCCGGGCCAATTTATAAGAAGGGTGCAAATGGTCGATTTCGCTCTCGATTAACAACAGCACTAGCAGCAGTCAAAAACTCGTGATTCAAAATTCATCTCAAAATTCAAAACGAAATTTTAGCCTTTCTTGTTTCAATAATAAATCTGGAGTATTTTGATAGGAATAATAAATAATATTTCATGAAGGAACAAATTTCTTTAAATATTGTTACGAATCAAACAATTTTGTAAATGTATATGCACAACAAGTTAGCCCACACGTCAAAGTGCTAACGAGGTGACCTGGCGTCACCCGCATGATCCTCCAGTGTTTGATCTCGCCACTGACTGATCTTGCAGCCTCCCTCGCACAAATGTATGGCCAGTGTCTCAAGACGCTCGCAAATTTGTCGCAAATCCTTGCTGCATCTTGAGTTAGCGCCGCCGTTGAGAAAGAAGGTGCTACATTCGCATCCTCGCACTCTCCAAACGTTAATTATTAGCAATAGCGTTATTCTCAATGGGTGATGTTCGTAAAAAAATTTTACGCAATTTCAAATTTCGGTATTTTTTAATGGGACTCTGTTGATAATACTTTTTTTTTTAATTTAAAGTAATGTCTCCCGACATTGGAATTAAATTATGATTTGGGCGCCGACAACGTGGTAGAGCAACAGATGCAGGCTTTCAGGCTGTGGTAAAAAGCAGCCACAAAGTCGGGTGGGCACTCAAATCACGACGACAGAGATTTCTGAATGTACGTAGTAACAATCTCTATGGTATATGGAACAAAAATTTTGACCTGCGGAACCCGATGAATAATTTCCAAAAGACAAATTAGAAAAAAACAACGCCTCCAGGTAAAATTCCAAAGGCCTGTAGCGAGTCTGCCCATGACGCATCATACAGATTAAACAATAATATTCCTTAATTTTGAAAATAAGTATGCCAGTAATTTTGAATTTCTTGCAATTCAATGAGAGACTTAGACCCACGTCTATACTGTTTAATAGTCGCATTTGTGTCAGTAAAGTGCCGCGAAGTGGCGCCACTTTTTGAGTTAGACCCACGTCAATAGTCGTAATTGTGTCAAGAAAGTGTCATGAAGTGTCGCCACTTTATGAGTTAGTCCCACGTCAATAGTCGCATTTGTTTCAACAATGTGCCGTAAAGTGGCGCCACTTTTTGAGTTAGTCCCACGTCAATAGTCCTAATTGTGTCAGAAAAATGCCGCATTATGTGACTTAGACGAACGTCTATAGTCCTCTGAGTGTCAGGACTATTTCAAATTTTCAAAATTCACCTCTATTAATTCAAATTATCGAAATGCTCGTCTACCACTCGACGACTCTTGCACATTGTTATGAAAATAGATATTATATTTGAACTTGCCTGTCCTGCCGTCATATGTAAAAGTAAAAAAGTTCTAAGCAGAGCAATTGTCCTCTAATTAAAGGCCCAAAATTGGAACCTGAACAGAAGAGCCCTGTAAATAGTCTCCCAAAGTGCAGACGACATATTATATTATGTAATAAAATGAAAATTTATAGGTATGAATACTTTTTTCGAAGATTTCGCAAACATTAATTTTTAAATGGTATAATATCAAAAAGTATTGAACTTATTATTTTACACTGAAATTCTTTTACATATATTAATATAAATATATATTATCATCAAAAAACAATCAGCAATAAAGCAAATGAAATTTTTTAAATGTCCTTTTAATATTTTATGATGGAAAGCCGGTTGTCATATCACAGTAAATGGTGCTCATTGGTGCTCAGTTTCAAAGGAATATTGGCTTTGCTCTGAAGATGACGCCTCTGACTTCTCTTTTCGCTAGCAGGATTTTTTGCCATTGCAAAAGTCGGCACACCCACACCCGGACTCAAAGCATGTAAAAGTCACGTTTGTGATTGTTATCTTTATGAGAAGATAAAAATTGCAATAAGTTTTGGTTTTTCACCTTTATGTACTAATGAACATTCTTACTTTATTTGGTATTTCTCCAACGAGCTGCTCGTGAATAATTATTGACGTTTCAATTTAACATCAAATAAGGTAAGCGCGGCATTGAAAAGAAATACACAAAAGTGATACTACTTCAATATGAGATTAAAATTTCCAATTTTAAAACTAAATAATCAAGTTTCCAATTAATACTAACTAGTGAAAATCGTTATGGGTAGCAGTGGCTCCAAATCAACAGCCATGGATTGGCGTGACGAGGTCCCAAGTCTTGCAGATCAATTATGGTACATGTATGAAAATAAAATTGGCACTGATCTTCAAATTGCAGTCACGAACGATGAGAAAGTACAGGTGAATACATTTTTTAGATTATAAAATATTTTTTACATTTTATTTTATTTTAATATCTTGGACTAAAATAAACTAAATCATGAAATTACTTTAAAATTTTTTTTTATTAAATCTACCTTTGAGATTTTTTATAAAGCGAGAAAAATTTCTTTTTTTAGAGTTTTGACTGCCACAGAACTATAATGAGGAGGTTGTCGTTCAATTTCGAGTTGCAAGATGATGACGAGAATTTCATGTACGTGGACGTGGGAGATATGGACCCAGATTTGTTCGACTATATAATTAAGTATATGAATAAATAATTAGAAAGTGAACGTAACATTTACAATAAATATTATTTTCCAGATTTGCTTACACAGACAAAATTGTCTTTAAATCTTTCAAGGACTCAATCCAAATCCACAGAGTTGCTTCTAATTATCAAATGAACCATTTGCGCAAAGAGTGCGAAAATTTCATGCAGAACAAAGTAGACAAGGACAGTGTGTGGAGCCTGCTAAGCCACACCAATAAAGGTCCTGACCTGACGGCCTTGACAGACTATGTAATGTGTTGAAATTAATTCCTTTTTTACTATGAATATTTTAAATTTTTTTGGTTAAAACAGCAGACTTCACTTAATGTTACATTTTCTACGTCAAGAGAGATTTCAAAAATAAATTAGGGCATTAAAATTGTTTTAATGGTAAAGATAAAAAAATATAAATATATGAAGAAAAAAAATGGAGTTGTAAATAAATTACTGCAAGCTTTAATAATAGGCGTGGGATAATAAAACACACTAACACAATAATTTTCAATTCATTTCTTTCGTATTCTGATAAAATGTGAATCTTTCAGTTTTTAACTGGGCAAACATGTGCCTGTTTGGAATCACCTGAGTTCCTCTCCTGCAATCAAACGACTTTAGAGTTGCTGCTCAGCCAGGAATCAATCAACGCCACAGAATTGCAGCTCATCCAGGCGGTATTAAAATGGACTCGGCACAAAAACGGCAACAAACCCTTCGATTCGGAAACAGCCCGGCGAATTCTTGGGCCCTGCATCAGCCTCTTGCGATTTCTTTGCCTCACTGCTGCCGATTTTTCAACTTACGTTGCTCAAAGTGGACTTATTTCAAACGAGGACGCCCTTCTGGTGCTCATAAATTTGTCCACCAAAGGCCAAGCAAAATTACCGAGTTACATCTGCACGACTGATGTCCCAAGGAAACCTTGTTCTGCTGCTTTCAAAGTAAACTGCGATGCAGCAGTTGAAGTGCGGAAGGAAGAGGAAGATGAAAAAACAGAAGGCGCAGAGTGTTTGCCTGCAGCACCGGCGGTCCAATCGCAAAAAATTCGCCGCTCAAAAAAAGCCAAAGCGGAAAAGATTCAAAGAAGCCCCGAGCACAAACAGAAGTCCAATAAGTGAAAATGAGGTCTTCTTCACTCGCCTGCTTCACCCTGAGTTTGCTCACTTGGACCTTGCGCAACTCTACGATTCGCCTACCTCTTTCCAAGTGGACCTGCAGCTCTCCCGGTCAGCCTTACTCGCTGGTTTCAGATTGGACACGCAAGTCAAAAAGCCAGATTTGGTCAGCACAATTGATACATACAGAGAGAACGTGCAATTGTCGGTTTACAATACCAATGTAAAAAAATTTATTTGCTGTCAAGGCTACACAGGAAGTGCCAATTACGGTGCGGGCAGAACCTTTGTCATTCGTTTTAAAAAACTTGTAGCACTTGAAGCACAAGTTTGGTATTCGGTCCACGTGCGCTTCAGCAATGCTGGATGTTACAAATATTGCCTACGGCCCAATCGCGTTATACAGAATGGTATGGAAGTCAAATTTAACACAGACGAAAATTGTCCTCGGAGCGCCAACCCTATTGCGGCCGTTATATTATGTTTGTAAGCTTTCGTTGAATATAATTTATATAAAATGGTATAAAACATTATTTCTCGACGGAAAGCCTGTTTTCTTATTCTAACGCATGGTGCCTATCGGTGCTCATTTAAAAAAAAATATTTATACATACTTGTGGCTTTACTCCGAAGATGACGCCTCTGCCTTCTCTTTTCGCGAGCAGGACTTTTTGCCAAATTGCTAATTTCGGCACACCCACACCGTGACTTAAACTTAAACCACTTCAAAGTCACTTTGATTGTATTATCAAAGATAGATTAAAAATATTGTTTCATCACTCTTTATGAAGATTGTTATTTCAGTTGTCTCTATATATTGGACATGCTCCATACGTGCATAATTATCATCAAGAAGCATAAATTATCAAGGTAACAGTGGAATTTAAAATTTAAAAAAAAATTTGAAACGTTAATCGCGACTGCTTTCTCAAATGAGAAAGATTAATATTATTGCCCTCTCGAGCAAAATTCAGTTCAGTTGGAAAAAATTGTAAGCTGGCTTTAAACACACATAGGCATTTTCTTCCACCTACAGCGCTACAAGTATTTTTCTTTTTCTATTTAATTTTTAAACAATTATTCTCACTTCTTAATTTAAGAAATCTAATGTGAAATGTAAACCCATTTTAATTATTTTGTTTATATTTCTCACTTTCCATCAGCAATAAAAAATTACCGATTTTCAAAATATTTATTATTTCTGTAGCATTGCTTGCAATGGATTGGCGCGACGAGCTCCGTAGACTCCCAAATCAGCTTTGGTACATGTATGAAAGGAAGCTTGGAACCGATCTGCAAATTTCAGTCACAAGTGATCACAATCAACAGGTTAACATAAATTTCTACTTGATTATTTGAAAAAAAAATCGGCGCGTTCTCATGAAAATTTTCTAAAATTTAAAATACTAGTAAAACAATTTTTTATAATTATTTCATCACTCTTTTTTAAGAGACGAGTAAAATGATCTTATAAAAAAAATAGATCTGAAACACTGCGACAAATTAAATGTTTATATTTTAGGTTTTTCACTGCCACAAAATGATCATGAGGAGGTTGTCTTGTGCCTTCGAGCCCCAAGCAGATGGTGAAATGTTGTCGTCTCTCGATGTGGGTGACGTGGACCCAGAAATTTTCTCCGCCATAATTAAGTAAACCAAATCATTTTTTTAAATGCTTAAAAAATACTTTTTAATATTTCCAGATTTGCATACACCGACAAAATTGTTTTCAAATCCTTTGCAAGCGCCATTCAAATACACATGGTGGCTACCAAATACCAAATGAATCAGTTGTGTATAGAGTGTGAAGATTTCGTACAGAACAATTTAGACAAGGACAGCGTTTGGACTCTGCTAAGTTACTCCAATAAAGGTGTAAATCTGAGTACCTTGGCAGAAAAAGTAAGTTAACAAACATTTTTTATACCAAAATTAAATGTGTATGATGGTAAGGATTGCCAATAAAGAACGACGAATTGCTAGCTATAAAAAAAAATTTTTACTTACAACAAACGTTAAAAAATCGTTAAAAATTGAAGTGAAAATTTTTTTTTCAGTATTTAGTTGCACAAACAAGCGAGTGCTTGCAATCGCCAGAGTTCCTCTCCTGCAGCCATGCCACTTTGGAGTTAATGTTAAGCAAGCAAGAGCTGAAAGTTCATGAAATAGGGCTACTGCAGGCGGTTAAAAAGTGGACCAAGCATAAAAATGGAGGCGAACCTTTCAATTCTGATGATGCAAAACGGATTCTTGGACCTTGGCTCGGTCAATTGCGATTTCTATGTCTCAGTTCCGCCGATTTTTCCACACATGTTGATAAAAGTGGACTAATTTCAAATGAGGATGCCAAGCTGGTGCTCAAATATTTTACCAAGGATTACCCACTAGAAGAATTGCCAAGCCACATCTGCAAGGTAACTGTTCCACGGGATCACAAATCTGCACATAGGAGGGAAAGGACCCTCGACAAGCAACACAAAGGAAAGCGCCAGCCGGATCTTGCAACAAAAAAGAAAATCAGAAAAAGAGAACCTTTTAGCAATAATGTAGCAGGAAAAGAAAACAAAGACGATGTGTTCTGTACGCGCCCAATTGAGCCCTGTTCGAAGCACTTGGCAAAAACCTATGAGTCGCCGACCTCATTTGAAGTGGACTTGCAGCTCTCCCAGTCAGCCATGGTGACTGGTTTCAGATTGGAAACGCAAGTAAAAAGACCGAATTTGATAACTAAAAAAATTGATTCGTACGCCGAGAAAATACAAATATCAGTGTATAATCCTGATTTAAAAAAATTGTTAAGCAGTCAAGTTTATGTCGGAAGAGCCAATTACGGGCCTGGAAAATACTTTGATATTCATTTTAAAATGCCAATACAATTGGATCCAGAAATTTGTTATTCAGTTGTTGTGTGCTTCAACAATTTTGGACTTTATTCGAACAGTCCACGGCTAAATTACGTTAAAGAAGGAGATGTAAAAATGACATTTAGCAAAGACGACTACCCATATAGTGCCAACCCTATAGTGTCTGTCATTTTGAGGCCTCCTTTTGATTTCAACCCCTTTGGCTTTAGAAGGCCACCTGCTACTCCTGCCGTAACGTCCGCAACTCGCAAGAATGTTAAAAAAAGTAAAGAACGGGAAGAGCCTCTTCGATAATGGAAGTTTGTTACAATTACTGTTAACATCTATCACATTTCAATTAAAAAACTTCAAATTAGGCATATAAATTAAATGATCTTACTATCATTCAAAATGCACGTCAATGCACTTAATATTAAATTATAGGTCTAGCCCGTGTTAATTTCTTTTTAAATTGGGACAGTATGGTAAATCTTAAATCTTAAATTAGTTGATTTATTTTTAATTAAGTGGATATCTATTAATCGGAAAGTGAAAATTTTCCTTAAATTTTTTCCTTTCGGCCGGGGTAGAAAAATAATGTTATTTACATTATAAATAAAAATAAGAATTTTTGTAATGATTCATGAGAAGTTAACTTTAGTGACCCTGACATAGTGATTTTCTTTTAAACATTTATTCATTTTGTTGATGGATTTGTCGCAATAAATTAATTAGCATTGAACTTTTAAAATTGTGCATTTTTTTATTTTGATCTGAACCAACATTTTCCCATATAGTGAAATAGAGTGATATAGAATTAAAACACAATTCTGACGATTTCTATATGACGGAGCAATACCATTATCTGCCCTATTTCCCTTCACTTCCTGTCCGGCCACAGGAAACATCATGCAAAGCATCCCATGCTGCAGATGGAGGCGCAGCGCTGATTTTTGCAGAACTGCCGTGAAAAGCAGCGAAATATCATGGCACCAACCAAGTGGCTCTTTCTCGTTATTATTTGCGCAGTTTGGGTAATACTTATGTTGTGCTTGAACAACACATAATTGAAAAATTAAATTTACTTGCAGTTCACCCAACTGGATGCACAGAGCGGTAATATAATACATACAAATTATTTAAAATAATTAATAAATTACCAATACTAAATTTAGAATGATTTATGAAATTACTATAAAAAAAAACAGATTCTTTGAAAGCAAAAATTCAAGAGAAGAGGCAGTCGATCAAAGCATTGATTTCTAAAATCAGGGATCGTATTGAAAAGAAGCAAAAGTCTGGAAAGGTCGTTGAGAAATCCGCAGGATCCGCCGCGAAACTTCAAGTAGCTGAAATCAAGTGCGCCGCCTCAAAAATCAATGTCCATTAAAATATTTGCAAAATTTTCAAATACTTTAACATAATTTTATCAGGGAATCGACGAATGTTGCCCAGACTTGAATAGAACCCTTTCGCAAGCACTGGACATCAAAAAATGTAGTTTGTCTGAGGGCAACTCTTTTCCTTCCCACGTTTTACAGTACTCGCTCAATCTGCTGCAGGACCAAACGTCAAAGAAACTTTCGCTTTTGAACTTGAACTCCAGCATCAAAGCACAAATTGTATGAATAACATTTATATAAATACTATCCATATTTATTTTTATATTAAGATATTTTCATGAAAAACAAAATAATATTAATAAAATATTTAGAAAAAATTATTAAATATCAAAAGTGCCGTAATAAGCAAGCGAGAAAACGATGTTTTTTTCTCCGAATCTCTTATCAAGATATATCAAGACAAGCCCCCAAGCAGCAATAAAGCGATTCCTAAAAATGCAGCAATATTATTTATGTATTTCAGTGTAGCAGCGAATGCCTTATCAGAAGATTCCGTGGAAATTCGGTAAAAGTCAACTTTCATATAATTGTTTGCTGAAATAAAAAGTAGCGAATAATTGGAGTGCAACATTGTTTTGTATCTAACCTTGCAGCGACAACTGGAGGCCAAGAATGTTGCAAAGAAAAACAGCAAGTTGAAGCTATCGGAAGTGTTCAAATCCGCGTTGCTCGAGTGCAAAAATGATGCAACTAGTATATTTAAAAATATTTAAAAATTCCCCTACGAATAATATATTTTAGGTTTCCAAAAAAATTCAATCACCTACCAATCTCAAACGTGCGCTGTGGCTCCCTATGTCCAATTGCAGTGTGCAATTAGGACATCACTCTTGGTAAAATGAAGTAATTTATTAAAAAATATTAACTGTGAATCTAAATGAAAAACAGAGCTGCCCATCGTTTTCTGAAGGTTGTTTTCAAAAGTTTTATGGAAACAAAAATAAGCTCATTAATTTTTTTTAGACGACCTCTGCCTGTTACAAAAGGACCAACTTCTGCTGTGTGACCCTTTTAAATTTTGAAACGACAATGTAAAGAATGCATCATGCTCAATACAAATAAAAACACCGTGCATTTGTTTCGAAAACTGGAAACAATTATTTACTTTGGCTGCAGTGCCTCGCAATAAATTAAATTTTCATCAGTCAACACGCAGAGCGATCTGATAAAGTCTCGCGCCACACTCTAAAAGTTGCATTTGCGAAAATTGCGTCTCACAATTCCAAGTAAAATCTCCGGGATACACGCAAATTATAATGGACGTAAGTAATTAATGTTAAGATGGGCAATACAATTTTGGTGGAGCAGTGCAAAAAATGATGACCAACAATAATAATTGTAATATTTCTCCAATTTAATAAGTTAAACTAAGTGTCATGCTCATGTATTGAGCTAAAAACTTTGTTTTTAACCCCATTTGCCCAAAGTTTAGACCCAAGGATTGAAATTGATTAAAATTTTAAATTATCAAAGACATAATTAATTTACGATTTAATTTTTTAATAATATATGGACAATTTTATTTTTCCGAGCACCATTTAATTTCCATGACTTATAAAAAAAAATCTAAAAATTAATCATATAAACTAAACAAATTTTTAATTTTTTTTTCATGAGCTGCGATGCGACCTAATAGTTACAAATTTTCCATTAAAAAGTGGAAATCGGTGTTCATTTTTAATTTATGATAAACGGAAAAGCAAACACTGAAGATCTCTGCATATTCTGATACTTCTTTGAATTTAATTAAAACAATTAATCCAGGTTTGAAAAAGAAAACGGTCGAAACACATTCAATTGGTTTGTATTAATTATAGCTGGTGTAACCAAAGCAGAAATTTAATTTGATGTAAATGAAGTTGGCCACCCTTAAATTTCGGATATCTAGATTTGAGAATGATTTAAAAAACGGACTTGTTAAAAAAGGTGAATTCGTCGAGTGTGACTTTGGTGGCGGTGAGTAAGCGGATGGGCAGCCTCGACCTGGCCGTGTTTTCGGCCATGCTGGCCTCGTCGGCGGTGATCGGATGCTACTTTGGCCTGTGCGACGGCCGAAAGAAAAACAGCACCCAGGAGTATTTGATGGGCGGCCGAAACATGGGCATGCTGCCGGTGGCCCTCAGCCTGGTGGCCAGTTTCATCTCGGGCATCACCATCCAAGGCGAGCCCGCCGAAATTTACACGCACGGAACTCAATACTGGTTTGAAAAGTTCAAAATATAATCAAGAAAAGTATTTCACCCTTTTTTAATCAGGTGCGTTTTGCTTGTGAGCTACCTGGCTAGTTTCGTGGCAGCCATGCTGTACATACCAGTTTTTGTAAATTTGCAGTTGAATTCTTGTTACGAGGTTTGTTTCCATTTTTGAAAGATCAATTTTAATAAAATCTTGCATTCCAGTACCTTGAACTGCGTTTCAACACAAAAGTGCGGAAAATGGCCTCAATTCTTTTTGTTATCTCACAGGTCAGAAAAATATGTTTCAAAACTATTATGATATGACGCAGATTGTTCAAAACTTTAGGTGGCTTATATACCTGTGATAATTTATATTCCCTCGTTGGCGTTCAGCCAAGGTAGGAAAATTTTCAATGTGATATTTTTATTTTTTCTGCAGAAGTTCACAATCGAGGGTGATTAATGGTGATTTGAATTTAAATCGGCTTTTCCTCAATGAGTTTTTTGTGAGTGTTTTATTGATTAAGAAAAAGGCAGGAAATTCTTTTTTCTAAAACAATAAAAAGCCAATCAAGGAAAAGTCAAATATAAATTCAAATCACCATGATATTTTTATACTGAAATGAATTTTAAATTTCAGTCACTGGAATCGACGTCAATTTAGTGGTGCCAGTGGCTTCGGCGATTTGCATTTTCTACACAACAATTGTAAATTAAAATATAATTAATGCAAATTAACTCTTTCTTTAAAAAATTTGATAATTCAGGGTGGATTGAAAGCGGTCGTATGGACAGACACGCTTCAATCAGTACTTATGATGTGCGCGATGATAACCGTGTTTGTGATTGGCCTGATTAACATTGGTGGCTGGAGCAATGTTTGGAGAGCAAGTGAAAGAGGACACAGACTTGAATTTTTCAAGTAAATATTCTGAAAATAATTTTTTGGTAGAATGGAGTGGATAAAATTTAAATATAAGTCTTAATTCTTTTCATTTTCACAAATATCAGCAGCAATAAAATATTCAAATTCAATTGGCTGATAAAATAAGGGAAAAGTTTATGTTTAGAAAGAGTGCATCTAATTGGAGGGTTAACTATTTTTATTGTTAATTTTAAAATTTGGTTTCATTGAAAATTGTTTCTTTTTTATTATTACTAGCTGTAAATATTTTCATATTTTTTTAAAGCCTTGACCCCAACCCTACCGAACGTCACACATTCTGGACCCTTTTGATCGGTGGTTTCTTCAACTATTTGTCTCCATTTACAACAAACCAGGGCATGGTGCAGCGCTACCTGGCAGTTCCCGATTTGAAAACAGTCTACAAGTAAAAAATTTAGTTTTCAATCTTTGTTTAAAATTTATTTTCCAAAGGTGCTTGGCGTGTTTCGCCACAGGTCTTGTCCTGTTCAAATCGCTAAGCATCGCCACCGGTCTCCTGTTGTTCGCCACCTACGAAGGTTGCGACCCTGTGGCCGCTCACAAAATCCAGCGCCATGACCAACTGATGCCCTTCTTTGTGCTCGACGTCGCTGGACACATTCCCGGCCTGGGTGGACTTTTCGTCGCCGGAATTTTCAGTGCTGCTCTCAGGTTTATACAAAATCTTTCAAAATGAATCAAAAAGTTGGAGAGCAAATAACTTTGCGTGCAGTTCAATGTCGACGGGATTGAATGCCCTGTCAGGAGTTCTGGTCGAAGACTTGCTGGCGCCCTGGTTGCCAAAGGAGAATAAAATTCTGTGGCTGCGAATTGCGGCCGCCGTTTGCGGTTTCGTTTCTCTGGCGCTCGTCTTTGTTGTGCAACACTTAGGAGGTGTGCTGCAGGTACGATTTTTTTAGATATTGAAAAAGAGAAGAAAATTATTCAAGATTTAATTAATGAGAATTATTAATCTCGAAAAATCTAAACTTGCAAAAATAAAAAACATTTCATAAAAGGTATAATTTCTGCTTTATATAAATTACTTTCTAATTTTTTTGTTAAAAACGCTGACAAAAAAAAAAACGAGGTGAATTACGTGTTTAAAATAGTCACATTTAAACTCGCTTGCTTTTTTTATTTTGTGAAACTATTTCTTTTTGCAGTTTTTTTTTTAAATTTTGTTTATATTTATATTTTTTAAATTATATTTTATAGGTGGCTTTAAGTTTGGGAGGAATTACTCTGGGTGCACTTCTTGGCGTTTTCACCCTTGGAATGTTTTTCCCGAAGGCAACCAGCAAAGTAAATTTAATATAATTTAAATATATCTTGAGAAAAATCCCAAATTTTAAAATCGAATTGTGAAAGGGCGCCCTGATTGGTTCCATCTTATCTCTTGTCGTGACTGGCACGATTGTCCTCGGTGCCCAGGCAGCCCTTTTCACCGGAGCCTTGCGCCATCCAATTCTGCCAGTTTCAACGGAAACCTGCGCCGAAAACAGAACCCTCTTTTTAGACAATATTCCCATCCTTGACGCACCGTATGTATTTAATTTTTATTTTTCGGCAATAAATTATAAATTAATTTTGATTAATAAGTCACGACAATTCTGGCGTGTGGTTCATCTTCCGCATCTCCTACTGGTATTACACGGTTATTGGTACGGCCATTGTGCTCGCCGTCGGCTACCCTGTCAGCATCTTCTGCGAAACGGACGTTGAGGACCAGCGACCCCGCAAGAGAAATCTCTTCTCGCCCGTCATCCAACGCTACCTTCCAGCCGACGAGGACGACAAAATGCCCGAGAAAAACCCTCTGGTCACTCTTAGTGAGGAGGCAATAAATTATAAATATTGCTTAGCAGACGTTAAATAAAGTAAGTTGTTCAGAGTTCAAAAACTTTTGATCGATTTGTTGGCTTTATTATGTGGGCCAAAGCATAAATAATAAATATAGCCTGAGGCAAATGGATGTGAATTGACTCACGGTATGGCGCGCAAAAATAAAGGCTTTTCTTTAGAGATACGAATTTAATATCCAGGAAAATTCATTGGTTTGAAATAAATCTTAAAATTTTGGGAAAATACTGAAACTTAAAATATTGAATTATTAAAAATTAAAAATATGTGTAAATAAATTACAATGTCTGCTTATGGGATTTGGATTAAAAATATAGAAATAAGCGTTCCAAGGGTTTTGCGTGTGTAATTTAAATATATATAACTTTCCAAAACAAATATTGTTTTGTATATTTCACGAAGGCAAACAAACATAAAAAATTATGACAATTTATAGAAGTAGTAATTTTACACATTATTGTGAATAAAATTAATGCAAAGTCATTATTACGGCCGTGATTGTGAGTTGATATTTTGATAAATTAATTACCTTCTTCTTTAAAATCATTCACAAAACCTTACCCACCCTTAAAAGAGTGTTTTCATTACCCAGTTCTCAGCCACTCACCGGCGCCAGGGTGCTACCAAATCACGTGTGTTTCTAGTTTTATTCGGAAAAAAATACTCATTTTTCCCGCGACGTTTCAACTATGGAATGCGGTGCCGGTGAAATATTGTCTGGATGAGAATGATAATTCTTTCAAAAGTTATGTGATGCAAAATTGGTTGATTTTTTTTAGTGGTTAGTTGTGAAAAATTGAATATAAATTAATGGAATAAGCTGTTCACAAGAAAGCTGGAGTGAAAGGTTAATGACAAAAATAATTACAATAATTCTCAATTTAAGCGTTTGCAAGAATAATTTAAAATGGTTAGTCAGAGTGCTACACACACTTAAACTGTCGGCCACAATCTTGCTAACAAATAGTTATAAATTGCAAGTAAACTGAAGGGACAATAACTTGGGATCCTCTGTATAATTCCTTCCAATCAGCAGCACGTGCTATTGCAAAACTTCTCAAATTCCTGCAGAGGGCCACAACCCACGAGACCACGTGACCTTGCAAATTGAATAATTGAGGATTGAAGAAAGAGGCCGTGCGAGGGTCCCTCGGCGTCTCGAAATCGGGCCAGTGCGTCCGCAGCTGCCGCCGAGACGAGAACGAGCGCAGCTGCTCTCTCATTTCCATAATATATTGCGCCGGGTGAAATTGTTTATTTTGATTATTTTTTTTCTAAAAAAATGAGTCAAACTGCGGATTCTCCGAGGCTAAGCGCGTTGGACGTGGGGGTGTTCGGGGCGATGCTGGCCTCGTCGGCGGCCATCGGCTGCTACTTTGGCCTGAGCAAGGGCGGCCAGCGCAGCGCCCTCGACTACCTGATGGGCGGCCGCCAGATGAGCATGTTGCCGGTGGCCCTCAGCCTGGTCGCCAGTTTCATTTCGGGCATTTCCATCATGGGCGACCCGGCCGAGGTTTACCGCCACGGCACCCAGTACTGGACCATCGTGCTCTCCAGCTACTTGGCCAGCTGCGTCGTTTCCCTCGTCTACGCGCCCCTCTACATCAAGCTGCAGCTCAACTCGTGCTACCAGGTGACACAAAGAAAGAAGGAAGGAAACAACCCCTTCAGAACGCAAACATTTCTTTTGTTTAATCCACACTTATAATATGCGTTTTCCTTTGCATTTTGCTGCACTCTCCAGATTTGTATTATTTGATAGAAAATTTAACTTGGTTGTTAATTTTTTTTTCTCAATTTTATTACAATTTCTTAATGTAACGTGCTTTCTATGATAAAGTTACAAAGCATAATATACTGTGTAATTAATTTCATGAAACAGCTTTTCGTGTTTTCTTGATTTCATCATAATATTATTTAATATTTCTTTCTTTAAGGCACCAGTAAAAGCTATTTAAACGTCACTTATGAAGATCATAAATCAACTTGCAAATTTTAACACCTATTTGGCTTGCTTAATTAATTCAGCAATAATTTGGGTTTAATGGAATTTTAAGTTAGCAATTTTTTATGAATTAAATAACAATCTAGGATTTTCATTTTCCAGTATTTGAAAATGCGATTTAACGAGAGCGTCCGAAAAATGGCATCAGCGCTTTTTGTTATTTCTCAGGTAAAAATAAATCATTTTTACATCTTTTAGCACAAAATTAATTTTCTAAGGTGAATTTTTAGTTTCTCTACATCCCTATCGTAATTTACGCACCCGCTTTAGCACTGAGCCAAGGTAAATAGAAAATTCTACAAAAGTTTCACCATAGATAACGATCCGCTTTTCCAGTGACCGGCTTGAATGTCCACGTGATAACACCCGTCATCTCGGCAATTTGCATTTTTTACACGACGATCGTAAGTTTAACGACGGCAATTTATCAAAAAGGGTTTCCTACCTTAAGTTGTGTTGTCGTCAGGGCGGACTGCGCGCCGTTGTGTGGACGGACACCTTGCAGACGTGTCTGATGATGATGGCCATGGTGGCGGTTTTTGCGATGGGCGTCGCGAGGGTTGGCGGATGGGAGCACGTGTGGCAGGCGGCAGAGAGGGGCGGCCGACTCGAATTCTTCAAGTGAGATTTTTCCATTCCTGAAACAAAATAATAGCAAAAAAAGTGCAATACAAATTAATTTTTAAAGTTCATTCATAAAAAAAAACTAAAATCAAGAATACAATTTTGTAACAGCATTTCACATGTTCCGAGTATTACTATTTATTTTCTATAAAAATGAAATTTTAACCAATTTCATACTTGCAGCATTAATTATTAAACAATTAAGTAGCACATTACCGAGAAATAAGAAATTATTGAGGAAATGACTATCAAACGGTGCATTAATAATAAAGAGCCAAATTCATTAAGTACGCACCATATTGTTACTAGTGGCAACTTCACTTTACCCAAATTTAAATAAACACCTTTTTTCAAATATTTTTTGAGAATAACAGCTTGCTCATGAAGTAAAAATCAAAACATGCATTTATAAAAAAAATAATATTAATTTTTAATTATTATATCTTTTATTACTCGCTTTAGATTTCTATTTTTATTTTTAATTAAAATTTGAACCTTGTAGGTTGATAAGTTCAAAAAAATTATACCCTTAAAGTAGTTGAAAAATCAAAGAAAATCAGAGAGTGGAACAAATTCTAAAACTCAAAATTACAAAATAATTTTTTCAGCATGGACCCTAACCCTTTGGAGCGACACACTTTCTGGACAGTGCTGCTAGGACAATTTGTGTACCAGCTGGCGTGGTGCGCCACCAGCCAGGGCATGGTGCAGCGATACCTGGCCGTTCCTGACCTCAGGACGGCCCGCTGGTGTCTCGCGTGTTTCGCTTTTGGAATGACGGCCGTGAAATGGCTCAGCGTCGCCACTGGACTGCTGCTGTACGCTTCGTACGAAAACTGCGACCCAATTTCTTCCCAGGTAAAATTTAAATTAGAAATTTAATTTTCCCCCCTAATGAATTGTAAAATTGTAAAATTAACTATTTATGCTAATTAAAATAAATGAAATTTTATTTAACGTTTTTGTTCTATTTTGAAGCGCGTTTCCCGTCAGGACCAAATACTGCCCTTGTACGTCCTCGAGACAGCCGGACACATTCCAGGCCTGAGTGGCCTTTTCGTCGCCGGCGTCTTCAGCGCAGCACTCAGGTTTAAATTAACGTGAAAATTTCACAAATTAATTTACAAAAACGGCAGTTCGATGTCGACCGGTCTGAACGCCCTTTCAGGAGTGTTGGTCGAAGACCTGTTTGCCAGGTGGATTCCAAAAGAGGGCCGTTTTGGTGCTGCCCTGTGGCTCAGGGTAGCCGCCCTGAGCACCGGCGTTGTGTGTGTGGTGCTGGTTCTCATCGTTGAGCACTTGGGTGGAGTTTTGCAGGTAAATTTTTAAAATTAATGATAAGTCAAAATTAAAGTTTATATAAATTCAGGTGGCGCTCAGTTTGGGAAGCATTACGAGCGGGACGATGCTGGGACTTTTTACCATGGGCATGTTTTGCCCAAGAGCAAACAGCAAGGTATATAATAAATATTTTTTTACTTTTTGTCATGTGTTCCAGTTAAAAAAAAAATGTTTAAACAGGGTGCTCTGATTGGATCTTTGGCGTCGCTGATCCTGAACGGAGGAATCGTGTTTGCGACGCAAGGGGCCCTGGCTCAGGGAACCCTTCGTCACTCCTTTTTGCCCTTGTCCACTGATCTGTGCCCAGAAAACACAACTACCATTATTTTGCCGTAGGAATTGATCATCTCTCGATGCATTTTGTGAAAATAAATTGATCTGATCTTAGTACGGAGCCAGTGTTGGAGACTTGGCCTCTGCTGAAGTTGTCCTACATGTACTACAGCCTCGTGGGGGCAATTTTGGTGCCCCTGGTGGGACTGCCGGTCAGTTGGATTTCCGGAGGCCGACACAGAAAAATGTCCCCAGATCTTTTCAGTCCTTTCGTGCACCGTTGGTTGACCCCCGAGGATCAACAGTGTGACCTCAAGCTCGACGAGAAATGATCAAGCAGGACTGAAGCAGAATAATTAAGTTTTTGATCGAAATCGTCGATGATTGTTAAAATGTGATTTGATCATTCTACAATTTTATTCAAAAATACATAAATTAATAACATGAAATTTAATTCAGCGATAACAACATCTTTTGATGAGTTTACTCAGTATTATAATCAGGGCAGAAAATTCATTTAGTCAATTAATCATGTTGTACAGAGAATGCATTTGTGTAATACAAAAGTTGAAATTTCAATTGCTTTTAATAAAAATTTTTTTATAATTATTTACTTTCCTTTTGAGATTATTTTATCACTGTAAATTGTTACATCACTTGCGAAAATTTTCAAATTCATTTTTGCAAAATACTCAAGCGTGGTGCAAATATTTATCAAAAAACTGCATACAAAATAAGACACTGATTTAGAAAATTACATCAAGAAAATTAATTAGTTTTGTTAATTTAGAATAAAAAATTTAATTACCTGTCTTGCATCATTCGCATTCGCCTTCAAAATTAGTTGGATCGTGGTGATTGTATATTTGGAGGAGCTCGGTTAAAATCCAGGGGAAATATTATGCAAAGTGGGAAAATCGCAAAAGTAGATCACACTTTTTCACTTTTCACAGCGTCAATCATGGCAAGTTCACGACTTCACAACACAAACAAACATGAAGAACTGAACAACAGCTAAGTAGCATCACACGAAAACATGTGATCCAGCAAATATAATAGGGGAGAGAGAGAGAGAGAGAAACAATTTTAAGGGTGGGGAAATAAGGAATCGAGTTCTTAAAACTGTCAGTGCCTGCCATTGACGGCAGAAAGGAGGAAGAGAAAACAAGGACAGACATAAATATAGGAGAAGGGCGAGAGGGGCGAAACAGACGGACGATAATTTTTCATAACATGGAGAGAGAGGAATTTTGAGGAAAAGCCTGCAGTTTTCAAACAAAAGTTGTTCAACGTTCAGTATGTGTTTTGTACGCGTTCATGTCTTTGCTAGTTTGCTCCTCTGATCCTGGATATTTCATCAAAGGTGAGGATTACCGAATGTTAAATTTTTCTGTAATTTTAAATAATTTTCATTCCCTAAAAAGAACCGCTTTAGCTATAAATTTAAATTAATTTATCTCTACATGTTCTCCATTTTTTGAACATAAAATTGGTTTAAAAAGGGTAATGTTATAGTACGCGCGACGTGTTTCCCAAAATCCCTGATTTCAGTTGGCATCACTTGCATTACGTCGCGCGTTTAATAGTGGTTTTACGTCGCGCATACAATAATGGTTTTACGTCGCGCGCTCAATACTGGTGGCGGTAAAATTGTTAAGAAAACCGATTATTCCATCGATACCTCGGCAACATGTATAGCACGCGCGACGCAATTCTTTTCCTACAATCTTAATTAAGGGGACTGCTAGGAAGAATAGGGGCCCTTGGGATGGGTTCAGAATGGGGCAAGACGACCTCTGGAGGGCCGTGCGCACCCTTATAGCAGGCGCGACGTATCACTATGGGACGCGCGACGGTCGAAAAAGCGAACTCCGGAGGGCGCTTTTCACCATCGTCAGAGGCGCGACGCACGGTTATAGTACGAGCGACGCATGCTTAAAGTACGCGCGACGCACGGCAAATTAATTAAAAGGTGTTGCACGCGGCCGGAGTTGTGGGCACCCCACGAACCGGCAACTCGGAGGTGGGCAACCCCCAAGATTAATTTTTGCAGAAGCCGCGAGCGAGGGGTGGAGGCGCAGCGAGGTCGAGGACGTGGGGAAGGCCGTGCGGAGGGCGAGGACAAAAGGGCGGCTGTGTTCATGAGGGGGCTCCGCAGGAGCCCCCTCACGAACCCCGCCCTTTTGTCCCGCCCGGAGCCGGCCTTCACCACGTTCTCGGGCGAGCGCGCCTCCAGCCCGAAGCTCGCAAACCCACAACGGAGTTGCTTACAAAAGGAATTGTCTGCAAAAAGGGCTTAGAAAGCAAAAAGTGTGGTGCCCAAAACTCCCTTTGCAGACAACACCTTTTGTGGGCAACTCCGTTGTGGGTTTGCGAGCTTCGGGCTGGAGGCGCGCTCGCCCGAGAACGTGGTGAAGGCCGGCTCCGGGCGGGACAAAAGGGCGGGGTTCGTGAGGGGGCTCCTGCGGAGCCCCCTCATGAACACAGCCGCCCTTTTGTCCTCGCCCTCCGCACGGCCTTCCCCACGTCCTCGACCTCGCTGCGCCTCCACCCCTCGCTCGCGGCTTCTGCAAAAATTAATCTTGGGGGTTGCCCACCTCCGAGTTGCCGGTTAGTGGGGCGCCCACAACTCCGGCCGCGTGCAACACCTTTTAATTAATTTGCCGTGCGTCGCGCGTCCTATAACCATGCGTCGCGCCTCTGACGACTCCGGAGTTCGCTTTTCGACAGTCGCGCGTCCCATAGTGATACGTCGCGCCTGCTATAAGGGTGCGCACGGCCCTCCAGAGGTCGTCTTGCCCCATTCTGAACCCATCCCAAGGGCCCCTATTCTTCCTAGCAGTCCCCTTAATTAAGATTGTAGGAAAAGAATTGCGTCGCGCGTGCTATACATGTTGCCGAGGTATCGATGGAATAATCGGTTTCCTTAACAATTTCACCGCCACCAGTATTGAACGCGCGACGTAAAACCATTATTGTATGCGCGACGTAAAACCAGTATAGAGCGCGCGACGTGATACTTTTACATGGGAGCATAAGTGTTGCCAACCTATGAAAAAACACGTCGCGCGTACTATAACATTACCTTAAAAAGTACTATTAGAACCCAAAAAATGTGTAAATCAGCAAAAAACTAACTCACTCTATGCAAGAAAATGCCCTGGCTGAATAACGGAGCTTTTACATAAACTTTTTCTTATTCACAGGCTGGAAGTTTAGTTCCAAATCGATTTTTTTTATAAGATGCGTGATATTAGCTTATTTAAATTTAAAATTGGTTATATATTCAATATAATTGTAATTATAACTGAACGAATATACTACAATTTAAATTCTGTTCAGGTTCCAATATTATGTGGTGTGGCGCGCGTATGAACAACATAAAAAGGTAAGATTTTATTTCAATTACTTATTTACAATTATTTAAATCCACCCTGATGTGTTATTTTTATCAAACCGATGAAATAAATTTAATTTAACAAAAAACAAAAATGATGATACAGAAAGCAAAATATACAAACAAATTTCTTGCTACTGTAATTTATTGGCTAAAATCTTGACAAGACCACTCATGGGCGCCTCCACGGTCAAATGCAAAAGCAAAGCCGGTAGCCAAACCAACGCAATATCCCCGTAATAACCAAGAATCTGAAAACAATTAAAAAAAATGACTCGTCTGCCAGCGAAATATTGAAAAAAGAAATACCACGTCGTAAAAGGTAAACTGCGATTCCGCCTTGTGGGCAGCGGCCAGCATCGTCATGTAACTGAGGTGCGTGAGGAAAACGCAGTAAGTGAGTCGACTAAGCGGAACCCACACTTTCAGGGACAAAAATTTGTTGATCGGACCTATGCATGGATCAAAATTAAAAGCTTTTTATAAAAAAAAAATATGATATTAAAATAACATGAACCTCCGAATCCCTTGTGACATGCGAATATGAGCCACGATAGACTGCAGGACCATAGAATCCTGTGCGTGGAAGAGTAAAAGGCAGCGGCCACACTCGAATCGGCCAAAACACCCACAAGGTCCAAAAGCACCGAAAAAACGACGCCGAAGAAGCAGCCTAAACTCGCGGCCCATCCGACAGCTATGATTTTATCGGAAATTCTTTTGAAAGGCCGCTCGATAAAAAAGCCAAGGAGGAGACCAATCAAATAGGGCTGGCTTCGCAGTGGTGTGTTCGTGTAGACCAAATCCCAGAACAGAACTATCTTATCACCTCTGAAATAAATCATGAGATCTAGTAAAATCGAAGCAAAAAAAATTAAAATTAATAAATTTTTCATTTTTTTATATACTTTGCAAGAAGGCTCATTGTCCACGGCAAATTATACACCATAGTGAGCGTAAAAATTGTAATGATTGTTGCGCTGAGAAGGACCAAAGTCCAGATTACGCCCTTCTTTTGCCACTTCAAAAGAGGGAAGAGCACCAGAGGTGAAAGCCACGCTAGCTGCATGTCAATCGACAAATACCAAGAGAAACTCAAACACTGAAATGTAGAAATTTTTTAAGTATAAAAAAGAAAATTATAATTATTATTAAAATTTAACCGGGTTCACGTCAACGTCAATGTAATTATTGAGGAAGATCAACGTCGACCACCAACGATCCCTGCAGAATTGCGCCTCGGTCTGCACGTGCGGAGCCCAAAGAGGCCCTCGGGCAACCAAGGTGGAGGCGCAGGCGTAGAAAAATACGACGGCCGCGAGTGCAGGCCAAAGTCTCAGGATTCGCAAAAGGTAAAACGGGACGAGCGGCAATCGCCGGAATTTGGCAATGGCGCGAGCAGACAGCATCGCTGACACCAACAGAAACGTGTCCACGCTCAAGTAGGCGTTCCATCCGATGGCCGTGAACCACGGAAGGGCTGCCTCTGGACCGGACGGTGCTGGCGGGGCGACCAAACTCTGCGTGTAAAACTTGTGGCCGACCATCACCCAGGCGATGCTGAGACACCGCACGCCGTGCACGCAGTGAATGGAGGTGCGTGGAGGTTGGCGGAAAAGTTCTATCAGGTTGTGCCGAGCAGACAACCAGGGTACTAAAAAAATTTATACAAATTAAGCATATTATTACATATTAGATAATTTCAGAGTAAAAATTTAACTTCAATTTATTTTAAAGTTTGAAAAAAAATATCAATTTTAAATATAGTCAAATTTTCAGTGATTTTCAGCTCGAATTTATAATTTGAAATTTATTAATTTAAAAAAAACCCTTGAAATGTGTATGATTTTTTTTTTAATTTTCAATTCCTATTAAATTAAATTATTTATTGTATATGGAAAGAAAGAAATACTTTTTTCGGTGAAAGATGCAAGAAAAGTGGCAGAAATCAAGGCGACTGAAACTGCAACAAAAGCAATCGCCTTTCCATCAAATTGATCCTCGATATAACAAAAGGACTGCTTCAGTTGACCCCCGTATCGGTCCAACACCCCCTGCAAATTAAAAGCGGCCACCTCAACGGCCCCGGCCGCATCGCAAGAGCTAGGTACGCAGGCGGCCACTTGTACAGTTGCCGCCGGCAGAGTTTCTTTTCTTCGGAGGATCACGCGTTGATAACGTGGAATCGCGTTCATTTGATATCCGACGAGGCAGTAGTTTGGTGCGCTAGGGGCGGACAGGCACTGTTCGAAGTGTCCCAATCTCGGGCCAGGCGCGTACATCAGACCGTCGGGAAACACGATGGAAGCGTCCAGCACTTGAAAAATAAAAAAAATATTTAGTAATGATAAAAAAAATAAAATTGTTAAGCCAAATTTTATTAGTATAGATCGAGTATAGACAAAACATTTACACCCAACCCAATGTACAAGTGATCGGCACTATAATTTTTAAATTTTTAAACAATGCCAGTGAAAATTAAATGTTTGATTTTTAGATCAAATTTTGAAAATCTCAAAACTGGTACAGGCCTAAAAACCTTTTCAACCCTGACCTTGTAAAAGTTAATAAAAAATGGAATAATAAAATTAGTTAAAAATCATACAATCTGAAATTAAGTTAACATGTTTGGCAATAAGAAATTTCACTTGCTCTGAATTGCCCACGCTTCGCCGTTGGCCACGGCCGCCTTGTAGGCTTGGACATCCTGCGGACAGTCGGCGGACACGACATTCCCTGCCGCCAACAGCACCAAGAGAAAAACAGCCATAACTGACAGTTTCGTGTGAACAAACTGAACCCTAAAGTACAAACAACCGATCAATCAAATTCAAAACAGATAAGGACATGTCCTGCAAATCGGTATATTTCTCTTATGAGACACTGTTTTAATTACGTAAAAATTTCTTCTGATAACACAATTAATACCAATATGATTCCACTCTATATAATAAAAGCAATTTAATAATATTTTTGTGGTAGAATTTCACGACCGAGGGTTGATTCATGGTGATTTGAATTAAAAATCAGCTTTTCCTCGATGGGTTTTGTGAGTTGTTCATTGTTTAAGAAAAAATCATTATACTTCTCCATATGTCTTATCTCGACCACCGCCTAGAAAGCTCATGAATTATGGCTGCAGCCCGCAGCCAAAACAGAGCAGGATATTAATTTTTTCTTAAACAATAAACAACTCACAAACCAATCGAAGAAATGCCGATTTTAAATTCAAATCACTAAAAAAAATATTGTTTTTCGTCATAGGGTTTATTACAAAAGCTTTACACACTATATGAAACTAAAAAATTAAATTTAAATTTGGAAATAATTTTTTGATTGCATTTGGGGTGGAGAAACTGGGAAGGACAATTTGCTGTCACATTAATTTTATTTAAACCTGCGTTTAGATGAAAATTTTCCATTTTATTCTTTTTTCACATATTTCTTAAATATTAAAAACTAAAACATTTCATGATTATTTTTTTTATTGGCAACAGAAAGATAAAAATTATTCACACAGATCCACTATGATCACTGTCGTCATCTTCCGAAAATTGGCCGCTGTCGTCGTGGAACTCGAGCGAGTGAACACTGAGGGGGTACGGCGCCCTGTTTGTGGCGCCAGGTCCAGGGACGGGCGTCCTCACGAGTCTAAACCTGGGCATGGCGTTGGGGTTGCTCGTCCTGAGCAGGGAGAGCACTCGCCGGGCCGCCTCCCGCCACCACCGTCTCGCGTCCTGCCGCCGATTGAAGAGGAACCTGGCGTGCAGGTCGGGCGGACGTTCGGCTGCTTTGGCTCTTCGAGGACAGTCGGCCGAGTGGTCGGGGCTGCAGCTGCGCGAGTTGCGCAGCATGGACGCGATGGTCGGCTGCGACACACGTTCACCGCACTCGAGCTCCTTCTGCTTGTTCTTGTTGCGCATCATGATGTCGCGCAAAACAGTCTCGCTCTTTTTCTTCTGCGCCTTGCGTTGCAAATACGGAGACTTTTTGCTGCGCCCGCCAAAGAGGCCGCGCGACTCTGCTATTTGGATCATATATTGCGCATCCAGACGAGTAATTTCCTGTAATTTTAACGTGAAAATTAATATAATTTAAAAATGAAAGGTTCAAAGTTCAAAGGAAAAATTACACATCAAATGATTATTCTAATTTAATTCACAATATCCCTAGAAGGTGAGGAAAAGTTGTTTTAGATCGGTGATCTTGTTGTTTCAGCACACATATTATTTATGAGATAAAATTTTTTTATTTTTCATTTAAGAATAACTGCAATTCTGTTAAAATAAATACAAGATTTTTACATGTATTTTTAATTTAAAAATACAAGAATATATAGATTTTTTATGTATTAAATTCAATTTTAAATTTCTTGAAATTTTTATGAAGCACTGCGTTTTGATCTCATAGTTGTTATGTACAGTTTATTCATTCAATATAAATTTTTATCAAAAAACTTTACTTTTTACGAAGACTGACAAGGACTGCTGTTTTAATGAATTCAGGCGTTGAATCAACTTTATCAAATTTCTGAGATTAAGCTTGTTATTATATTTGGTGAAAAATAAATCAGGCTTATTGCAACACCTATTGAAGCAGAATTAATTAATTAGTGTTAAAAGAAAAACTAAATAATTGATATGAAAAATCTAAAAATCAAAATTTACATTAAAACTAGATGAGATATACATGTTTTTTATATGAGAGCTTTAACTTTATTTTACATCCTTATCATTTAAATACTTTTTAAAATTAATTTCTTCTAACCTGTCGCTTCAAGAGAGCTAAGAAGCAACCATCCTCTTGGAGTGAAGGACACATATCCGCTTCGTCCTCCTCGTTTTCAATCTCGTGCCTCTTCTTGGGCTGCAGAGGTGCAATTTCAAATAAATCTGTGGCAGGTACCTGAAAACATTCAATGTTATTTTAATATATTAAAATTAACAGTTTTAACCGTTATGGTTGAGTTTGATCTGGCAGTCATGAGTTCCGTTGTCATGGATCCCTCGTCAGGGTCCCTATCGAAGATGACACTCTCCTCACCGAAACTGTGGGCGCGCACAAGTGACGGCGCCGTGGCCACTTTTTCCCTGGCCGCCTCGTTGGCCGCTTCCATTTCGTCTATCAACAGTTGGCGCGTCTCTTGCGGCAGGATCGAGTGTGATTCAAAAACCACAACCTGCAGTTGTGGAGCCGAAAGGGCGAGTCGCAAAGTTGCCCTTTGCTCCTCCTCAAGCGTTTCTTGACGCTCCTTTGCTTGAAAACAAGTTTCTTCCGCAGCCACGGCCATCTCTTCGAGAAGGTGCAAATCTATTTTTTTTTTCAATCAGAAGCTTTAAAAAAATTTAACTATTCAAAATTACTTCCTCCACTGCTGCACGCCAAATCGACAGGGTCTTGTACTGCAGACAAAGAGTTTGGTGGGTTGGCCAGAAGAGCGACCGCGCCGTCCAAAATGTCACTGTCCGGCGACAGTTCGGAGAATTTTTCAGCGCGAACATACACGTTTGAAATACTGAGGCTGCGTAAATACTTTTCATACTCAGTTTTTCTGCAACAAGAAAAAAAAGATTATTCACTAAAAATCAGAAATTTTTTATTCGATAGAAATATATTTAAAAAAAAATTGTGGAGCTTTTAAGAAAAATTCTTTTTACTTGGCACCGGTTCCAAAAACAATGAGTGGCCTGTTCGCAGTACAGGAGGCGAGCAGTGTGGCCAAGTAGGCGGAAGTCCTAGGCGAGTGAGCGTGGCTCTGGATCACAGTTCCTGTCAAGGCAAAGTCGTCCAAGACGTAGCAAAAGGTCGCTGGTCCCACGCAGAACGCCCTTGCCTGTCAAAAGTAACTGTCGTGAAAAGTTTTTTTTTAAGAAAATGAAAGTGGACCTGCAAAACAAAAAGTCCCTCTTGCACCAGTTCTGATTGTGCGATGTTGATTCTCAGCGAGGGATGGTGGTGCAACAGACCCGGACACCGCTTGTCCTGACGGATGGTGGTCACTTTTTCGTCGGGTCCGTCAATCACAAAACCAGATTCTTCCAAAACCGACAGAGCATCGTCTCGTCTATAAAAGGTGAAATATTTCTCTGCTTATTCAGCTGGTTGCAAACATTTATTTCAATGAGATGAAATAAATTTCAAATTTTCTCATTGTTTAATCTTTTTTTAATTTTGACCTGATTTTGCAAGTGTTGATCCACAGGGTGGTGGGCACAAGGCACTCGTCGCGACATTCCTTGCGGTTCTGCAGGGTCTGGGGTAGTAACTGCTCGAGGGTAAGCGCGTGACTCTTGATGCGGAGACGCGCCAGGGCGGCTGCCAAGCGCACCCTGACACTCCACAGCGCCTCCTCCACCTCGGCCATCCGCGCTTTCTGCCAAAGGTCGCGCAACTCGGACGGACAGGGTGGCTCGCGGCAATGGAAGCGCCGTTGGTACAGCCGACACAGCAGCAGGTGCACCAGCATGCACTCATCACGCAGCTTAAAAAATAATCATTTTTATAAACTTTTGCATTAGAAAACTTTTACAAATTGAATCTTGATCATTTTTTTTCTGTAAGTGCCAATTGCAATGACAGAGCCTTTTATCGGCTATGCCGTGTCTTGGCCGCTTCCAACATGCAACGCTAAAGTGTCACTCTCTGACAAATCACACACCTGTTGATAACAGACAGAGATATTGGCGGCGAGCCCTAATCGAGCTGCTTGGAGGTCTCGTTAAACTTATCGTGCGGGCAATTAGAGTCTTTCAGTGATGCCGAGTGAGGTGGTCAAGTAATAATTAAATTAAAGTGAGCAATCGAGCAGCCATTTAGCGCTCTGCCAATATCGTGAGATTGATCGCGTTCAAGCCTCTCTGACCTCCATAACTCCTTTGCATGTGAAAGTCAGCGAGCAATATTTAAAAGCAATGCCGTGCGGAAACTTCTCTGGAGCCGTGCGTGACTAGTCGGCCCAGCTGTTTGTGCGGTGCGCGATTTTTTTTTATTATTTTTTGCATAACAATGAAAAGTACTGAAAATTCGGCTTGACTTTTCAAAACGATAAATTTTACAGGTCTCGAAAAATCAGGCGCAAAGTGTGCGAGCAAAATTATTAAAGTTACGTCTGCACTTGCCTGAGGGAAAATCGTAAAAAAGTTGGTGTCTTGTAGTGCCTGATTAAACACGCTGCGGTCTGCAAATTGAATTATACATTGAATGCGATGAGAATCGCCGCAGGTGCGCCGTGCGTTTTAGCACGCGGCGTTAATTGAATTATTATATAATTCAGTCTTCAGAGTCACTCACAGCGAAAGGCGTCGTAGGCGAGGGCGAAAACTTGGCGTTGCTCCTCCTCATGTCGGAAGGTCACGTCGACCCTTTCGTTGGCCAAGAGGCCCCCGGCTTTGACCAAAGTGCCGAAAGCTGTTTCCGAGTCGATTGCTGCAGGAATCGGTTCGGCCAGTTTAATCGTGCTGATTGATTTCTGTCGAGCGATGCCAACTGATCCATTTTCAATCCGAGTGTTCTCATCCTGCACAGTCTCTTCTCCGCAAAGACTGGAAATAAAATCGTAAAGAGTTTTTAAAAGTTTGTCACAGCTGCTTTGAAAATTCAATCAATTCTAATTTTATTTTTATTTTAACCCAAATCAATCAGGGAAACTCCTTTTGTGCTCCACGTGTGCCAGAAATCACTTGAAACTCATTCTCTGGCGTGCAACCTTCACCGAAATTAATGTTTTGTTTCCAACTTTTTCATCCAAAAACAACTGCCCCTGCCAAAATGAATCAACTCCTGCTTCCGCTGCGTTTTTCTACCTTAGAATGATTGGCAGGTATCTCCGGCTGAATGTGTTTGCCTGTCAGAAAACTTTTAAACTATTTTTGCACCTGCATAGTTTGCGTAGCAGCATAATAAGCGACGGTATGCTGGGTCGCGTGACTTGATTACGGGCGCCCTGCTAACCCATCTTTCAAGCTGTGTGGTGCTCAAAAACGCCTGGTAAGCATATTATTGCATACAAACTAGGGGCTGTGTGGCATACGCTAGTAACATAAGTAGCATGACATGTAAAGCTTGAAAAGACTTGTCACCACTTTCAAGACAAATTATCATTTTTAACTTTCTTTTCTAGCTGATTTTCTCAATTTTAAAATAGTTAATATATTCATTTTTCTTCTACCTTTCTGAATTAATCTGCGATTTTGTTAATTAAGATAATGGTTCTTTTTTTTCTGCACACTTTCAGCACACTAAATAAATACAATGCCTTTTAATAATAAAGTTGTACATCAATTGCGTTTGAATGTGTAAAAGTTTTAATAATTCTTTTTCTAATTTAAATTTTGCCTATTTTTTTGTTTGTTTATTAATTATTATAGAGATTGTTGCCTATACTACACCATTTAGTTTTAAGACTCAAGGTCCTTTATCTCGTCTTAAGACAAAGTAATAAAAAGCATTATAAATAAACATTAAAAATTTTCAAACACGCGAAACGATTCAGACCTTTTTGTTACTTTACAATTAGACAGACTTTTACAACAGCAGTGTTTCCTTTAGATTTTTCGATGTGTGGCACCTTCCACTTTTGCTGTTGCATGATGCTCGATGAAGGTGCAACCAATAAAGTGACTCGTGCATGAAAATTATTCCTACAATCGCCTGGCCTGCTGTTTGTTTGTTCGAATTTATTTATTTAACGCGCGCGAGTATCGTGTTCAGAGAAACGAACGACGAGTGCTTTATTGCGTTCAATAACTTTGGCCACTTTTTGCCCCGAATTTCCGCGAGAAATATATTTGCCGCCGAATGTGAGAACTGCTGTTCGCATGCCGTGGAATAATGCAAGTGATTTGTTTAAAGGAAAATTACGGGGCCTCGTTGCTTTCTGCTTTTCCTTTGCTTTTGCACAAATCGAAAGTCGTATAATGTGGAATGGCTGCACACATGGAAATGAAATATTGCCTGAGCAAGGAAACGAAACCGGTGGCATTTTCCATCAATTCTGCAAACGGTTCGCAGGCATGCACGAAAAAGAAGGCACGGTGCGAGATGCGAGAGCAGGCGGCTCTTTATTGATTTACTCGAAATTTTCATGCAAATCGAACTGATACACTTTTACGAGCATTTTATTCTATTACACGTTGAACAGTGAAATTGGCAGAAATTGCATGAAATGAATGATCTAGTTGCGGCATTCAAGCGCAAACATCGGTCGGTCTATCAATCACTATGCAGAATCGCAACAGCTGTTTTTTTTTTATTGCCCTGACCTGTGAAAAATGCATGCTGTGCATAGAGTGCATGAATGAAAAAGCGCACGAAACGCTCTCGCCTGAGGTGCATGAAAATGCATTATTCACTTGCAAAAATTAATAACACTGTACAGCGTTGTTCTGCAATATTTATTTCGCAATTCAAAAAATTTCCGAAATTTCCTTATTATAATTTAAAACTTTTACTGTGGAGATAATTATTAAATGAAAAATTAATATAAACAAAAAAAATTTGTATGTTGTTTTTTATATCAATCTTGTGTATTGATTATTACCGAATTGCCCCTATTTCATGTGTGCTCGCTCGACTTATGCATTTTTTATTACTGTATGCGCGTTGATGCATTGTATGGTTTGCCTTATTTTTGTGGGAAACACACTGCCAGCGGTGGCTATAGATAAAAAAATTGTTTTTCATATTATTTTGAAGCTTTACTACTGTTGCCTTAAAGATACTCTTTGGGATAAGCAGAAGGGAGAATTAACTTAAAATTAAGAAGAAGGAAAATAATTAAGTCTAAACAAATGACATTAATGCTGCAGGATGTTTTTCGTCATATAGATTAAAATCATGTTTATAAATTATCACGGGGAATTCTATGCCCAAATGCATCATCCATAAATTCAATATTGAAAATTATCTCGCAAAGTATAAATTTTTAAGATATTTAATTTTATTCATAAATTTCATTCTTTCCATTGAAAAAAAAGTATAAAATAACTTGATTCATGCTGTGTATTACATGTTAATTTAATTTTGATGACGTTCTCTTCTCTGGAGTGAAATTGAACTAAAACAGTAATGACGAATGAAAAATTTCGTAAAGATATCTCGAGATTTAAAGTTTAAACTAAAAAAAAAAAATATATAAATTGAATTTGTATATCCAAATAATCCTGCATTTGTTTATGCATGTTGTGGCTTTAATTTGCTTCTTATTTTTTCATCTCCATAATAGAATGCATTGTTTTTATTCAAAACAAAAGTAATATGAACAAAAAAATTAATGCACATCAGTCAGCATCATTGTATGTATACCATAGATATGAGATCTCATATTCTGCCCAATTGTGCTGTTTTTACAATAACAAAAATACCCTAAATTTCATCATCAAATAAAGTTTTAACAATTATCACCATATTCCAGAATTTGCCTAATATATGTGGAAAATTTAAAGAGGTTTAATTTATATTTTGTAAATGTTGTATTAAAAATTATTTACATTAAACCTCAATGTAAGCTTCAAAATTTAATTTTATGTTGTGCATTGTACACTAGAAAAATATCAACTATGATTTGACTTTAAACACTAATGAATTTTTTCTCAATCTTAAAAAAAGTTCCATTGAACTCACTTGCTGAGTCTGCTTCGTTGCCGTTCGAGTAAAAGGTAGTAGTTTTTGAGTCGCCACGTGCGGTCACTGGGCGCCTTGCGTTTGGCCGCTGTGTCTGGCGACGAGAATTCACTGCTGCTGGGCGCGCAGGGTGCGACACTGGTGCTCATGCCACCCCCGGCGGCGGGCGCACCCTTCAGCGGCCAACTGCCACTCGAGGTCGACTCAAGAAAGTGAGTGTGCGTTCCACGCGCATGTCAATCTCGTTTGCAAAACAACCCACGAGGGTACCAAGAAGCTCTGACGTCATCAACTGAGCAACCCCCAAAACGTCATACCTGTTGGCTTTGCAGCTGAATTGTGTCGTGGGTAAAAATAATTAATTGCAGCTTACGCGAGCGTCTCAATATCAAATTAAAATTTCTTTTTAATATTGAGGAACCTTGTTTCTCTATAACGTAATTGTTGTTTCTTTGCAGCATTTTTTGTTTTAATATTTAAATTGATTCTTTTAAATTTTGTACTTATTTTAAAAGTGTTTAAAAGCATAAAAATATTAATCATTAAAAAAATCCATTTTTTAGTATGTTTTAAAAAAGTCAATTTATTGATAAGTGAGCTGCCAATTAGTTTAGAGGAAGATATGTAAAGCATTAAAAAATTTAAATGTAATATTTTTGAACCAATACTTTTAATACTTGGTTGTTTCTTCAAATTTTTTGAAACCAATTAAGGTTCTTGGCACAAAATGTGTCCCCAGTTTGGATAAGTTATATCGCAAACCCAGTCACTGAAGCCTTCAGTGCCCGGAGAATAACGAATGCAGACATCTCTGGTGTCACTAGCGTATTTCGGTTGTCCCGGTGCCCATTGCGACACATCAAAAGGTATGCCGCTGGGTTCCCATATGTAGGCGTTCGAACCTTTTCGTTTGACCGCGCCAGTCCAAAAATCATAGAAAGTCCAACCTAAGGGATGGTCAAACGAATGAATAAGAAATCTCCGTTAAATTTTTATGTAATACCAATGTTAGTGAAATACGCGTCAAGAACCACTTTTTTTGCTGGGTCTTCGAAAGTGACCGGAATCATTCCAACGCGCTGACAATATGTTCGTGCAGTGTAGATTTGCTCACTGTATCTATCAGCAAAGTAATATTTTCCGTCAATCAGGTGCCAAGTGCCAGGATCTGATTTTTAATTTTGTCATTAAGTTTATTGTAATAATTTTCTAATTTGATCTCTTACCCCAGTCATTGTTATTGTCAGCAGGAACTATCTCCTCCTATATTTATTTTTTGATTTTAAATAAATATAAAAAGTGGAAGTAAGAACAACTCACATTTCCTGCATGCACGACACCAAGGCAAAGGAGGAATAATCCACAAGTTTGAACTTTCATTTTCCTTCAACAGATTTTTCGAGTCTCCGAAACGTTTGACGATTCTTTAAAATCCTATTTATACGGTTGTTGCAACTTCAGGAGATAAGCTATCAAATCTGGGTTGATTGTGGGGAATTTTCTCATATATTATTATGACACTCTTTCACTATCTTCGATCTTATTAATTATAAAAAAAAAATGATTTAATGAGATGCGATAAACAGAGCCGTTGACTGTTGTCCCTCAAAATGTTTATTATTTTTTTAATTTTGCATGATTGTCTTTAAAAAGCTTGTAATTCAAACAAATTTATCTGTTTTACCTATCTTTAGCAGTGAAAACAGTTAATTAAGTAAATATTTATTACATCAAAGAGACTCTCTTCAGTAAGAAAAAAATGCCTTATGTTTACCAAAGGTTTCTTGTTTTATTAAATAACTGATTTCTTCATGAAATAAAAACAATTTCAACAAAAGCCGCGTGATTTTGTGCCGCCTCAAAATTTGTATTATGTTAATTTCTTTTTAAATTTTCATTTTAGTTCAAACAGTTATCTCTTAATTTCGTGGAAATTATTATATTACATAAGTGCCGAAAGTTTGCAACAAAAGCAATTTCCACTCTCTCACATTGGAAGCACATATGAGAGCCAAATTTACTGCAATTTGCTCGAGCACGCAATTCAAATATAAAGTTGCCAGTCGATGCAGTCGCAGGTAAATAACGACCGAAAGGTAACAACATTTGCGCACACCAAGCCTTGCCAAAAATAGTCTCGTCCCAACACACATCATTGACCGAGAGAACAGAAAATAAAACTTGAATTTAAACTCGCGTCATCAGTCATTTTGTCAGCGCGAAATTTTTTATTCAAAAGAACGTGTTAATGACACGTGTCCTCTATAGAAAGGCTCATCAGGAGAAATATATATTAAATCCAAACTTGCGCCGCACCCTCTCCATTGTACACTTTAGATTGCAAACTATCGATTTCGGCTGAATAGAAACGAGGAAAGAAGAAGATTAATTATGGCGCGCTTACCTGCTTGCGGGCCGCGGCACTTCTCCCATTTTCCGATCGTTTGATTTGGGTCGCGGGCAACTTCTTTTATTACAATTTTATGGTATATTTTAGAGAATTTATTGATGGCGTTGCTGGAGTTGCAGGCCTCTCGACCGGTGCCAATTGTGCTCTGCGCTGATTATGGTGTTATTAGCAGGCGGAGAAAGCTCCGAGAGTGCAATCACGCCATGCAATATAACTAACTAGCCAGCCCTGCAGCATTAAATACATAAAACAACACCCCTGCTTCTCCACCCACCCCCGGTGTATATGATATACACTTGGCACGAATTCGCTCTCGCCACGCTGCATTAATTGCCACCTCTCGACCAAGTGCAAAATGGATCGAAACTTTTCTTTATATACCTTTTGATTATGTTTTCTTGGAGAAAAAAAAGAGGAAAGCAGAACACGCATGATGGAAGGGTGTCGATGGCACGAAAATTAGTCTTATATGGTTTCTTGACGCAATTTGTTCGATTCTATTTCCTGTTGCCTGATTGAAGTTCTGGATTTGTGCGTGCTGAAGAATTTCCTAGCACATTATGACTCTGCTAACGATTGCGGATAAAATTCGAGCTCTTTTATAGTAAGTTCAGAAAATGTATCAGCGCTCTATATAAATTAATATAATTTAATAGCATTCAGTCGGACTTGCATTTAATCACATGATAATATATTAATAAGCAGTTTATATAGGCATAAAAACGCCCATGCGATGTCAAAATATAATAAAAAACCATTTTGCTTCCAAAATTAAGATAACTTAATGTTACGAATTATTTGAGAAAATAGATCTGCTTAATAATTACAGACAAAACTGTAAAAGTTAAAAATATTATGTCATTTTTAAGTTAACGTAGGTATTTCCGGTAGTTAAAAAATAATAATAATTATCAAAATTTTTTGATCGCCTTTAATGATGAGATCATCAATAAAGCTTAATTTGTATTTTTTACTAAAATCTGACTTAAAATCCAAATTCTTTTCCATGTTCCAATTTTGTTATTAATACACACTTGCCAAGATTCAAATATGCAAATGATCAAGTATTTTAAACAGGTATTTAAATCACAGTTTTTAATCGCAATAGAGGGGCCATATAAATATAAGCATAATTTTAATGCTTCTGATTAAATGCTTCTCTTTTTTAACTTACAATTAGATCCGCTCAAATAAGTCTTTTCTAAATTTGAAACTAGCAACAAATGAAAGAGAATAAATTGGTACAAATACAAAAGAACTGCTATATTGTTAAAATTCAAATAGAGAGCATTAAATTTTAAACATAATCTATTGGTTAAAAAAAACTTAATTATTATTTTGCTTTTATAATAAATTTAATGCTAGTCGTTCACGGCAAATTAATACGGTATTGAAAATTTTAAATTTTTATTTATTTTTATAAATTTTTAAATTAAACATAAATAAAGGCTGTAAAATCAATTGTATTTGATTAGATTGATTCTGAAAATAAGTGTTGAGTGTGCACATGCGGTATAACGTCAATGTGTCAGCGTCTAATTTTCCTATTAAAAAAAAAGCTTTTAAAATTAATCAAAAGTAGCGTATTCTTGTTTCTCATTTCCTTGAAAACGATTATGCAGATTGAAAGTTATAAGTTTTAATTATTCTTTGCATTGTTTTACCATGCAGACCCTTTTCCTCTGTATAATTATAAAAAAGTAATCATAAGTTGACCTTAAAACCTATAAGTGTAAACCAAACTTGTATTTTCATAATTTTACTCGGTTTTTAGCAAACGGAAAGCTGCAGCGTTATTGCAAAAGAGAGTTATTATTCAATTATAGTGAGTACCACTGGAGTCAAATTTCCGCTCGCGCCACAGCCTTTCAAAGTGGCTCGTGCGCAGGATTCAAGCTCGGCGATTGGCTGGTTCGGGCCGAAGGGCGTCGGAAATTAAACATGGCCGCCTAATAGAAAGTCGGGCCATTTTGTGGTGACACCGCATTATAAAAGGAGCAGCCGACGAGTGAACATCAGCTGGCCGCGATTCGACGGCGAACGGCTCAAAAAGTCTGTAGCAGAGCGAGAAACGAGCATGGCTATCTGTCAAACGAGTGTGGTGAGTGCCGAGCGGGAAAAAATGAGGCCGAACGGCCGAAAATCGGGTCGGCGGCGGCCGGTCGGCCGCCCACCGCATGCCCGCGCCCCAGCGCCACAAACCGCACTTTTCCTCCTCCATTGCTACAAAAATTGCATTAAATAAAATTTGCTAAAACTTCTTCTATCGTCGGCCTCCAGTTTAAATGCCGATAATTATTTTATTCTCATATACATACAGATTCAGACGAAAGCCGTTTTCGTTCTCTGTTGATTATTGAAAAGTGTTGACAAATCCTTCGTCACCTTGGCTTATCAATAATTTTGTATTCTTTCTGTGTCGCCTCAACGAAGTAAAGAGCTAAGCGGATAAGGCTAGAAGGAAGGCAGCGAGAAATTTATTTATTATTTAGTTTTAGACTATTTTTTCTGAAAATTTAAATTAAATAATGTCCTTATTATATTTTTTAACTTAGTTCATTTCAAATAATTGTCATTGGAAAATTTGGCCTTTCGTTTAGCATGAAAATTAAATTTTATGAATGAAAAAAAAAAAGAATTATTTTGATGTTATTGATAGAAATGGATTTGACTGGAACTCTGTAGAAACTTATTTATTATACAGTGCTTGGCAAAAATTTTTGAAGAAATTTTCCGTAATGTTCGGACGTGTCAACTTTCTGCGACAATTTCACTACTGCGTGCTGACAATTTCAATTTTTTCATCACCGCCAGAGTTTTATTTAAAAGAAGGCTAAAAGCATGAAAGCTCTTATTTTCAAAATCACTTATAAATATTTGTGTAATCACAAAATGTGCAAATAACCACGAAAGGTTTCTATCCTTATTATATTCTCATAAAACTTTCTTAATTGATTTTTACAAGTAAAAATGCAAAAATTATGATATTATTGTTATTAAATTTACAAAGTTTCAATGGAATTGTCCGTTTCGATATAGGCGGTTCTCCGTCTGCACTCGGGTGCAAAACCGCGGTGTGGTATTTTTTGCTGGTACCACCTGTTGCAGGTGTGACCCTTTTTATCCCGCATAATATTCTTGATTCTAAGCTGCAGCCTGTTCGCTTTTTACAGAAACGGCTGTACCAGAGTGTCATCGACGATGTGATTCTGAACATCAAGGACACCTTCCTTGATGAGGGTGTTGACGAACAGGTGAATAAATATTAAAATCGATTGTGAAATAAATTATATTTAAATTTAACATTTTGTGTTGTACTGCAGAACAATTTTGCTCAAGCTTTCAATTCAATTCAATTTTTTACAAACAGTTTAATTGCTAAAAAATAATTTGCATAAATATTATATTTTTAATAAAGTACTATTTTTTTTTAATTTTAAGGTGTTGACTGAGCTGAAGCAAATGTGGGAGACAAAGTTGTCAAGTTTGCGGGCGCTGGAGCCGCTGCCGGAGCCTCCTGAGCCGCAGCCACCCACCCTCAGCACCCACATGCGTTCAACTAACCAGACAATGAATGCTGTCAAGACGACCAATGCAATTCCGCACCAGACAGTCACTAAAAGTAAGTTTCTTCTCGTTATTTAAAATATCCTTATCCTGTCTCTGATAGGAGAAAAAAATTATCAACCTTTTCTTTACACTATTTTTTGAAATTTTTTCAGCTGCGGCTCCTGCCTTGGTTGCTGTCACTTCGAACTCAACTCCAACGACTGCCACCACTTCGGCAGCCCTGCCCACAGCTGGGGTCACCACCATCCCTGACCTGGGTCGAATGGTACCCATTCAGATCACTCTGCCTCCTCAACCCGGCAGCGCTGAGACCCAGCCCCGGGTGCTCAACATTCAAGTTCCTGCAGCTGCTCTTCAAGGTTAGTTTAAAAAAGTTAGGGTGTTTTTTTGTAACAAAAATTTAAACCAATATTTTGTAGGAAACCAGTTGCACCAAATCTTGTCTGGTCCGGTGATGACTGCCACCCTGGCCCTTCCTCCTGTTGTTGCTTCCTCCCTCCTGCAGACCCACATTTTGGCTGCGCTGCAAGGTCAGGCTCAGGCCAACACACTTGGTAACTTTTGTTGTTGTTTTCACGAGCATGGCATCATTATGCTTTGTAAATTTCAGTGAATCGAACTGTGACAGCTCAAGCTATTCCAGTCACGCAGGCTGCAACGACCGTGGCTGCTGCTTCATCAGTGGTAATTTTATCTATTTTTGCTCGAAGTTTTCTATTTAATTTTAATTTCTACCAGGCGGCTCAACAAGCCCAACAACGAGTGTTCCAAGTGGACGGTCTGGGTGATTCTTCAGACGATGACATTGATGATGACGACGACGGTGATGATGACGACGATGACGCTGATTCAACCAAAGATGACTCTGCTGGTGAAGAGTCTGGAGGAAACGAAGAGGTGAATTAGGCTTCAGCTTTAAAGGATCCTTTTATTAAAAAAAAAAAAATTATAATATTTTCCCAGGAGCCTTTGAATTCTGGTGATGATGTCAGTGATGAGGACGTAGCTGAGCAGTTTGATACTGACAATGTGGTTGTGTGCCAATATGATAAGGTGCTTTTTCAAATATTAATAATATATTGCTGTCGTTTTTATAACTGCAATTTTTTTATCTTCTAGGTTACCCGTAGTCGTAATAGGTGGAAATTCTACTTGAAGGATGGCATCATGAATCTTAATGGAAGAGATTTTGTGTTCCAAAAAGCCAATGGGGATGCGGAATGGTAACTTGGCCAGTAGATAAGATGGTGTCAGAATATTTTTCCTTGGAAATGTAAAATATTTACATGCGCATAAATTTATTCTAAATAATTGTTATCCAAAGATTTGCTGATACAATTTAAACCGTTCGTAAATGTTTTGGTTGTGCTGCTCTGCTTCAGAAAACAACGACACCACCCTGTCAAAAGTGCTTTTTAGTTATTATGTACACAGGGTAATTTTTCAAACCACCTTAATTTTTACTGATAGTTGTAATGTTAGTTCATTTCAGTTTTTAGTTCCGATGGGGGTAGTTAACTTAAGGGGAAGAATGTCAAAATGCTGCGAGTATAAATTCACTATAAAAATTAGATCTTATAACATACATATGAAATCATTGATTTCATAATACAATGTCCAGTATTCAAATTATGACAATTCGTTTTTATGCTTTAATGGTGAACTCTCGTCTTCGTTGTAAAAATTTTCAAACCGTTTCAATAAAATATTTTTGTTCCTTGGGGACAATAAATATTAGCTTATTTATTTTGGGTGAAACCTAAAAATCATATACAAATATTAACACTAATAATATTCTTTTTTTAAAATACCATTGAATTTCCAGCCAGCATAATTTTGAACTTAAATATGATAAATATCTCCCAACCCCCCTCGCGACAAGCAGTGAGGAGTGAGGAGGCGTGGCTATATTTTGCTGTTGTGGCTGCAGGTCATGGGATTAAATTTGTGTTGTATGAAGTGTCGGAACCAAACGTTTTGCAAAAGGTGTCCACAACTCAAATTTCCCATTTTCCTGTGATAAAATTTCTTCTCTGAGATGATTCACAGCCTCTTCATCATAAATCCCTCAGGGTAAGTCCAACTTTTATGATAAATGCTTTTGTTTAAAATTAGATTTTGCAGATTTTCATTGACACACTTGATTTCTTGAATTGAAATTTAATAAAAAATTTAATTTTCAGGGATGTTTTTATGGAGAAGCACTGGAAGAGTGTGATCTCGCGGTCAGTTTGCGATTATTTCTTTGATCACCAGAGGAAAGCTGCGTCTCCCGAAGACATTCCCCCTGTCATCGCCACCCCGCACCACTATCTCATCAGCGTTTACAGATGTTCCATGTTCTTTGTGGCAGTATGCACCACAGAAGGTATGTATATTACCTTAAACAATTTAAGAGTAAATTAAAAATTAAAATCTTGACATTTTAGTTGCCCCCTTATTTGTGGTCGAGTTTCTGCACAGAGTCGTGGACACTTTTGAAGACTATTTTAGTGAATGCACGGAGTCGATAATCAAGGAACACTATGTTGTGGTGTATGAGGTAGTTTTCTTTTAAAAATATTTTAAAACAAATTTTAATTTTATCTAATTTTAGCTTTTAGATGAGATGCTCGATAATGGTTTTCCTTTAGCAACTGAATCTAACATTCTGAAAGAACTTATCAAACCGCCAAACATTTTACGAACCATTGCCAACACAGTCACTGGCAAATCCAAGTAAATTGATCTATCAAAGCCTTAATCAACAGTAATAAATCAAGCTATTTCAGTGTCAGCTCTACCCTTCCCAGTGGACAGTTGTCGAATATTCCGTGGCGCAGAACAGGCGTCAAGTACACAAATAACGAAGCTTACTTTGACATGGTCGAGGAAGTGGACGCAATCATCGACAAGTCTGGATCCACTGTTTGTGCAGAGATCCAGGGATATGTGAGAATATGCAAAATTGTCCTTTATTCTTAAATCTAATTGATTATTTTAGATTGACTGTTGTATTAAATTGAGTGGAATGCCTGACTTAAGTCTGTCGTTTGTGAACCCCAGACTATTTGACGATGTTAGTTTCCACCCTTGCGTCAGGTTTAAAAGATGGGAGGTGAATATTTCAATGTAGCACTTCTATAATATTTGATTAAATGAACCATAATTTCATTTCAGTCTGAACGAGTGCTCTCTTTCATTCCTCCGGATGGGAATTTCCGACTTATGAGCTACCACATCGGCTCTCAGAGCATCGTTGCCATTCCAGTCTATGTCAGACATTCCTTAAGCTTGCGTGAATCCGGTAGCGGTGGACGACTTGACATCACCCTGGGTCCAAAGCAAACGCTGGGTCGAACGGTAACTTTTCCATCCTTGAGTTGTCATAGATAAAATAAGAAGTTCGAACTATCTAGGTTGAAAATGTGGTACTTGAAATTCCCATGCCGAAAAGCGTCCTCAACTGTGGCTTGGTCACCAACCAGGGGAAGTACACCTTTGACCCAACCACCAAACTTCTGGTGTGGGAAGTTGGACGAATCGATCCGACAAAACTTCCAAACATCAGAGGAACAGTAAGAAATTTCACATTGGGATTTAATCAATTTTATATTTATCAAATTGTGTTGATAGATTACTTTGCAAAGCGGTTCTCCCCCTGTGGAGGCAAATCCCTCCATCAATGTAATACCATTTATTATAATTTTATGTTGATTGTTTTGTTCATTAAAATTTATTATCTCAGGTGAAATTCACCATAAATCAGCTAGCTGTATCGGGCCTCAAAGTGAACCGTCTGGACATGTATGGAGAGAAGTACAAGCCATTCAAAGGTGTCAAGTACATAACAAAGGCTGGTAAATTCCAATTACGGATGTAAAGTTTTTGCAATTACACATTACGATCTGACTATATATATTTTATTTTAATTTTTTATGGTTTAATTTTCTCACTTGGAGGAGATTCTAAATAAATAATAACAAAATATAATTATTTAAGTTACTTTTTTATTATTATGTTATGAGCAAATTAACACTTTTCGATTTTTCCCTTGACTTCATCATCTATCCATTTCAAGTAAGGCAAGTTTCCTCCTTGGATCTGCAAATATAATTATTTGATTTTTTTAATAAAATCACACCTTAATGGCTATTTACTGATAGAATCTTAGTACTCTTGAAATAAATTCAGATTAAATTAATTGAAATTAGCAATGGACAAGGTCTATTATTATCAAGCTTAATATAATTATAATGAAAGCCAAGTAAAAGTAATACAATTATTAGCAATAATTTTCTTACTGGTAAAGTGATGACTTCGCACACCTTGTATGGATGGTTTTCCCTAAAAAAATATAAATTCAAACTTAAAATTTATCAAAACAAAATTCAATTGAAAATATGATCGTACCTTACAAACTTAGTCAGTTCGTCTACAACGCTGGTCCTTGTTTTGATCATCTGTTTTAGATTTAGAGAATGACTACGGTTAACGATCAAAGAGATATAATGTGGGAAACTTGTTTACCATTAGAACTTCCGAGTCCTCTTCAATTTTATTTTCCCATGAGTAACTAAAAAAATAATAAAAATATGTATTTTATATAGTAATTTTGAGACAAAAATAAGTATTTATCATGTAAACATATAATAATTGGCATTGAAGTTTACAAATTAAATTTATTAAATTAATTGAAAACTGACATAGAAGTTATTTGAGGGATGACGTTAACACAAGCAGCCAGTTTGTTCTCAACAAGTCCTCTTGCAATTTTCTTGGCTGTAGTGTCGTTGGGTGCTGTGACATAGGCCACGCTGAATGTTCCAGGCTCATGTTTGAACTCCATGACACTACTTGCAGTCGAAGCTGTGCAAGTTGAAGAAGCGGAGGGTACAATCTTCAAAAGTGTTGTTGTCAAAGCAGTTGATAGGAAACAGAGCCTGGAACAAAGTAGAGGACTCCGCATGAAGACCGTCGATAATATCCCTGGAAAAAAATGGTTATATTTCAACTACTTATATTTTTACATTCCATGAAACTTGTGTGTTCATTATTTCATTATGTTAAATAACTTGCTAATTTTAAAAAGATTCAGAAGAGATGATCGAATTAATGCTGTTCGTGTTCGTAGTAGCAAGCTGCGGCTGTTTTGACGTATTTTTATGTTGTTTGATACCAAATGCACCAATGGTAAAGCAGTTCCCCTTATAGTTCATACTTTGGCGGGAAGAGCAAGTAGCGTCTCCTTTAATTTTGAAATTGGGCAAAAAAAGGGAACTCGCAAGTTATTATTAATAAAAATTCGTTGGTAAAAAAATTAGAACTTTCAATTGTTTAATACTCTTTTGGTAAGATTTTTATTATTACACATTCATAAAATATAAAAATTCAATGAGATTCTATCAAAGCGTTACAGTCAGTAGATAAGGAACTGCTCGGTTTTAGTATACGCAACAGCAAACTCCCGTCCTGAAGAGCTGGTTGGTGTGCTGAAGGCAAACTCGTCCATGTTCAAAGTTTTGTGGCTCAAGAAGTTTTCCCTTAACAAATGTTTTATTTTAAAACTACAATAACTTTAAAAGTTTTGAAATACATACCTCATTGCATCAACCAATTTTGTCGCCACTTGGGTACTTTGCAATGATTGGACAGTCCAAAGCCTAGCCACTCCACAAAGAACTGGAAATATCTCTTCTGAGCAGAGAGTCTCAGAGCCATCTAACATCCGAGATGATTGCTCGATCTCCTCTGCCAGCAAGAATCCGACAATTTGCTTTTTCTCTACATACAAGAAGACCTAGACCATAAAATATATTAATCATCCTACAATTTTATTATTTATAATAAATTTTACCATGCAGTTTTTGTAGTCAGTCAAGTCTTGGCTTCCAGCATATCCCAAATCAAGATCGATGTTGGGCAGCAACTCCTCAATCCTCCTCCACCACAACGGAGGGTCACTTTTCACAATCTTAATTACTCTGCTACCATCTGGGTAAGAGGCAATGACCCGCTCATTTTTCCAGCCCTAAATAAACCATACCATAAAAAAAACTAAGTAAAATTCACAACAGAAAATTATACCTTGTGTTTGATTATCACAGAATTCCTATTATGGTACTCAAGATGGTGTTCTACGTCTTTGCGATCATCAGGGTCATACACGCAGCCGCACTTTTGACACTCCACTTGCCCGTACTGTTTCTGGCCAGCGTCCAAAATCATCTGCTCTTTCTCACCAGAGTCTTTGATAGGCAGTTGTATTGAAGGCCTATTTAAATTCTGCGGCTTAGAGCTGCAACTGAGCAAAAATAAATTAATTTCCTGGCATATGAAGAGCTTAAATAATTTTTGTACTTGAGGTTTTTGTTTGTGGCGCCTTTGATGAACACTGGGAACAATTGCCTCTCCTCTTTGGGAGTTTCCTCTTCAGCGAACAAGTCCTCCTCCTCTTGAGAAGTCTCCATCCGTTTTATGGCCTCCTCGAATCCCCTCAACATTGCTTCGGTAATTGATGAATTGTGGTCAACCGATTCACTTTCCTCCTCGCAACCCAGTAGTTTGTCAATCATTCGATCCATTTCATTTTCGTCCAGGTTTTTGTTGACTAGGGGTTGCTGACCAGCAGCAGGTTCCTCCACCAAAGCAATGAGGGCGTTGATTTTTTGCACTTGTTTGTCTTGATTGGGAGCCACAATTTCCACCGACTGCTCGTCCAAAGTGTCCAACAGAGAATTCACTTGAGATTGAATTTGCACAACTTCTTTGTCTGCAGTTGTGCTGATTGAGAATGCCTTCTTCTTGGCCAATATCTCCTTCAAACTTTTTAAAAAATGTATAGTTTGCAGGTTTACTTAAAATAAAACGTTTTCAATACCTATCACTTATTTCAACATTGGAAGACGCCACTTTTGGCCTTTTTATGGCATGCCCTATGCTTGATTTGCTTCTTTTGCCTTTAGTTGTTTTACTGCTTGGATTAGATTTCTTGCTCTTTGCTGAGCTTTTGTTGATTGAGGAATTGGCCTGACTGAACAACATATTCAGATTTTTTACAACACTCGTGTCGTTGGTCGCCGTCCTCTCTTGTTCTGAAGTTGGGACAGGAGCTGTAATATTAAATAATAATGTAATATAATACAATTTGATTTTTTTCTTTAAAAAGTGAAGAAAATAAATTATATCTTTCAACCTCTAAGCAAAATCTCAAACTCAGGCAGCAACCTGAGAACGTCCGACTGGTTTTCCTCAGCTTGCGGCGCTTTTGTCGGAGTTTCAGGAATAACTTGAGAATTTGTATCCCTTAAAGGACTGTGAACTTCAGTCCAATCTTGAGTATTAGATACACCTTCCATAGCATAATTTCATAATTATTGACTGCAAAATGATCAAAAAAGTTAGTCTGAAAAATCAAGCAAAACAAAAGTGGACAAAACTTTGGAGAAGTATGTGGCTTTCAAGAATTTATTGATAATTTTTAAGAAAGCTAATGAAGTGCGCTAGCAATATGTAATCATTAATAAGCACTTTAAATGAAAGAGCGCTTAAAAAACAAAATAAACTGCAGAAACTCTATTACTGTTGACCATTTATGATATTATGATAACTGTTTTTGTACATATATATGATACTGAGCTTCAATATTTAAGAGATCTTAACTCTGGAGAAACTAATGACAGAATTTTACCAATGAAATACAAACCCTTAGTCAAAATTTGGCGGAAAATCGCAGTTGTTTGAGCGCCTTAATTCGCAGCCTCTGTTCCCGCTGGTTCCCGCGAATGCTGCAACTTAAACAGCTGGAGAAAATCAACATTGCAGGCAAGGAGCGCTCTCTGATTGGTTAGTTTTGAAGCGAATTCACTAACCATGACGTCACTATTTGTATGTTTTGACAGGCATAGGCTCACACGATGGGCACGGAGCACAGACGAGAGCAAAAATGAATTTTAATTAACTTCAGTCGAAAAAAAAGTTTAAAATTGAAAGTCTGAAATTTATTCTTTTGCTGCTCAATTTTCACTGCCGAATTAATTGATTACAAAACCATTTTGCGAGGCAGGCATACGCAAAATATAAACATGACCGATGAGGAGAAAGGTTTGGAAACTTCCATCGACGTTTTGATCATTTCATCCGATGATAGCATTGTCGAAACGTAAGTTTCTTGGTTTAAATAATCTATTTGAACTCGGTTAATTATTATTATTCACTAGTGAAGAAGCTGAGAGTCCTCAAGATGAAAATTTTCGATGCTCCGATCATGCAGAACGTAGTCTGCAAAGAATGGAAAATTGCCTGCAAAACCAACAGCTCACAGATGTCGTCCTTTGCGTCGGTAAAATTTTAAACAAAGACTGTTTTAATTAAATATTAATGCACATAATATATAAACAAATAGGTGAACGGCGAATTTCTGCTCATCGGTTGGTGCTCAGTGCTTGCAGCGAATATTTTGCTGCAATGTTTTCCAGTGGACTAAGGGAGTCCTTCCAGACTGAAATCGAACTGCAAGACATCGACCCTGACTGTCTCCAAGAGTTGGTGCACTACTGCTATACAGGCTGCTTGGATCTCAAGGAGGAAACGGTTGAATTGATGCTTGCAACTTCCAGTCTCCTCCAAATTCCTCAAGTTTGCTTTTTGTCGGAATAAAATAAATTTATTTTACAAAATTCCCACACAGGTCACAGATGCCTGCAGCAAATTCCTGGAGAAACGACTGCACCCATCTAACTGCATCGGAATCGCTCTTTTTGCTGATACACAAAACTGCCCTTGTTTGCTGGAAAAGGCTCACAACTTTACCACCGAGCACTTCATGGAAGTCATCGGCAACCAAGAGTTTCTACAACTGGATGCCAACTCTTTTGCTAAACTGCTAGCTTCGTACGAACTGAATGTGCCAAATGAGGAGGATGTCGTCAACGTAATTCCATTAAAATAAATTTAAACTAAAGAAATTTTATAATTTGTTTGAAGGCATTGATCACTTGGGCCAAATTTGCACCTGAAACAAGGCAGGAAAATATTTCAAAATTACTGGAGAATGTCAAGCTCTCTTTGCTCTCACCCTCTGTAAGCATAAATTAATGTTATAATATTATAAAAAATACAACTTTAAAACATGTTTATAGTTTATTGTGGACCATATTGAGAGTGAACCACTCTTTTCTCACGACCCTAAGTGCAACGAACTGATCATGGAAGCTATGAAATATCACTTACTGCCTGAACGAAGGTCCATTTCCTCGGCTCGCTCAAGACCTAGAAAGTCGACTGTTGGCAAACTTTGTGCTGTTGGAGGCATCGATGCAAGCAAAGGTAATATTTTCAATCTTACACAAACCAATTTGATAATCAAAACAAATTAAAGGAGCAAATTCAATTGAGCTTTACGACCTTCGAGCCAACAAGTGGAGCCCTTTTGCCAACATGTCCGGTCAACGCCTGCAGTTTGGGGTGGCTCAATTGGGAGACAAGATTTTGGTTGTGGGAGGACGAGACGGTCTCAAGACCATGAGCATTGTGGAGAGCTTTGATTTTGTCACCAAAACTTGGAGTTCTCTGCCTAACATGGCTACTCCGAGGCATGGTCTTGGTAAAAATACTAAAATAAAATTAATAAAATATGTATATTAATTTGACTTATTTTAGGAGTTGGAGTTTTGGGTGGGCCTTTGTATGCTGTTGGGGGTCACGATGGTTGGAGCTACTTGAATTCCGTCGAGCGCTGGGACCCCCAAACCAAAGACTGGAACTATGTCGCCCCCATGACCTCCCAGAGGTCAACTGTTGGTGTGGCAGTCTTAGGAGACAGGTGAATAGACTCGAAATTTTCAAAATATTAATTTAAAAATATCCCTGTCAGACTTTATGCTGTTGGCGGCCGAGACGGGAGTGTTTGTCTGCAATCAGTGGAGTGTTACGACCCGTACACAAACAAGTGGATCCCATGTGCCCCCATGGCCAAGCAGAGGGGTGGTGCTGGGGTGGTCGCCATGAACGGCTGCCTCTACGTGTGCGGGGGCCATGCGGCCCCAGCTTCCTACCCGTCAGTTGCTCGACTCGAGTGTTGTGAAAGGTGATTTTGAAAGCAAGAAGCTCTGATAAAACTATTGAATTGTTTAATTTCAGATATGACCCCAAAACTGACAGCTGGTCTCCTGTGGCGCCCATGAGTGTCGGCAGAGATGGGGTTGGGGTTTGCGTGCTGGGCGACAAGTTGATGGCTGTCGGAGGCTACGATGGGACGCAGTACCTAGACCTGGTTGAGGCCTACGACCCACTCGCCAACACCTGGAGTCTGGTGAGTACCTAGCATGCTTTTTAAAATAATTTCAATTTATTTTGGAACTCAAACCGCTCAAGAAATAAGTTAACTAATGCGTCGAATGTTGGTTGGTTACCAGATGGCTCCCATGAATATGAAGAGGGCTAGCACATGCACAATTGTGATTTAGCGTGCGAAGAAAGCAACAGACTATAAATACGAAAACGTCACTTTTTAAACATTCCGATTTTACTAACTGCTTTTTTACGATGAATTATTAAGCGTAACTGGAATTTTCTGTGATTTTTAAGATACCACTTAAGTTTAAAAAGATCTCTTCTTGGTGCAGCTACTCTACTAAGTAATTGAATTAAAATTACAACTAGATGTATACATTAATGTATTAACAGTTTCAGCTATAAGTAGCAATCCATTTTGAAACGTCAATTTAGACCAACTGCCGAAACAAAAATGTACAAAATTGTCAGAATCTTATGATAACAATTTTAACTGTTGTAGTGTAGTTCAAATTTTCCAACTTTCCTTACTTGAAACTTAAATATTGCTCTGAAAAGTCACTTTAGACTGGAAGTTTTCAAGGAGCATCTTCTCATACATTTTTGTATTATCTAATTTTATTAGATCGCAGAAAAATAAATATGCATTATACGTGATATGTATTAATAATACTCGATAACATTTAAAGGCAATTCAGCCTCTTGTTAGTTGCAATTGTTTATTCAAATTTCTCCTGCGAATTTTTTAATTTTAAATATAAGAGATACGAAGAAGTTCTTTTTATTGCAAAAATTAATCAGATTTTTTTGCTATTATTTATTCATCCCTAACGTTAAAAATCGAATTTAATTTTTTACAACTCTAGCGAAAATTATTAATTTTCAATGGAAAGGTGAGACATACAATTTGCTAAAAATAATTAATTGCAAATGGTCAACAAATAATTTTTATTTTTAACGAAAAGAACCAAATCACAATTTGTCTAGAAAATGGTCAAAAATTCTTATACAATTATATACTAATAATTGCTGTGAATATTGATTTTCATATGCTTATAAAGTGTTGCCAAAATAATTGTAGAACTGCCCCAAATCTTGGGAGCAAATTTGTGCATTTTCCTCAACAAAAAATCCATTTCCAACTAATTCTAAATCAACTTTATCCGCAAACTGAACAAGTTCTTTGTGCAAATCGTAATATTTGGGATCCGAGCCGAGTACCAGTTTGAATTTCCACACTGTGTAAGGACTGAGGGGCACGTCCGAGTATTTCAGTTTTTCAAAGACGGAATTCTTAGTTATCATTTTGCCACTTTGGTCGCGCTCGTAGCTAAACTTGAAATCAAGTGGGTCTCCGCTGATGGCGTAGTATTTTGATCCGCAGCGGTAGTGGCTTTCGCCTCCATAACTCATTTCCACAGTGAAATGCAGTAAAATTTCTTGCACCCTCTTTGATACTTGTGGGTCAGCGGAGGTGAAATTAATCATCGCCGTGTTAAATTTAACCGCGTTTTTCACCCCGGGAGTTAAGACGGACGCAACAAAAGTAACTTTTTCACCTTTGAGAAGGCGCTTGATCTCGTTGGAGAATTTTGAACTGGGCCAAGTGTAAAAAGGTTTGCTTGTTCGGTACCCAGAGCTGAAATACATTGAAGAAATGCTTTTGTCCTTATCATTTAAAATGGTTCCGCTCATCGTAGCCAAATCGTCGTTCATATACGTAAGTGCTGCTTTCACAATTCGCACCGTCATTGAATAATCTTCAACTCTTGCAAGTTCTGATGATAAGGAACGGAAAATTCTTATCTTTTCTCCGCCATATGGAAATAGACTTTGCTGGTAGGCGATAAATATGTACACAAATTGCCGGAAAATTTCATGACTTTCAATAGAATTTGCAACTTTTTTATATAATTGGCAGAATTTATCGCAATTCTCACTCTGAATCTTTCCAAAAAACTCCTTGAGCTCAATGTGGCGATTGGCCTCATCTACCTTGTCATAGGTGTTAATCAATATTGTCATCAAATCTTCTAAATCGACCAAAATTTCTCGTAAATCTTCTGTCACGCCATTGAACTCGGCAGAAAACTTGCTTATTATTGAGACAAAAGTTCGGATATACTTCTTAATGTCCAAATTGTGTAACGCTCGTATATAATTATTAGGCTTGTCCTGGGGTAAACTCGTTGATTTTATATTTTCAAAAATTTCAAACAAACCGTCGAGCAATGGCTGCAACTCATACTCAATCTGTGTCTCATATTGACCGATTCTCTTCAAAGCCAACTTATTGTTTTCAATTGCCGTGTCCACCTCTTCAAGATCAATTTCGTCACTTAAATACTCTCGGATTTCATCAGCTATTCCCTTAAAATTTTTCATTCCAGTCGCTTCAAGCACTCGTTCACTTAATTCCTGAAGAGTTCCAATCTCCGACAACTTATTGCGTTTATTACCTTTTCTTTGTGCTCTTAAATTTTTTATTTTCATACCCAAAGAAGCGCTTATTGTTTTGAACAATGCGGGAACGGCTTCGATCAGTTTTTGCGCGTTTGTGCTGGCTTTGTTGTATTTTTTATGTGCTACTAATTGGTGCAATTGTACTCTTTCTTGCCTGCTATTTATTATACCTCCAAATTTATTATCTGCGTCAATCAACTCCGAAGCAGTATCATAAGCAGCATCTTTTGATGCCTGTTTTTTGTTTCGAAAATTTGAGATGATTTTAAGAGCAGATTTAATTGGCCCCTTTTCTACAGCACTTTTTATTACACTTGTTGTTAGTGCTGAAGGGGACAAGACATTAAATACACTAAATATGGCTTTTCCTGTATCTACAGCCACATTGATGACCCTTAATATAGCCTTTATTTTCAAAGCTGACTTTATTTTCTGCCGATATTCCTCTAATCCAAAAATATTTGAAGTGTAATTTTGCCGTAAATGATCAGAAATTTGCATCAGATTTTTCAAGCTGATCGCAGCTTTTTTATTCGCCTCTACTACCTTGTGATCAAAAGTTTCCTTGATCAAAAACGTTGCGTCAGTGATTTCCATCTGGGCTATTTGCTTTGCATTGTCAACGAGTTCCGTGTGCTGCAGGTTCCTGTTAACACCATTTATTTCCTCGATCTTCTTCAACGCCGCGTTGATCACTGAATTTAGGCGTATAATTTGCTTGTTTTTTGAAAACATGTGGAGATTTTGGAAAAAATTTATAAAACGGATGTCGATGAGCTTCAAGTTTAAACTGTTGCATTCAGTACAATTTTTCTCAAACGACTTAAACAAAGCGTGCATTTGAGTGAAAATAAAATGTAAATTATCTGAGCTTAATACGACGTTTGCAAAACTATGGTTTATTGTTTCGAGGAAGTAGATGAAGTCAATTTCTTGCATTGTGTCCAATATTGACGACGAAGAAAATGTCATGCGAATTAGTTCTTTTAAGTTCGAGTCCATGGAGCCGTCGCTCAAATCAATTGAAGTCTCAACTAACTTCAATGCAAGTTGGTATAAATTTAGAGCGGTACTTTCTGGAACGATGAAAAGTTCACCTGTTCTTCCATTTCTACCGTTATAAACTTTGCGCAATTCAGTTGGACAGTGTCCATCACTGTCACTTGTTGGACAACTATAATACAAATCACGAGGAGAAAAAGGGTTTCCACCTTTAATATGGACGGGAATAAATGCAATCCACTTGCTGGTTTTATATGATTTGCAAGTATAGTTTCTGTAGCTGCACGTATTGAGTATTGAACCCGCTAATCCACCGGCGCCTGGAGAGCCTGGTTTCCCATCTCGTAACACAATATTCGCTCCATTGATTGACTCTCGATTTTTAAGTAAAATCTCGGGTTTGATGTGTTTGGCTCCCCAACCTGCATCGCCACCTTTACTTCCATTTCCTGCGCTTTCGTTTGTACGCTTTATAAAAGTAATTTCTCTCATGAGATAATATTCAAAATGATTGTATATGATGGTGGGCACGATAATTTCTTTCTCGGCAATATCTTTTGGGCAATATATATAGCCTGCATCGATAGCTTTTTTATGAAGATCTTCTTCTGATCCCTCATAATTGTCTAACAAACCACTTGGCAACGATACTTGAGGTGCATCATATCCATCTCCTCCTCTCTGGCCGTTTCCTCCGTCGCCCCCAACGATATGGATGTTTAAGAGTTGTTCGTTTTTTACCTCCAACGCGAGAATTTGTAATTTACCAGGAAATTTTCCATGCCCACCATCTTCTCCTGAATCTCCAGCATCCCCAGACCTTCTTCCTTTTGTTGCACTGTTCTCAAAAGATGAACCAGAGCTGCCAGCAAGAACGAGATATCTTGACCCTATAATTTCGATTATAGGAGCTATCAGAGCTAAATTTGTGTCATTTAAGCTGAGATTGGTGTCCACGAAAATCTTGTTTGTGGCCACGATCACTATTGATTTAAAACTGCTTTTTAATGTGTGGATGTTTTTAACCACTTTATCCAACAAAATATACCGACCAATAAATGTGGCTACTGAGTTTGTTGTATCCAGATGCAATTTAACTTGAGCTGGTTTATAGTGTCGAATAATTTTTACTACTTCTGCAATTTCTGGCATTTCCACTGTTAATCCTAATGAAAGAGATACAGTTTCTTGAGTAAATCCAATTGACGGCATAAGAGCTAAAAAATTCTGGAAATTTTGATTCGTCCTTATTGTTATCATGCTCATGTCTGAATTTTGGACCTCATAAGTGTCAAAATCTTTGATTAAGCTCTTTAGAAACATTTGGAATCTGTCAATGAGTTTGATCTGAGATATAATTTGGTGTTTCCAACCAAAAATATTCTTCACGTCAAATTTCAGTTTTTCTGCCGCCCAAAAATCTTCATCAACCGAGTACAAAAATTTTATTTTCTTAATTTGAAATTCCAGATCCACAGAAAATTCTCTTTCAGTTCCTGTCAGTGCGTTGAGCAACGTTTCGTACTCATCAACTCGCTGTGCGTCCTCAAGGAATTGCAAAGTGTTGTCGCAAAATATCAGAGAATCTTCAATTTTCTTGCTGGTTGATCTAATTGGCACCCGCAACTTGTTGTAGAAACCTTGAATCATGCTTTTGTAGATATTATCAAAGGCTATTTTTATCTTCTCCAGCCCAGGACCAAGAAGGTCTTTACGCATGTAATTGATGGTCGCCGGAGCCACAGTAACTTTAAACTCGGTATTAACAAGACTTGATGAGAACCTGAGCTCCTCAGAAATTATGTGCCGCAATTGATCGTAATTTTCTTTTAGGTCAATTTGCTCCCAAGGGTCACCAATTCCATTGGGGCGCCGGAAAAGTCCTATTTTTTCACCAGCAAGAATCGAATTCAAAATTTTTATTTGATCTTCGTGTTCAGAGGCCGCTGTTGCGTTTTTCAATTGTTCTTCAACCTTCTGAAGAAATATTTTAGCAGACCGTACTAGAACTGCGTCATTTTTTCGCGAGTCAATCTTTGTAAGCACCATGCCGATAGATCCAGTAAAAGAGTCCAAATTTCCTTTAATCAAGTGCGCAAAATTTTTCAATTGTGTCACAAATGCGGCTCTATTGTTATGAAGCTGCGTGTTCACATAGTTCTCAACGAGCAAGAACTTCAATTTCTTGGCCGAATCAAGCACTTTTTTGTTCAAAAACCCAGTGACCAAATCAAATTCTGCAGATCGAGTGTCCTGAAACCCTGCCATATCGACAAACAACAAACCAGTCTTTGGATCCTCATCAATATTTGGGAATAATGTTTTTGAATTTAAAATATCCTTAGTACCTACATAATTGTCATTATCAGTAAAAATAAAGTCATTCTGATCGTTTTCAATGATACGTAAGGAAGGATCTTTGCGCAGAAATTTCGACAACGTGCTCTTTCCTGTTCCCGTTCCACCAACCAAAACCAAAAATTCATCTTTTCCGTAAAAATTTGTGGCTAAGTCTCCTTCCTGTAAAAGTTTAAAATCAATGTATCAATTTGATATTTTACAGAAGTAAACTTCAATCTATATTGTCAAATACGCACCCTTAAAAGTTTATCTATGTCTGGTTTAGTCGCCACTGCATCATGGTCAGCGCTTACACACAGGTTGTATGTAAGAATGAAGAAAAACTGAAACATGACAAAATATTTTTTTCATCAGAGAGTTCAATTTTCACGTGTCTGATAATTTTATAGCGCTTCATATAAAACCTCCTCAAAGTTTTGTTTGAAAAAAAATGCCAAAAGCCGTGGTCTAATCAATTTTCAATAACCATATATCCAATTGAAGAAAAAATTTAAGTTATTTAACATAGATGGGAGCTCTATATTCAATATATCCTTGGATACTGATTGTTCCAACGGAGCCGATAAAGAAGAGAAATATTTCAATATTCCCTTCTATTAAAAAATTGACATGTCTCTCAATTCTCAGTTCTCTCAAATCTTAAAATTATTTTTCACTTGCAATTAGGTTGGTATCGATTATTCGATTGAACCCCCAACATCTCAAGACGCAAATAATTCCCCGCAAAATTATACCTGCAGTGGCTGCATTTTTATAACCTCTGAATATGATATTATGGTGTTATTATTTTACTGCATAATATAATTATGTTAAAAGCAATTCATGTAGGATATTATTAAATACATTTTTCTAACCGTTCTGCATATCATCGTGATCATCCCAAATGGTTTGCTATCAACACTCGCTCAGCTACTTCTCACTACTTCTGTTGTGATTTAAATCAAGCTGTAGGAAGAGAGCAGCTTTTATCAACTCGGTCAAAGGTCTCACTTCTCGCCAAATTTGCACTTATGCTTGCCCTTGCTCAAGAAATCATCTCTGTCAACTCCTTGTTCATAAACGGGAAATAATTATACGGCTTTTAGAATTTCTTCCTGTTTCATTTTGCGCCAATTTTACGACACTGAGGATTTTTCGGGACTTTTCGTTCATTAATTTTAAATTATAAATAATGCGATTGAATTGCTTCTCCATAGCTGACAAATCATGACATGACTGAAATTTTTGCACTAAATAAAGAAACACCGCGATTCCTGAGTGGGCACTGAATGGTGCAGGCCACTGAATTTATTTAGTCGAAGCATGATTTTAAATTTTAAGAAGTTTTTTCTTAACCAAATGCTCAATACAATAATCTATAAAATAGAGAGCCTGGATTTTTATCAACTTTGTGAACCTTGACCTATTTTGGACTGTGTGACCATTATCTGTTTTTATGGCATCAGCAGAGAGATTAAGAAAAGAATTTGACATTGGATTAGAATGGAATTTTTATTTCTGCAGGCTAAAAATAATTTACGGCAAAAATTTAATTGATGAGCAAATTTAAATTATTAATTTCCATGTCATTTAAATGAGGCTAATTTTTAGAGATTTTTTTGATATTTATAAAGAAGTAGACTGCAAAAAATTAATAATACAGTGTTTGGAGAGTTGCATAGTGGGTTTTCTCAAAATTGTTAAGATGAAACGCGTGCATTTTTTACTTTATTACTTGTACAAGATACTGCAGTAACTGTCCATGGCTAGTTAGTCAAACTGATGGTCTGTGAAATGTTTATTTTTTATTAAATTTTGATGAATCCAGAATGTGTGGAGTAAAGTTACCCTTAATTTAAAACCCAATAAAACACAATTTTAAACTACATCAAATCAGTATGCTTGGTTATTTCAGCTACATTAGTTTGATTTTTTTAAACTTATTATAGTTTCTGTACAGGGTTTTGTATTAGTTGTTATGGAACCTTTTGCTTTTGGCACTTGGGGTGTTAATTTTTTGATGAAACAAAATCCGGCTTCTTCGGTGAAAGTGAGCAACTTTATTGTGTCTGCATGATACATAAAATCCCTGCTCTACTAGTTTCAGTTGCAAGATGCAACCCTAAATCTTGAGCTGTTGAAATTAAATTATCTAAGAATCATGCAAAAAAAATATACCACAAAAATTGAAAGGTAAATTACAATTTTTTTGTTCTTTATTTTATAGAACAAAATATTGAAATTCATTTAATTTATAAATAATAAATCGAAGACAAAAAAAATCTGACGTGGGGATGTAAAAATGGAATGGTTTTATTTATTATTCAGGGGAAGGCTAGTGCATGTTTTTATTTTTTTTTGTCCCCTTTCTTAATACATTTTGAGGCTAATTTTTTAATACAAGGAACGCTATTTTTTTTCATTCAAACAACACCAAATGTGAGAATGTCCATAGGGTTTCAGGGACAATGCATGCTGCTTTTACTTTCCTTTGTCCTTCTCTTTATTTCAAAATGATAAAATCAAAACATTATTGTTGACGATCCCCTGATGTTCTGACAGTTGGGAAATTCATAGCAGGTCGGCATTTAAATGACGCACACCTTCCGTCAGGACGTCCAGTTCCAACTTGGATTCAGTCGCGTGCACACATTACATCAGAGAGGGTTACAAAGATGGGAACCCCGATCAGAATTTTGGCACTCTTCGTACATCGTTTTAACATTTGACCTAGTTCAATGATGCTTGCCGCAAGTCGCTTGTAAACAATTTATTTCTTGTGCGACTTGGAGACATATCTCAAAAGCTTTGTTAGGATCCATTGAAAATTATTTAAATTACCTAATTTGTGTGTTTTAGTTAAATTTTAGCATCCTAATCAGTATTTTAATTAAAAAATTGACATATACAAAAAGAAAATATATCAAATTGCGAATAGGTTGGGATTATTTTATAATAAGTCTCAACATATGCTGAAATAATTTTATTTAAAGGCTATCTTCAAGTATCATTACAAATTAAGTAAAAATTTTATTGAAGAAAAAGTATGACAAAATTATTAATCAAACAAATACACTCTTTTGAAAGGGGCTTTTATAAATTATGCAGAATACACCATACACCTTAAACACCTATTTTCTTCTTATGCATAAGAAATTTATAGAGTATTCCCATAATAATTGTAAAACTGTCCTAAATCTTGAGAACATATTCTCGCACCCTCCTCAACAAAGTAGCCATCACCAATGAGTTCTAGATCCAGTTTTTCTGCATACTGGGAAAGTTTTTCTGATAAATATTCCTGGTCTTTTCCCGAGCTATGCACTAACTTAAATTTCCACACGGTGTAAGGGCTTAAAGGTACATCGGAGTATTGCAGTTTTTCAAAAACAGAATTTCTTGATATTAATTGGCCTTTGTCATCGCGCTCATAACTGAACTTAAAGTCCAGTGGATCTCCACTAATAGCGTAATAGTTAGATCCGCAGCGGTAGTAGCTTTCGCCTCCGTAGGTCATTTCAACCCAGTAATGCATGAGCATCTCTTGGACTTGCTTGGACACTTCTTGATCGGAAGAGGTAAAATTTATCATTACTGTATTAAACTTGACTGCATTTTTTACGCTCGGCGCTGTAACTGATGCTACTAGAGTAACTTTTTCTCCCATGAGCAGTTTTTTTATTTCACTGCCAAATTTGGACCCAGGCCAAGTGTAGAAGGGTTTGCTTGTCAGGTATTTGGAGTTAAAGCTACTAAATGAAATTCCAATATCAACATCATTGATAATAGCAGTGTTTGTTTCAGCGAGATTCTTGCTCATTGTTTGAAGTGAATTTTTAAGAATCTTAATCTTGTCATCTCTTGATAATTTATATTTACCTTGTCTCAGTTCGGATAGCGTGGAACGTAACACACTCATTGTTTCTCCACCGTAAGGAAACAGGCATTGCTGATAAGCTATAAAAATGTGCACAAACCGGCGAACAAGCTCGTTAGTTTCAATCGAGTTGGTGATGTTCTTATGAACTTGACAAACATTGTCACAATTTCCATTGTGCAGTTTACCTAGAAAGTCTTTTAGTTCTATTTGATGATTAACCTCGCTGATTTTATCGTAAGACCTGGTTAGGATGCCCATTAAGTCTTCAAGGTCCACCAAGATATTTCTCAAATCACCCTTGACCTCGTCGAAATCCTCCAAAAATTTATTGAAGATTGATATTAAGCTGCGACTATACTTCCTGATGTCTAAGTTTTGAAACTGAAGGATGTATTTTGATGTATCATTTTTAATTCCCGTTACTTTAATATTTTCAAGAATCACAAACATTCCATTTAGCAGTGGTTGTATTTCATCATCAATCTGTTTTTCATATTGGTCAATTTTTTTCAGCGCTAAACTATTTTCTTCAATTGCTTTATTTACCTCCTGAATCGCAAAATCGTCTTTTGCTTGTTCGCGCATTTGTTCGGCCGTTTCTCCAATAATCTCACTTTCAATAATCTCCTTCACGCCGTTGCTTAATTTCTGCAGCTCTTCCTTTTTCATTTGCCTTTTGTCATCGCTTAGTGTATCAAACATTTCAATTTTTGCTTCCAAATCAACTTGGACGGCTTGCAGTAAATCATTTGCTCTTTCTAGTAATACTGCTTGAGTTTCTGGATTTATATTATCACTCTCTTTTTGTATTTCCAGCATTTGAAGTAGTTGAGTCCTAAGTTCTGGAACAGTTATGACTCCTCCTAACTTGCTGTCCGCGTCGATTATATTTCTGATAGCACCAAAACACCTCTCTGTTGCGCGATGTTTCCTGTCTCGCAAGTCACCTATTTTTTTCAAAGCAGTTCCATAGCCACTTTCAATAAAGTTTCCTGCAACTTTTTTTGCAAGATCAGTTGCAATTCCAAAAAGCGATTCATTATTACCAAAAATGAGTGGGCCGATCTCTGCCGCTGGGTTCATAATTGCTGCTCCAATTTTAGCAGACAATTTAAAAACTCGCAATATGGCCTTAACTTGCATTGCCGCTCCCAATTCACGCCGCTGTTTTTCTAGATTAATACCGTTAAAAGTGTATTTCTGCCGCGCCTCGTCTGAAACTCGAAACAGATCTCCAATTTTGGCATCAGCATTTTTTCTGACCTCTTCTATATTTTTTTCTATTGTGTCTCTAACTAATTTTGTGGCATCAGCAATTTCTTTTAATGCTGATTGTTTAGCATTGTCAGTAATCTGAATTGCCTGCAAAACTTTATTGTCACTGGAAATTTCGTCAAAGTATTTCATTAGATTTGCTATGGCCAAAGGAAGCCGAATTATTTGTTTACTACTAGAGAACATTCTTAGGTTTTCAATTTGATTTGCAAACCCCAGGTTGATCAGCTGTAAATATGTGGTACTACATTTGTTACAATGCTGTGTAAACATTTTGAATGACTCAAACATGCGGTTAAATATAAAATCTAAATCATCAGAATTTTGCGAGGTCATTTCTAAAAGATTGTCCATGGTGTTGAGAAAATTGAGAAAATCGTTTTCTTCCATTTCACTAAATTGGGCATTTGAAGTCAATACCATCTCTATAAGCTCCCTTGTGCTTTGATGAAGTGAATCGGTGCTCATATTCAATGAATTTTGAATGAACTTCAAACTAAGGTGGTGCAACTTAGGAGCAGGAACCTCGTTTAAATACTCTGTTGATACACTTCCCTCGAGCCCATCGTTTCCAGCGTTTGCTTCCCTTAATTGAGATTCACAAAAGCCAGTGATATCATTAGTGCACATGTATTTAACATCAGATTTAATAAAAAACTGAATTAAAAGAACCAATTTACTACCAGTGCGAGCTGTGCACAAGTACTTTCTGTAACTGCATGTATTGTTCCTAGAACCTGCTTCACCTCCATTTCCAGGAGTGCCAGGTTTTCCGTCTTCTAATACAATGTTTTTTGGTAAACTTGGCTCCAAAATCTTTAGATGTACTTCAGGTTTTCTGGATTTTCCTCCAAATCCTGCATTGCCACCAGGCCCCCCGTTCCCTGCTGATGCATTTGCCCTATCGGTAACGGTCACCAGTAGATTGTATAATACAGTAGAGACCTCCACTTTTCGTACTTCTTGTTCCTCGTCTTCGTAGGTGTACCCTTCGGTGACTGAGCGATTCTTTAATCCCTCTTTATTTCCTGTATATTGGTCGAAACACAAAGGGTAATTCACGGGACTTGCGTTCCATCCGCGCCCTCCATTTTGCCCTTTTCCTCCATTGCCTCCAATGCTGCGTATGTTTAAAAAGGGTCCATTTAAAATTTTTAAGGCTAAAATTTGGATTTGCCCTGGACTCCTTCCGTTACCACCTTGCTTTCCTGCATCTCCATCATCTCCAGGCGTTGAGGACATCTCGGCACTCTCTATGTGAGAAGTACCGTCACTTCCGGTAAGAACAATCGTTCTTTTTCCACCAACAACCTCGATTATAGGAGAAACCAGTGCCAAATGTGTATCTTGTAAGTGGAGGTCAGTATCGATGAAAATCTTTCTTGACGCAATGATTATAATTGATTGCAGATCATTGTATTTTACAATTTCATTAGCAAGTCGACTGAGGACGACGTATTTTCCACTGAAGGTACCTTCAATCTTTTTCGCATCATCTCTATGAAAGCTTTCCTTGACAGGCTTGTAACTTTGTAGCAGTTTTTCTAAGTCTTCTTTTTGAGATAGTTCTGCTGACAACCCTGATGCGTGCGAAATTGTTTCAAGTGTGAATCCATGCTTGGTCAAAAGCGTCTTCAAGATTTGGAAGGTTACCTTGCTATTTAAATCTGATGTTATATTTGAGGTCTGGATTTTATACGTATCAAAGTCGCTAATAATACTTGTCATGAACATTTGAAATCTCCTAGTGGATATCACTTCTGAGAGAAGCTGACCTTTCAAACCAAACATACTGTCTGCTTTGCTACGAATTTTTATTACCTCGACATTGTCACCGGTGACCCCATACAGATATTGTATTTTCTTCAACTTCAGAATTAATCCCTTTGGAAATTTGTTTCCGTGCAGGTCAGGCCCAACAAGTGTGCGGTGTAAATATTCAAGCTGATCAAAGCGCTGCGTGTCTTCAACCAACTTCGATATTTTTTTGCTATATTTCAAGGCACTGGCTATTTTTTTGACCAGCGGTACGATTTTTGTTGTCAGTTTTTTATTGTAACCCTCTAACATATTGTCATAGAGCACCTTAAATGAATTTTTTATTTTCTCTATGTCACTTGGAATCAGAAAGTTTTTAATGTAGCGGATAGTGGAGGGGGCCATAGCTACTTGATATTTATTAGCCCCAGCAGGTGTTGAAAAATCAAGCTTGGTTATAATTAGTTGCCGCAAATCTTCATAATCCTTCTTCAATGCGTCAAGCTCCCATGGGTTTCCGAGTGTGTCAGGCTGATGGAGCAACTCAAATTTTTCACCGTCCAGGATAAACTTGATTAACCTTATTTGGTCATTGATGTCACTGCGTGATTGTGATTGATCATCATCGCCGTCCTTAAAGTTCCGCTTTAAGTTCGTTAAATCTTCGATTATTTTCTTCAAAAAATTCCTCAGTGATTGCTTGAGTTCCGTGTTTGTTTTTGCCGAGTCGTTAATTCCTATTGCTGCCAAACCGATCGAATCTACATACAAATCAACGCTACCCTTTAAGTGACGTACAAGATTCTTTACCACTGTGGTAAACGTAGTCGTGCCGCTTTTATTACCCAACATACTTTCATAGCTTTGAACGATTAAAATTTTCGATCTTTTGCCCGAGTTAAGAATTTTTAGGTTCAAGTAACCGGTAACCAAGTCCAAACTTGGACCAGGCGTGTCCTGGTAATCTAAGAAACTTATGAATGACATTTCACTATCATTATCTTGTTCAATATTCAGGGGGAAAACTTCTGTCGACAAATTATTTCCACTACCGATATTTTTTGTGTTGTTGTATGTGAAGATGAAGTTCTGCTCGGCATTCTTAGCGATTACCAATGATGGGTCTCTGCGTAAAAATTTTGAAAGAATGCTCTTTTCAATCGCAGTTCCTCCTGCCAGTATTAAGATGTCATTTTTTCTCTCCGTCAACAGGTCAGCATCGTCCTTTAAATACAGAAGAGATAGTTAGCTAAATTTTATAGTAAACCTGTACGATGGAAAAAAATTGCAAAAAAATATGCGTACATGGTGCAACCTATAGGTTGGCTCATTTTTTGCTAAAAGTTAGACCGGCGCAATACTCACTTTATACAGTATATTAAAAGGCTTACAGGACAAGACCGCAAAGCTATTTTATTGTTGAATTAAATTGTTCAAGAAATGACGGTCGGGCGAATTTTTCGTGGCGCTACTCTGTAGAGAAAAGGGCGCTAACTTCCTCCTGGAAGTTTGAACGTTTCAATCTGACGTCACATGCGTATGGATATTAGAAGGTTTCTGTGGCCCATAAGAATCAATTTTAATTTATGTGCCGACTACAATGTTTTGTCCCCGTTTGTCCAATCCTCACTTCCAATAACCATATACACAAGCTGTACACAAGCTTCCTCCCCGCTAGCCAGGGTGAGACCTACGAGAAGGGCAAGGCAAGCAGTGCAGAGATCAAAACCAAGCGCGCCCAAGTTGGAAAGAAGTGTGAAAAAATACAGTTCTAAATTTTTAACAGATTTTAAATTTTAAAAATGAAAGTAGAAGAACGGAGAAGAATTTTGATTTTAAGGAAATGGAAAAAACCTCCCGGAGCGCTGAGTAATAAAAGGGTCTGCGAAAAGTAGTGTCAATTAAAAATTCATAAAATAACGAGTCGCTCAAACTGTTGGCAGCGCAATATTCAGTCACGACGGTGAAGCGACTCAACAAGGAACTTAATTTTCTGCGATTGTCTTCAATGAAAAAAGCTGAATATTTTATTTCCTTGTGAAAATTTAGGATTAAAAGTACAGCAAGAATACAGAATTTTTAATTCTGTAAAAAAAATTTTAGCTGTATTTTAAATTTTTACACCTCTCATCAGTCTCGCTGGTGGCCAGCGGGTAGGAATCAAGCTTGTGAGCTCTTGTGACGCCTGAACCGTCTAAACTTCCAGGGCTTTGCGGCGCACTTTTCTCTTCAAAGCAGCGCTAAGATAAATTCGCGCGGACATTGCCCGGACCATATTTTCTTGAACAATATTATTCAAAAATAAAATGACTTTGCGGACTTGTCCTTTAATAAAATTAAATTAATAGTTTTTCAATTTTTTTATTAAAAATTAATTAATACTTTTTTCTGATGTGATTTTTTTTAAACAATATTGTTAACGCTTCTATCTCACAAGGGATTGTGGAGCACGTCTGTTTTAGTCAGTATTGTATCTTATGGTCAATTCATCGAGTATGAGAGGCTTGGGATTTTTGTTTAAAATTTATTTAATTTTATTTTGAGCATGAGTCGCTCCTCTTAATTACATGACAAAATCAAGAGATTTTATTGTGATTATCTTTTGTATATTATAATCCAGTATAATCTAAAATAAAAACCTTATATATCTTGTCAAAGTCCAGTTGATGTTCATCAAATCCAAGTACACAAAGGAGGCAGCAAGCTACGACCAAGAGAATCTGGAAAAAAAGCAAAAGTTTTATTAGTTTTTTACCTGGGCAAAAGAAGTTTAAAATTAAATTCCAAAAAATTTAGATTTTAAAATTCAGAAAGGGCCACTTGAAACTTTCTGACAAACTGAAAATTGAAAATAGAGAAATTAAATTTTTCTCTGATTTTGTCTTCCTAAAGGAGTTAAATTCCAAGCGTCCGGTGTTTCTTTCTTTGAACATATCTAAAAAAAAATGCCAATCCCGAGCGGCAGGCATTACCCATAAGACCAATTCAAAAATTACTTATTCTTAGGAAGCTAGCATTTTTTTTTATCCATTTTTTCAGTAGTGTGGATCAGTGTGGACTTGCCGAGCCGGCCGAGTCTCTGTTGATGTCTTGCGTTTTTGCAAAGCATCTGCTGCTAGTTGCCTTTCTTCTCTATTTTTCCAGTTTTTAAAGTTTTTATTGACCGTAAAGAAAAAATAATAATGTGATTTATTACTTTGAAGCCAGATTTGAAGATTGAATGCAATAAAAACTTTAATTGGTTGACTTTAATATTGTAAGTAAGGCTTGCAGATTGTGCTTCTCCCGTCTTCGCTCACTGCTAACGAATAAATATCTCTTTCTCTCTTTTTTTTTAATTTGGAGTGAAATCCAGAATTAAAAACCACACAATTATTTCTCTGGTCTCGGAGGTTTATCAAAATATTTTGTTAGTTTCCATGACAATAAGATATTCTCCTGTATTTGTTTATACTGTGATGTAAAAATTTTGGACAATTCAAACAGCACAAAATAATATTCATAAAGGGTGGGTGAGTGCAAGAGCAAATTATTATATGCAAAAACAGGTGGAATCTTTATGAAAAATTTTATATTACAATAAATGTTTATAAGGGGGAAATAATTTTTGTAAAATTCATAAAATTTAGAGAATTCAATGATGTTTTTGTTACTAATTAAATACATTACATTATCATTAATTTAAAAAATGTTTATAGTAAATGTAAGGTACAGCAATAAAAAAGTTTGAAAATATTTGATACTTTGGTGAATTTAACAGAGAGGCTTAACTTACCATTGTCAAGCAGTGCTGCTGTATCTGCGGATAGCGCCAAAAGTGCTACTGACTTTTTTAGGCGAGTGGCTTTTACAAAATTGGGGAGGTGGAGCCCACCGGAGCTAGAGGTCACCTTCAAATCACTAGAATTTTAATAGCCTGCCTAGTGCCTACCATGGGTTACGCGCACCATATTTGGTATACCTTTATTGTTACGCGTCTAACAATTAGGAACTTATTCGCCAGAGGTGCTGGCCGCTTCTTTACATTTTGAATTTTTTCTTCTTCATTCTGAATTGATTTTGAAGAATTACAATAACATAATAGCAATTATGTATTTTAGCTTTTAACAAAATCTAGCGAATATTAAGCAATGAATGAAATGTGGCTTACGAAAGAGATCAGCTCACTCATGAGCAATAAACGTGATAAACTTTTTTCCGCCTGTAGCAAACAAAATCGGCCTTCTCACGCCTCGAGTTTGAAAAAGCAAGAAAATCTGTGCAGAAGGCAGTTTGTCTTGCCCGGGACAAGTGGATGTGGACCAAGAGGAAACAAATTTTTCTGGAGCTTCGTGAAAGAGATGAGCAAAGTTTCCTCCGTTGCGGCAGTGTTTGAAATTGATGGTGAAAAAGTAAAAAAAAGCCAGAGTTAGTCGCCTCCGCTTTTAGCCTTGTGTTTGTCAAGAACTTTTAACAACGTGCAAAACTATTTTCCTTTCATGCGCCGAGCACCCGCAAACGTGACGGCCCCAAGTTATGTGAAATTTCTGTTAGCGCAACGAGTGTGTGATCCCTTATGCGGCAAATAAAATTAAATGCAGCGACCGGCCCCGACAACGTGCCCGCGATTTTATTATTATTATTGTTGTTTATTTTGTCCACGTTGTTACAAATACATTGTTTACATGTACATTGTAAATTGTTTACTAAACAATAAATGTGTCGCCTTTCTCGGCGACAGCCTCGCTCCAATTTTCTCTCTTCTAAAGGGTGCACTTCCAGAAGGGTGGGAGACGGCCGCAGTCACCCCAAGTTTCAAGAGTGGGAAAAAGTGCTGCCTAGACAATTAGTGTCACTTTTTTATTCGGGAAAAGTTGCGTGCGAGACAGGGTTGAAAATTTTGTAAACGTGAGCAAAATCATTCCCGACGACTGCCAATATTAAACATTATGGTTTAGAGAGATCTTCTTGCACCACACTTTTGTGCAAAACCCTGGATATTTGGGCGAGCAAGTTGGACGAAAGAAGGCACAACAGTGTGCAAGCTTGGACAGCAGACGGTCATGTGGGACGCGGTCGAAGGCTTTAGTCCAAGAAGATGGCGTGGATGTGTGTCCCGCTTCTTTCGTCTGACATGTCGGTGGCAACCTCCTGAAATGGTTAAAAAGTTTTCAGACCGACCGCAGCCGATTCGTCGTCTATGGAGGAGCAAAATCGGAACCTGGCGAAAGTGTCCTGTCCGGAGTAATCAAGGGCAGCGTCCTTGGGCCGCTGCTGTTTAACGTCTACGAGGCCGATTTGCCCGCCAACTCTGACTTGGTACAGTATGAGGGCGTGAAATTAATAAACCCTCGGACGCCGCCCTGCTGCAGACAGACTTGGACAGGACAGTGTCCGGGCGTGGTGCGACAACAACAACGACATGTCCCCGAATCCAACCAAGTGCCACGTAATGGACGTGACGCGCGCCCTGACACCAATGCACGTTGACTACATATCGGCGCTTCCACTTGAGTACGTCAGCGACGAGCGCTTCCTCGGCGTCCAAGTATTAAAAGACCTGCGGTGGAACAAGCACTCCGACACCGCGCGCGGCAAAGCAGCTCTCGTTCGCGGCGCGCAATCTGCACGGCTGCACTCCGCGCGTGAAAAAGATGGTGCGCGGAAAGAAAGTGAAATCAAATTTCTTTACTCGCATCGCAACTGGCAACGTTTTTATTCAAAAAATCAGTTGCTGATACTAGCCTAACTAAACGTGCATACAGTGTTTTTTTTTGTAATGAATGCCTGGTGAGCTTCGACAATTACAACTGTCGTCTTCATCTTTTTTTTCTAAAAAAAATGAACTCGCTGTGAGACCATCCAAAACCTGTTTGCAAGCAGCCAGTCTTCTGGAATTTTGCACACAAAAAAGACGCCGAGGCCTTGAAAAGAAAAACACAGTTTAATACCAGTGAAAATAAATTAGTAAATAGACCATTCAGGTGATCAAATTTATAAGCGCTTTTATAAAAGTCATACTTGTCGAGTTTTCAATTTTCAACTGTTGAATAAGCACCAGTCAATCACCAATTATGACTTGGTTCCACTTGGCTGGTAAAAATTTTAACAAATAATTAAAAATCTTTTTCACTTAAAAAAAATAGTATGCTTATTCACTAAGAATAGAACAAATTGAAATTTTTCACAATTTTTGAGCAAAACAAATTTTGGGAAATAGATTTTCTAAGTTAATATACATGAAAAAGACACCAATACCACTAAATTTTATTATGTTAATATTTACCTTTCTTATATTATTTTTGTTTGCGATTTATAATATAGATGCTCCCGTGTGTAGGGAATGTTCTCTAAGTTTTTTTCCATGCATGAGTGACTCATGGTCAGATCAGTTATGATGAAAAAAGTGAAATAATAAAAATTAATAAATTTTTAAAATTTTGTGCAAGAAATTTTTTATCATGCACTTGAAAATTTATTTTAATTTTTCTTCCCATCAAAAAAAATTAATAATTCATGTATTGCAAATATTTCATTAGCTCTAGCTAAAATAGATCAATCAAAATGCTTTTGCAAATTCACATTTCATAAGGTAAAAATATGTATAAAAAGGAGATACAATTTACGAATTTACTAATAATAATGGGCTGCGAATTTTGAACAAACACAAATAATTTTTTATTTATAGAACAGAATCGCAATTCATCCCATAAATTATTAAAACACCATCATGGGTTTTTTTTTTAATTCTTTATTGGCGTTTATGACGTATTATTACAGATGTAACATGACACAGTGCAACCCACGTATATATAAATTACTAGTAAAAAGTGCTGCTCATTATTGTTTATTTGTTTACAAAGTGTTGCCAAGGAAGAGTATAAGCGGTATAAGCAAATTATTAACTTCTACATAATATGAATTTTTAATTTATATAGCAAATAAAATTTAAAAAACAATGTTTGGATAGTCGCATCATAGGTTTCGTCTCTAATGTTTTTTTTTTTACATTATTTATAAACGATACCTGCCCGCACAGCAATGACTAGTTAATCAAAGTTGATCAAATCGCAAGTCTATAAAATGTTTATTTTTTATTTTTTGGACGAGTTCATGTATGGGGCAAAGTTGCCCTTTTATTATTGTTGTTTGCTTGTCCACATTGTTACATCACCTTAATTTCAAACCCAATAAAGCACCCTTTGAAACTAAACTAAATCAATTCTTAGTTAAGTTATTTTCAGCTACAAATATTTCCTTCAAAATTCATTTCAGTTTTTATAAAATGAGTTTGAAGGAAAACAATTATAACATTTTACCATTAACCTTTTTCATATTATCAAATTTTTACTTTGTTCCCTTTCTTGCAAAAATTTTGCTGGTAATATTTTAATACATGGCTTTATTTTATTGCTTTATTTAAACAACACCAAAATATGTGAGAATGGCCAGATTTCAGGAAAAATGCATTCTGCTTTGACTTTCCTTCGTCCTTCTCTTTATTTCAAAATGATAAAATCAAAACACTAATGGTGACGGTGCCCTGACAGCTGGGAAATTCATAGCAGGCCGGTATTTAAATGACGCACACACCTTCCGTCAGGACGTCCAGGTTCCAACTTGGATTCAGTCGCGTGCGCGCATTACATCCGAGAGTGTTACAAAGATGAGCACCCCGATCAGATTTTTGGCACTTTCTGCACTGATCGTTTTAACGTTTGACTCATTCCAAAATATCGAGGTGAGGAATCTTGTTGGAAAATATTTATTGAAAAAAAATCCATTCAAAACAGAGCGCAGTCACTAGCAACCCATCGAAAACTAATAAACCATCAAATATCCAAAGTACCTGCGCCAAATACATCTTTTCGGTTTGACATGTCAGATTTCACAGTTGTTTTAATTTAAACAAAAAACGAGTATAGGTTGTGAGTACCTGCTGCAAATCGACCCCTACCGACCTTTTTGACAAGGCTTTTGCCACTGGGTGCAAAAAGATGCAGTCGGCGGCGAACTTGGCCATTTTCAAAGAATACAACTTCAACAGGCTTCAGACGGGCGCAACAACCTACAGTTTCACAAATCTTGGATCCAAAAGCATGATTTTATTTCGTTTAATTTATTTCCAATACATATTAATTTTCATATCGTTCCCAGTCGTCTTTCCAAAAATCAACGCGGAATCATTTGTATTAAAATTACCAATTAATTCCGTTGATTAAATTTCAACTTTATTAGTGCTTTGCTGAATGTTTATTCAACAACAATTCATTGGTATAGGGTCGATCTTTGTTATCATTGATTGAATTATAAACTTGGTATAAGATTGTGGATGGTGCGGTTGACTATGATGCCACAAAGACATACCTTGGAAAACAAGTAACCAGCACTACGTGGAAAGACATCGTTACTGGCGCCGTCGACACTTGCAAGACTAAAATCGAAGATGGTAAATTTTTTTCAGTGCAATGTTAGCTTTTGCTGTAATTATGACAATACAAACACTCAGCTTTCACGGCTGACGATACAAAGAAAACTGTGAAAATGTTGAGCAACAGCTTCAAGACTTGCATCACCACTCCTGCCATGCTCCTGCAATGCATCCTCGGCACAGTTATAAAGGTCATGATTGATTGGAAATGAATGAAAAATTAATAATTTCCTGTCCCATCGGAAATATATTACAGAGCTGCCCGGAAGGATCAACGCTCACTAGTATGTTATTGAAAGGTTGTTGGGTCAGTCCACTTTCAAATCTTCATTAAATTTTAGCAACAGCATGTACTACTCGGCTTGCCAATTTCAACAGTTGCGATCCATTTGCAGCCTAGTTAAAAAAAAACATTTCAATTATAAAAATTATTCAAATTTTCGTATCGATCTAATTAAAATTTGAAAAAAATATGCGATTTTTTTTCTGTGCCCGGCTGTGCCTACTAAATCCGCCATGATAAAAAGCAAAGAATATTAAACGATTTAAAAGAAAAAAATAAATGAAATGAAACAGCGCACACCTTCCCATTAAAAATTTTGCATGAAAATGCAAGTATTCGGAGCAGAGGCATAACGTATGTACATCCGCAAAATTTCCCAATTGATGTCATTGCCGCCAGACAACGACGACATCGTTAATGGCTTTAACTTCCGTTCATTGATCATACTAGAAGGTTTAACTCCCCATTTAAAACTCGATACTGGAGACCACATTTTAAGATTAAAAAAATCAATACCACAAAAATATTAATTAATTTTACTGTCATAGCAATTAAAAATCATATAACCAGGATTGGAAGACATCCTACGCATTTCTTAGAAACAATAAAAATGATTATGCCGTGTATAAATAATGGTACGTGACCACCAACAAACCATGGCGAGTTGTAATTCTAATGTGCATATTTTTATTTTGTCTCTTCAGCGCGTTTCACAATAAAAATGACATTTAACGGCAAAAAATGTATTTGTTTTATAGAGTAGTTAATTTATCATTGATTAAAGCGTTATGCCAGGTTTTTGAAAATGATTCTTCTTTATTCAAATTTTAATGCAAATATTATTTCTAGTCTCAGCAGCGCGTTTCACAATAGAAATGTTTTCAATAACGAAATTAAAGGGTCACAAAATTATTTATTTGTCCTTAGTTAATGCAAAAGTTTTTTTTTAATAATTTTCATTGTGTCTCCCAAGTTGCAAAATACGTGCTGTTAAAAGAGAATGACTGACATGTACGAGTTATTTATGTTTCTTTAATTAACGAAATTAATCATAATCATCTATCATTCTTTATAGTAAAAATGTATATTTTGCTTAAACAAATGCTTTTAGCTAGAGCTGGTTTGTCCCGAGATACATAACAAAAACCATTGAACAAATTGGTGCCTGATATTGTCAGAGTATGCAACCCGCGCAAAGCCTGTGTTGAGCCAGTTGTATAAATACTGTAACTAGTCTAAACACACTTGCATATTCAACTAGACACCAAAATGTTGTCCTAGTCGGTTCTTCTTAAATTGCCATGATTAATCAATCTGATTGACAACTTTTTTTGTAAAAAATCGTAAAAAAAAAATGATTTCAAATTCCAATGAAGATAGCAATCTAATAAAGATTCTTATTTTAAATTTTCCACTTTATCAAGCTCGGGTTTTTAGGTTGACGAAAAAGCGTATCTTTAGCGGACATTTTATTGAATAACTTTTAATTATGCAAAAAGAACAGAGGGCGAGGATCACTTCTTGGCAGGAGCAGTGGTGGCAGCCTCAGCCTCCTTCTGGTAGGTCTGCAGCAACTCCTGCTTCTTCTGCGTGATTCTCTCTTCCCTGCGCTTTCTCGCCGCCTTGACCTTCTGCCTGCGAGCCTCGGCCTGGTCAGTCAGCATCTTCGTCCTCGTCTTCTCAGCCTTCTTCTTGTGGATGTACTCCATCAAGACACGCTTGTTCTGCAAAAAGGACAAAATGTTGTTAATTTATTATGAAAAAGGTATGAATAAAGCAAAAACATAATAATTGCTAGAAACAGAGCAAGCTAAATATTGGACTTATAGGTTTAAAAAAAAATTAAGAGTCCAACAATTATTTAAGAAAAATATCAATCATTATGCTCTCAATTTCTTCTACTTTTGAATAAAACATGATAGAATTGTAAATATAATAGGAAAAATTTGAAGCTCGACAATTATTTGTGCCAATTACCTTGAAAACGTTTCCCTTTGCCTTCATGTACAAGGCATGGTACAGGTGCTTGTCAATCTTCTTGGCTTCCCTGTATTTTTTGAGTAGCCTTCTAAGAACTCGCATTCTGTTGATCCAAAGCAACTTGGTCGGCATACGAGCGTTGGCCGTACCTTTCCTCTTGCCGTGGCCGCAGTGTCTGCCCTTCCTTCGGGCCTCGGTGTTTTTGCGGACGCGCGCTCTCGAGTGCACAGCGACAGGTTTCTTGATGATGAGACCATCCTTAATGAGCTTGCGAATGTTCTGTCCTGATAGAGAAATTTAAATTTTTAATAAAAGTTTCATAACTGTTTAATTGGGTGGGAATTTTAGCTTTTAAAAACAATCATTGTTTTTAAGTATTTGAAGTATTTCTTGTTTAAAAATAATTTTTGGTTATTGGGAAATGTCATGTCTAAAGCAGTTTTAGTTTTAAAAACAGACGAATTTCAGAAACTTACTGGAATTGGCATTGGCAATCTCGTTGATCTCGTTAGGGTCCAACCATACTTTCTTTTTGCCACATCGCATCACCGAAGAGGCAAGCCTCTTCTGCAGCTTAAGAGAACTGAAACATAAGTCGAGGATAAGTAAACAAATAAAACTCTTGCATGACGGCGTGTGGTGAAATGGTCGTGATAACACCACGTGAATGACAGCTCATTCAAACCCAAAATGCACTCGAATATTTTCGTACAATTTTTACCATTAAAGACAACGAAAGCTTGCGAATCGCAAAGATTTCGACTCGATTCATCTTAATTTCGGGCCGATAAGGGTTCAAAATGACGAGATATCGGCAATGGGCCAAAATAAAGTGACCAAAATGAGGCGGCTTTCAGGGACAAAACATGCTGCTGGCATGCCAAAGCCGACTTTGACGAATCTTCGGTCGATTCGGGTAAACTTTTCCAAAATTTGAAAGCACCATCACGACCGCCGACAAACTGATAGTTCGGCCGCCGAAATTACACCGTCGGCGAGTGAAAATCCTGGTTTTTCGGGAGAAAATATTTACCTCATGGTCTCTAGCCGACGTAAACGTGGTAAGAAGCAAGATGGCGCTCAAGGGAAATGACGTCGTTTGCGGAAGTTCAATGAAGCCGAGATTCAAATTGTGGCGCGAAAAACATGTGCAATACACAACACGTAGATCAGCTAATTTCATTTTTGTAAAGGCATGATTGTGCTATAAATAGCAAAATTGAATAGATAAAAATTCCGAAAAATTCACTTGGCCTTTTTTTTTTAAATTCGTTATATTTAAATTACTACTTATTTCTTTATTTTAATTCTATTAAATTTTAAAGTTGAAAGGATAAGAGAGAAACACAGTAAAATTATTTGTAAGATTGCAAAATAATTTATTCACGTAGATATTTTACACATTTTGATGCATAATGATATTGAAGTGTGGCGAATGCAAATTTACTGCTTTTCTGCTAATCACTACTGTCTTACATTTAAGAGAATTCGTAGAATAAGTTACAACTACGGGTATTACTACGACAAACAATCATCGTGTCTTATTAGCAATTGATTAGCCTAGCTCAAGAGACGAATCGTTAAAAAATACAAATAGCCATAGGAACGTCAGTTTTCTCATTTTCTCGCATTTTACTGGACATTGGTAACAAATAGCAAATCAAAACTGATTTAAGAATTTGACCGAATTCAATCAAGTGAACAGGAATCCGTTGGGAAATACATAAAATTAGAATAATTTAGCGGCAACGCAACAACTAATCACGGATACACAAAGTAATGATGATGATGTGACAAAAACACATTTAATTTCAAATGTCGAGCCTGGCAGGCTCTTTTCAGTTGAGCATCGTTGGTGGAAGGTTCGTATCAAGGTCAGGAGACGGCCGACCCTGTAGGAGATCAACCTGAGCACACATCGGCATGCTCGTCCCATGCAGACACCTGAGAACAAGGAAAAAAACATAAAAATAAGTTTCACAAGAATTGATAAAAAAATTGCTCTTTTTTTTAACTTGGTTAATAATGAAAATGTTTTAGCCAGTTTGAATAAAAATTTCGAAGCTATAAATTTTGTCGTAAACTTGATTATTTCAAAAAAATTTAACATGAGAAAATAATTTTTAACAAAAATTTAAATCAGTTGAAATTTTGAATTTACCTGACACTCTCTGCTGCAGTACCACTGGTTTCCGCACCCTGCGCACACAAATTGTGCCTGATTTCTGTGGCAACCCTGGCACTCGGGCACATCCTCTTCGTCCATCTCCTCAGTATTGGCTTTGGTGACCCCCTTCTTGGGAGGCTGCTCGCTGGAGGTGGGTTCGTCAATCACCAGACGGTCTCCCTCGGTGTCATCGTCAGCCCTCTCAGGCTAAAATTTGAAACTCAAATTAGTAAAGCATTCAAAACGCATTTTGAAATTGTTAATAATTTAGAACAAAAACAAGGTGCTGATGAACTTACCACTGGCTTGGGAGTTTTGCTCTTGCTGGGTGCTGGCTGGTCATGTGAGGTGCCTACAGGTGTGATTGTGATCTCAGTGCGACCCTACAAAATCAAAGCAGTGCAATAAAGAAAAAACGGCAAATACTTTTTTCTAAATTAAGTCTTCAAATTTTGGTGCTCAGATTTAAAAAGGGGAAAGAATCAGGTGCATACCTTTGAGGGTCCCAACAAGTCCGAGATGGAGACTGAAGGCGAAGCTGCCGGAATGGCCGGAGGCGTTGGCCGCTCGGGGGCGGTGAGGAGGCGGGCAAGAGTTGGCGAGAAGTTGGTGGAGCGGTTGCCAGGCTTGGTGAGGATGCCCTGCAGCAGGGAGGAGGCCGGTCCTAGCGGCGGCGGCACTGGGTGCAGGGTCACCTCAGGGTAGGGCAGCCGCGGGCCTTGGGGCTCGTTTTGGCTCATCTTGGCAAACTTGACTAGCACGTCCTTGAAGCTGATCGGGGGCTCGACGGTCGGCATGGAGCACGTCTCCGGACTCTGCGGCCGCAGACGACGACCCCTTCTGGGAACTTGCTCAGGGTGGCGCTGCCTGAAATCAAAAGGAGAAAATGATATTTTAGAAAAAAATTCAATCGCCATAGCAAATAATGAGGATATTTCTAGATTTTCAAATTAAAGTAGATTCCAACAGACAGGTGAAAATGTTTAATTATCATGAAAAATATAAGTAATGCAACGCTTTTACTTTAAAAATATCTACAAATTTCGAATGAATTTTTATTTTATTTAAATAATTTCATTTAAGATCAACTGCAACCTGCAGCTAATTTTTTTTTAATTAATGAACATTTGGCTTTAATAAATAGGTCACCACATAAATTTTTGAGACAAACAAGTGATTTGCTGACAGAAAACTTCACAACTTTAATTGTGGCTGCTACCTGTTTATGGCGGTTATAACAGGCTGGCCAACTGTATGTCTTCTGTAGTTCTGTTGAAATCCACTTTAAAACAAATTATTACATAAATAGATATTTCCCTTTTATATCAATTTCTCTCAACAAATGATTTTTTTTAAATCAAGTTTAAAGACAATCCAAAGCCGAGTGTAAAATTTTAAATAACTATATCAATAATTTATCATTTAAAAAATTACCCAAACTAACAGAAGGGCTTAATTTTTGCAGTTAAATTGAATTAAAAAAATTAATTAACCTTTTTTTTTTACAAAATTTATAAATCTGTGATCGTTTTAAAATAACTCACTTCATTGTATTTTTGTTTATACACACCTGTAGTCAGCAATGATGGACCTGACGTCTAGGATGGGTCCCTGGCGGCCTTCGCCGATGACTGGTTGCTGGCCGTTGGCCTTGGGCGGTTTGTGGCCGAGGACGACCCGTCGGCGTTCGAGCCGGGCGAGCATCTCCTCCTTAAGCCCCTTGAGGCGGATCAGCTGGTTCCACTCGTGCTCCTTCTGCTCGGCCAACTGCCGCAGCATGGACAGCTCGTTCTTGAGCACCTCGACGCAGCGCGCCGCCTCCTCAGGGCCCTCGTTGGCCTCGACGAAGGTGCGGATGGTGCGTTCGCGCTCATCCTCCTCGATTTCCTCGTTGAGCATGCGGGCGCGCTTGGCCTCTGGTTCGCCGGCCGCCTCCTTCAGGCCGCGCTTGTTGCGCGCCACAGACGACCGAGGGCTCTCCTCGTCGTCGGTGCCGCAGCCACTCGAGGTCGCGTGCTCAGACGATGGCTCGGCTTTCACTGAAAAATGCGCGACGTTAGCGAAAAACAGACCTCAAGTGTGCGCTCTGTGCAGGACACGCAAATCTACTAAGGCCTGAAGGAGACGAGAATGACGCGCAATTTCAAAATTCTCTGTTCGATAATAAATTTTGTAAAGATTTATTTCATTCAGAATATTATGAATTTACAAAAAATGATATGAAATTATCAAAAAAAGTGTAGTCAATTTTAGAACAATTAATGCTTTTGCTTTTCTAAATATAAAAGAATTAATAAATCTGCTTTGTATACAAAAAGAAGTTGAAAAAAAGTGAGCTAATTGATAATTTATCTCAAAGTGGTTAAATTTTGTGGAGAATTAAACAATCAAGATTAAAAATATGTAAAATAATGCGTGATGTAAAAGTAATTTAGAGCAAAAGTAAAAAAGGATCTTTATTAATTTTGTTATACTTTTCTTGCATAAAAACATAGTTAATAAATTTATTGCTATTGGTACTTCTCAACTTTGGGTTCAATTTTTGATTAGATTTGCATCAATTTATTAAAAAACAAATTTCAGTTAGAAAAAAAGTTAAAATATTCATGATTTCTCTTTAAACTATTTTGCATTATTTGAATAATTTAATTTTTTAATTATCTAATGCTTAAAAATTTCTTTTAAATTGATAGCTCATATAAAATTACAGGAAGTTTTCTTCTAATGCGTGATTTCTTTTATTAATTTTCAGAAACTTCCTTTTGCCGCAACAATTTTAATTTCCAAATAGCATATATATTTGTTCAATTGAAAGTGAAACGAAAGTTTCTAGCCACAAGCTTGTCTCTTTTGACCTTTGCAAAATACACATAGAAACCCATGCATTTCCTGCTGCGCAAATGTGAACGGATAGTTTTTTTTTTTTGCAAACTAAAGGAAATAGGAAATAAATTAATTTATACCTGGCGAGTTGTTTTCGGAGGCGCTGAAGTCGAGCGGTTTGGCGCCCTCGTCGATGTCGACGGTGACGAGCGCGGCGGCCGCCCTGGCGACGGCGGCCTCCCCCTCGCTGGCCGCCTCCTCGAGTTCTCCGTTGTGGAGGGATGACCTCCGCTGGGGGACACCCTCGTCCATCGCGCGCTGCTGCTTCTTAGCACCGGCTGCGTCCATCACTGGCATTGTCTGCCCGACGGGCAACCTGCGAACGGCCAATCCGTGTTTAGTCAAAGGGCGAGAGAGGCAGGCAGGACAAGATGAGTCAAGAAAGAGAGGAACAAGAAGGGTCTGCAGGGCGCAGGCGCGTGTGCTCGCCGCTCGATACTCGCTACACCGACCGACCGCTCTCTCACCTTATTGCATTATTTACGGCGGGGCACAATTTTGCGGCTCGTCTTTGAACCGACCTCCAGTCAGCTTTTGACTGATTAGAACAAATTTCGCGACAATGGGGGTTCGCAATATACCTTGAAACTGGCAGAAAAATTATATATAAAATTTTGTTAATTTGTTTGTTTTCAGTTTTTATTTTCAATTTTTTTTTTTAAATTTCAATTTCAATCATTTCTTAAATATTTTTTGTGATGTAGGATGCTTTACATCATTTATTTAATCTAAACAAATTTTGATATCAAATAAGAATGGGTTCAACAATCTTAACGAAATTTGTTTCCTCAGTACTAAATAATATTGTTTTAATTTTAAATAATGCTCCGATACATGTATTTTAATTTTAAAACAGGCTAGAACTATTTTCTGGGATGAAATTAATTTATGAAAATAAGTCAATATATTGCAACACAGTTTAATTTTATTCCTAACAAGATAATAAGAGAAATTTTCTAACGGAGAATCTGATCAAAATTGTAACAAATGAAAATCAGCCACACATTTTTGGTATAAATTCCAAACGCAACAGGTCGCCTCGCCTATCACAAGATTAATTTCTATATTGTATATTTTCACACTCACTCTACAATTCAGCACACGTATATAGACGGTTCTTATCTGAAACCGAGTGACCGTTTCAAAAAACCAAATTAGGCCAACGCTGTTGCCGAGCCAGCCTGCATTTATTCAATTCAAAGTCATAAATTTTAAAATTTTAAACCAATTCAAAAAATTAAATTGAAATCTACGCATCGATGTCTAAAACGGCGATAAAGAAAACGGTACAAAAAAAATTATACACAATCGCGAGGCTTTCTTCGCGGGAGCGAGCTTGAAATTTTTATCTTCCGAGTGGCTGCGTCTCGTCGGCGGGACTAAATTGTCTCTCACGCGTAATAATAACAACAAGGGACGATAAGCGAGCGACTCCAGAGTGGAAGACGAAGAAAAAAAAAGAAAGAAAGTGGGCCAAGCGCGGTCGGAACAATCGGAAAGGAAGCGCTCTCGAGGAGGAGAAGAAAGAAAATAAATTGGGCCCGGCAAATTGGGCCGGGAGGTGAACGACCTGCGGCAGGTAGAGAGCGTGACGCCATCTGGGTCGACGACCCGGCACCGCTAGGCGCGAGGTCAAAGGTCACCGGCCGCCGGCGCGCGGCAAGGGGTGAGTGAACTGCCCGAAATAACCACCAGCGCTGCTTTCTCGCGCGTTCGGACGACAGAGCGAGTACGGAGGACGAGGAAAGGCTGCTGCAGATTCGCGTGTGCGCGAGCAGCGGCGTCTGGAGAAATTGGGTTCACCAGCAGCACCGAGCCAAAGAGAGAGAAAGACCCCCCGAAACCGGAGCAGCGGCATCATGCATCGCTCGTCTCGTTAGTCATTTCGCTTTTCAGGCGGAAACTCGCCGCCTCTCTCAGGGCAGGAAACACCACTTTAACTGTTGATTGGGTATTATAGAATCACAATTAAAGTGAATTAAATTTGAAATTATCAAAGGACTTGGCCGTTTCTGCGCTGCAGGGTTCACCTTGACCAGTCGAAAGTGAATTTTGCGCGCCTATATGCAGACCCCCCTCCCTTTTTTATCAGCAGTGCGTGTAAAAATTTCTCTTGAATAAAAATTAAAAAATTTTCTGGAAAAAAATTAACGCAAACGTTGATAATGGATGTGGTGAAAGAACGCGGAAGGTGGAAATATTGTTCGCGAAATTGGTTATTTCGCAGAACACGCCCCTCGCACTTTCTCCCCTTTGAACCCATTTGAACTCTCGCACGCGTCCGAATTCCAATACGAGACGTTTGGGGAGGAGGCGGAGGGCGAAAGGGTCGGTTTCAGGGTGTGTGAGGCCCTTTCTCACCTGAGGTTAAGGAGAGAGAATGACGCATACAGCTCGGCGAGCGCAGACTGAAGCTGCTTTTCGAGCGACGGACGTACCCGAGCGGCAGGCTGGTGCGGCAGCTTCGCGCGCCGGCCGCTGCAGCGCCGCCTCGAGGTCCTTGACCCGGCGGCCAACGACCCCGGCGCCGCCGCAAATCGCCCACGCCGCGTGCTACCGAGGGTGCACCGACCTTTCACCGAAACCACTCGGAAATGCCAATCTTATCCGCCGAGCGCGTCACTGGCTCGTCTCGGAAAAAATCGCCAAAATTCCATTTCCGCATTCTTAAAAAAAAAACATTTTTTTTCCTCCAAAGAAATCAAGAAGAAAAATATTAACAATATTAATTTTTTTAAGATGAATGAATAAAAAGAAAAAATTAAATTACATAATTTTTGTTACAAATTACATAAAATTGAATTCTTTTTATAAATTTAATTTTATAAGTCAAGAAATTTTCTGCCGCAATATTCGTGACATTTGTGTGAGGAAATTATAACTCGTTTAACTCTAAATCAACCGCTTGCGAGATGCTCTCTTTTTCCGTGGGTGATTTTTTGGTGTTTTTTTCTCAGCAGCACTTTCACTGCTGGTGCAGTCAAGGAAGACCAGCGGCCATGTACATATAATACTCTTTCTTTCTTTACATAATGTATGTACACACGTCTCTTTCTTCTTCTCTCCTGCGTGCATATATATGAAGATTATATAAATATAAGAGCGCGCGTAGACGTTGTTTACCGACGAGGCGACGCGAACGAAAACAAACGGGGCGAATTTATGGCGAAACTTATACGCAAAGGAGACGAGGGACCGAGTAATTGTTCAATTAGCGTACGTTTTATTGCACCCAGGTGGTTATTGCGCCAAGCGATGCAGAAATAAAAAGAGAAAGAATGCGTGAGTTGACGGCGAGACACGCTAATAATCGTTCGAGTTGATTAGTTTGTTTTGATTAAGCTCCGTATTGAGCCTGCGTAGTTACAGGTGGGAGAAATTAAATGAAAACAATTATGCAAATGGTAGAGAGGGAAAAATGAAGGTAGGAAAAACCACGTAGACAAAACACAAAAGTATTTTAAAAAATAAAATAAAATAATAATGTGAGTGTTTTGATCAATAAATGAATACAAATAAGAAAAATCCAAAACAAAATTTAAAATGATATTTTTTTTACTATACGTAAAGCAAAATATTAATAAAAACGAAATTAAGAAAATGTCATACGGACAAGATTAATTTAAGACAAAAAATATTCTTAACTCATTACACGAAAAATGACAGAAATAAAAATTTAATTATGCAAATTCTAATTAAATTGAATATCCTAATTTTTATCTAGAGAAATAAATTATGATCGAGTTGAAATAAAAATGAAATTTTAAATTTTATTAAAAATTTATAATTATGTAATTAATTTTACTCACCCATAAGCAGCCATAGCCCAGACATCATTGTTTTTGGGCTGCAGCCCAAGGGCGTTGAGCAATTGCAGTTGCGCAGCCTCGTCAGGTGACTCCTCAGGGGGCGGCGTGTCCACCTCCGGGGGCGGCTTGACGAGCGGCGGCGGCTGCTTCTTGTTTTTGGCGCGGTTCGGCGCCACGTTTCGCTGCGGAGGCGGCGCCGAGTACAGCTTGTTGATCAGAGAGGGCACCACCACCGGCACGTGCAGGTCCGGCACGGCCCCACGGCGGAGGCGGCTGCGCGGGGGCAGCCCCAGCAACTCGTGCTCGACGTCGCGTTCGTAGCTGTTGGGCGAGAAATGCAGCGAACACACCCTGCCGAAACAAAACAAACAAACCAGCGTGACAACAGCCACCATAGTAACAATAAAAATTGGCCCGCAAAAAAAAAATTGGCGCCAACCTTTGCTGAAAGGTCAAAGGTCGAACGCGAAATTTAATTAGAAATCGCACTGATCGGACATTATTTCTAGAAAGTTTTTATTTGCAATTTTTTTAAATGGAATTTAATCACAAATACTCTAGGCGAAAAAAGAGCGGTACCAGAGGTATAGGATATGAGGTCAAGTTCAAGTGGATTCGCGCGTTTTAGCACCGGGATTAGCATTGGTCACCATGACGCAATGAGTTAATACAGGACTTGAGACCAAAACTTTTTTGTTTTATTTTTATTTTGCCAGCTCATTGTTCCGGCACCAATTTTTCACTGTAATTTCAAATAAATAATATTAATTTTAGATTTGTCAATCAATCAGTTATTTGGCAATTATAAAATCAATATTAATTTTATTAAATTTAAACCAAAATGATATTTTATATACATTGCGCAAAGATAAATTTTTAATGTTAGGATTTATTAAATGGATTCGATTAAAAAAATTTATTCAGATTTTTAAAATTATTTTATAAATAGATGATTTAAATCAAATTAATTACAAAATGTTTTTAATTGAATGAAACATTTCGACAAAAGTCGCCAATATTTTTTCACCCATCACGATTCTTTATGAAGTTTTTGACCGAAAAAAATATGTGCCCTTTGGAGGAGGGTGAGGACTGACCTGGCCGTGGTGGTGTTGAACCAGTTTTGCCTGCCGCACACGGCGACCCATCGTTCCCGGACACTCTCCTCGGCCGGGAAACGATGGTAACGCACGCGGCGACCCTTAGTCTTGCGGTGCGAGTTCCTGCACGTGGACACCGCGCACTGCGGCATCTTCGCTCTTCAAAAGTTGCACCAACACTGACTGGCGAGTGAATCACCACGCGGTAGCGGAGCCTGCGATGCTGCTCCCCCCTCCCCATCGCCGCCCCTCGCGTGCGCCGCCAGGTGGTCACCAGCCCGGAGGCCGCTCACAAAATTAAGCACCTTCTGCCTGTGCACCCCGAAGAATATCAACGCACCTTTCCGACACAGAATTATATCTTCAGCCTCGAGATCGAATTGGGCTCTTTGGGCGCCGGAAACTTGAATGAGCGGAATAATTTTTCCCTAACCCTCATTCCTCATTGTTGGAAATTTTGATGACAAAGCGAATAAATATTGAATTTTGACTGGTGCTCAAGATGAATTAATTCCTAATGAGTTTCTTAAGTTTAAGAAAATCGATAAGAACGGTTTATTTATTTTGGTGTCTATTGAATTAAATTTAAAACAGGAGCGTTTTAGTATAAAAAGTTTTAGTTTTCATTTCACAATCCTCTTTTTTTACGAGAAATTTAAGAAAACCAATTTATTCTAACCAATGTACCAAGTGAACTAATATAAAAATCATCACATCCAATCCAGAAATTAGTAACATGAAATTCCTGAAATTGAACTTCGAAAATTTCAATAAGAATTTCAAAAGTACAATTTAATTAAGAATATTAAATTCTTAATTTATTCTACTCTGCTTTAAATAGGGACTAAAGCAGTGTATAACAAATAGCTGTGATCTGTGATTGAATTAGCCGAGGTCCTGCTGAAACGCTTGACATCGAAATAGACGCGGCCGCCGTTGATATCTTAAATTAAGAAAATTTAATTTTATCGCTTTTCTCTTTAGATTTTCTTCCAAACCTTTTGAAACTTTTGGTGCATGTGTAGTTAGTAAAGTTATCGGAAGTTAAAAAACAACTCATTTTAAAATTTATATGATTTGTACGGTTTTTAATTTATGTGAAGGTTTAATTTTTTTAAGTCAGACCAAGGCAAAGTGACTTATCGGCCCGAGCCCTTAATTTTCTTTCAATCCTCATAATGTAAAAACTTTCAAAGATTTAAATCCTCTTGTGCTTCAGCAAGATAATCAGGAAAAAATGGATCCCAGGTAACTAACATAAAATAAAAGAGGCCAAGAGTGTAATTTTACAGTTGCCACCACCGCACTCATGAATTAATTTTTTTTTTAATTCTGAAAATTATTGGGCTGAAATGGAGTTCTATATTTTAATAAATTGTCTAAATTTTAAAAGACGTGGATGATTAAATTTCTGACTTTCGTACCAAAAACGCAAAAAAAGAGTCCAACGCAGTTGCCGTGTCTTGCAGGAGAAAAATAAGCACGTCTTCGCTACAAAAACCTGGGAATTTTTTCAATCAAAAGAGCGAGGAAGAGGCTGCTGCGCTTGTAAAAATAATCCAACCGAAAAGCGGTGGTGCGTTTTTGGAGAGCACGCATGCAGCGAAAGAAAGAAAAAAAAAGAAAGAAGAGCCTCGCTCGCTGGAAATCGCTTGAGCAAGGTCAGGGAGGAGGCAGGAGAAGAAGAAGTGCATCGGAGAAAAACAACCACATGGCCTCAATAATTTTCGTTCCCCCTTGGGCTGCTGCGCCGCTCGCTGGTCCTCCTCGCTCGGGAATATTTTCGGTGGTTGCTTCTCCCCATCGCTTATTATTTTTTTATTTCTCCAGGCGCGTCGTGGTGGTGCCTTGGTTGGAAAGAGAGGTGCTCGCGATCCAAGGTCGCTGCTGCTCTTTATATGGGACACCTTCCTCCCCGCGGGGGCTCACAAAAGAGCACAAGGAGCTGCCAATCAGCCGCGAACAATGCCGCTCAAATACGCATTCTCCTTGGCTGACCATTAGTTTCACATTAGACCAAAAAGTGTAGGGAGAGTTTCTTTCCACGGAATGCTGGGCACCACCTTCTCAGGATGCGTGTGTGTGTTTGAATAGTGCTAATGGGCCGTAAAAACTTGATGGGGTTAACGTATGAGGAATTTGGTTCTCTGGATGCTTTGGTGCACACAGGAAATTGTTATTTGATCACATTGAGATTAAATTAAAATTTTGTAGTACTTAAATTGAAACTAACAAAATCTGATTCAGTCCCACTAATTGCAAAGTTATGTGATTTCACTTTGTCTTGAAGAGTTTGACATGAGATATTTGAAAATTAATTTTAAAATAAATCTAAAATAAAAATTGTATGTAATAATCACATTACTCCATTAATAGTATTAATTTTGTGTCAGAAAAATAAATTATAATTTCTGGCTCTCTTCAATTAAAATACTTTAATTACGGCTTTTTGAATTGTAGCTCTCAAAATTTTAAGTTGATTTCTTAGGACTTATTAAATAAATTTTTTCATTCTCTCATTCATCTAGAAAATATACACCGTTAGAAATTAAAAAAAAAAAACTTAATTTTGAAAAGAAAACACCAAAATATAATTAATTGTGGAAATTAGGTTAGAAAAAAAATGCAGATTTCACTATTAATCAGCAGCATAATAAAGAGTTTTCATTTAAAGAATTCAATTAAATTTTAGAATAAGGGCTACTTCCAATTTGCAGAAACGAGAAAAAGACCCCAAAATATATTTTGTCGCTAAATTCACCTACAAAAATATAAATTTTAATTAAAACAAATTAAAATGAGTGTCTATAAGAAAATTTTCACCCTTTGTCGCTGCAGCACCAGAAAATAACTTTTCCTTGATGATTTTATCTCATAATTTTACACATTCACAGATCAATAAAATTGTTTACTTTTAAAGGTCTGATCGTCTTAACTGCACTCTTGTAAAGCCCCTCAACTATTAAAAAGCATCCCCTCATAATCTCCATTAATCAATGACAGAATCACACGCAAAGGGTGCGCGCATCATTACGCAGTGACTAAGCCGGCCGTTGAAGTCACTCGGAGACGCAATCGTGAGTTGATTTCTCCAGCACCACTTTCGCCACTTTTTTAATTTCATTATTTTTCTCTTCCTCCGCGGGAACCACCACTTAAGCTCACAAAAGAGCGCGCATTCCTGGGAGAAGAAAAACGTCGCTGCTCACCAGAAAGAAAAATTGGTTCGGATTTTTTTTATGTGTGTGGCTGCGAGGGTACCTGGGCAGGAAGCGCCGCTCGCTTGCTCTCTCAGGCAGGAGCAGCATGCGGTGCGAAACTCACTAAGCTCTCGGCTGTTTGTATTTTTACGGATGATTTTCGATGGGAGAGAGCGGCGGACCGAGTTCGCCAGAAAGAAACCACCCCCCGATTGCAGTGTTGCGACCGTTTCACCCCAACTAGTCGCGCGAGCGGCGTTCTCCCTTTTCTATGCGCGGCCCATTGTTGAGTTTTTCTCTCCGTCGCTGCATCCAATCGTGCACGCTCCGCTTTTTGTTGACGGATCATTCCCAGGGGCGGCGAGTCCAATTTCAAGCTCTCTCTCTCTCTCTGGCGAACCCAAGTTTACTGATGGTTCGACGGGAATTTTATTAATTTTATTACCGAATGATAAAATGAAATGATACAAAGCGTGGTTGAAAAGACGAGCGAGCGTTCTCCAGTGGCAGACCGGTTGCTTCCGCCCCTGGAGAATCGATGGAAATTGAAACCGGATGCGAACGCAGTCAGGATTTCACGGCAGACGGAACGATTTTCTGTACCATTGAAGATGAAATATTTATTTCAAAAGGGAAGGAAGCGATTGGCAAATGACATTTTTTCTTTGTTCTATTCAAGAGATAAAAATGATATTCCTCAATTTATGGTAACTTTGGGCCCTGTTTAAATTAATACTTTTAATTTTAGAATCTTAAATATTATTTACCACTTTTCTTGTGACGAACCATCAATTTAGTTTGTTCCATAAAAAAATGTGCGGTGCTTTGTATTTTGTAATTTATTGGAAATAGCTAAAAGTTTTAATTTATAATCTTAAAAATAAAATTTATAGGAAATTTTTTTATTTAAAATATTATTTAACTTGACAGATTTCCAATTTAAATATATAAATATTTATAAATTTAACAATTGAAATTTAAAATCAACCTTCCAGTTTTCTGTTTTAAAAAATTATTTTTGTTTTCTGGTCCAAAAAAATATGTTTTAAATTTTGAGAACCACGAATTATAAAATTAATTATTCGTTGCAATAATATTAGTAACTTTTATGCCTTAAATTTAGAAAAAAATTCAAACTGAATATAATACAGAACATTTTGTAATTTTTGTTTATTAATTTAGTTGTAAAGTAAACCCAATATTTTAACTGGATGTTAATGACCTAATTTCTCAAACGGCAGTTGCAGTGCCCGGTGTTTTCAATTTTACATACATTTACGTCACAGACACCAACGTTTAAGACCCCTGGCGAATTACATCCATCAAGTTCACGCGCAGACCAACATCTGCTGCTCGTCGCGGCACCCAAAGGAGAACACCTTTCCTCCTTGTTCGTTAACCCTTTCTTTCTCTCTTTCAATTTTTTTTTATCCGGGTGCCGATTAGGAGCACGAGCTGGTCTTTTTTAATAGTTTGGTGTGCGCAGAGAGAAAAATACATGTGAAAAGAAGCCGAGAGGTGGGCACGTGAGGCAACGGTGGCAGCTGGCCCCTCGAAAGAGCGAGTGCGACAGCTGCAGAGGCACCACCAGCACTGCAGCTGTCTCGCCGCCGAAACGCCTTTGTGCCGATCGGCCAGGCCAACTCTCGAGAGCACCACCTTTTCCTGTAAAAACAAAGCGGATGGAGAACCCGTCCGTCCGCGTCCGACGACGGAGAACTCAACCGCCAGCATTCGGGGCTCGAATTACTCATCGATAGGGTTTCACCTCATCTATTCGCATTTTCCGCTCCTCTGCCTCTCGCACACCAGGGCACCACGGCTTTTGTTCCAACGTGTGGTACCGGCCCTTCGAATCTTTATAAAAGCTGCCTCCGATAAATGAAATTGAACCACGCAATAGGGGACCATTCTGCAATTTGTTTTAAGCAAAAATCCTCAAATTTTTATGCATCCTTGGTGCTTGAATTCAATTTTTCTTAATTGTATTTTTTAATTGATAC